GGCTCTAATATCACGTCCAGACCATTCCTATGAAAAAATGAATATTTTCAATGCTGTTCGTATTATTTCTTACGATTCTATTATTGCTTGAATTTGTGACATTTATAAGAAATTACAACAATTATATAGAATAGGATTCATTTCATTAATTTCAATTATCTTGGAATTCATTTCATTAATTTCAATTATCTTGGAATTCATTTCATTAATTTCAATTATCTAGTTAAAGCATTTCATTAATTTCTAGTTCACTGATAATAATATTTCTTAAAGTTATAAGAATAGAATGGATGGACTATATTCTATATTAAATTGAATGATCAAAAGTGATGAATTTGATAAATAAAGTGGACACAAATTTATTTTGAATCAATATTTTAAAAATATCTTAATATTTTTGTTACAGATAATACAAAAATTTGTGAATGATGTGTTGTATTACAAATGAATCAGCATGTGATCAGTTAGAAAAAATATTTTTAATATTTTACAGAAATGCAAAAACTAATGACCATAAAAACAAAGTTCTCAATAAATATATTTAAATTTAAGAAATAGCATACCGCAAGAATGCAATAGCTAATCATGCATATACTCAAAATATTCTTGAACATTTCCATGAAGCATATTGGACTCAATAGATGTTCAATACGTCCTAGAAAACTTCACAGTTAATACATAATTAGAAAAAATTCTTTCAAAGAGGATAAAGAGATAAATAGATAAATAAAAGAACTTAAACAGTAGAAACAAAAAAAAATTAATTAAAAAATATTACCTTAAAATTCTCAAATGATGTTCGATGATTACACTTATTTCATCAATGCGCATATTTTTATTTTCTTCTTGTGGCCGATTTACAAATTCTTCGATCCAAGTAACCATTATCGTTAACTGGCCAATAGCATGGTATGCAAATACTGTAGCAAGACTGAAAGCGATAACAACGGTAGTACTCATAATGCATGTTGTTAGAAATTGAAGACCAAGTACGATACTATGCCCTGGATTAGTATCAACTGGAATTTTATAAGTTGGATAAGGTAAGATATATATTTTTATGCTTTCGTTGCCAACTTTGATTGTTTGTTTGAAAACACCCAATATAGTGCAGAAACAAATACTGTCAACTTGCATGAAACCTGCGATGCAACCGGAAATTATGCGACCAATTTTTGCATTTTTAAGCATTACTTGTCGATCTTGCGTTCTTGTAATCGCATTCCAATCGGTTTCTATGTGATCTATACAATAACGTATATCATCATTAAGAAACAATAATACTGCATAATTAAGTCCACCGCCAATACAATAACTTATAGGGCCAATCATTTTTAGTTTTGTTATGATATCTTCTTTCACGAGAATGAAATGTAACAAACTTAGTATTGTAACGAATAGCGCGATGATCCAACAGAGGAGAATTAGAATCCTTGTCATTATCTTTTCGAATTTCGATGTGGAGGATGGAAGTGGCCATAATCCTATCGTTTTCGAGAGCCATCTATTCACTTGTATGCTGTATTCATTGAGACTGCCAAACTTCTTCTGAATTGCAATAATGTCGTCCGCCATCGTCTTTCCTCAACGAAGTTACAGAAACGACTGAATGGTATATATGTACGATGTCGTACAAATGATATGCGTCGATCAATATATATATTCCGTTACCATGACTATTGACGATGGTTAATCTATGTGTTTATGTTTCAGTTCGTTAACGGTAGTTGCACGTGGTGCGCACTCCATGGCAATCGGAGTAATAGAAATTAAATCAAATCAAATATTTTTGCAGAATGATAAAATTCGTGAAAAAAATTCGTAAATCTTTTTCAAAAGTAGAATGTTATTTTAAAATATAATGTGTGATGTCTAATATCAATTGAGAAATTGGTAAGTAAAATATAAATAAGTATACTTTTTTTTTATTAATCACAATGATATTCAAATAGTAAAGTTCATTTAATGCAGATTAAAAATTAGGATTATTAATTTCTTTGTATTTTTCGAAATAGAAAAAGAATTAATTTGTCTGATGCATTAAATAGCTTTGAAACACATAAAATGTGTAAATATTTCTATTGCTTAGAAATTTATACATTTATAAATTTATACATGCTCTGAAATTTATATATTATCTTAAAATACAGTTTCTGGAATTAATAAAATTTTACAATTTCAATATTTTACAATTTTACAATAATCATTATAAATACTATGTCACAAAGTATATAATAAAGATAGGAAAAGATTTAATATGCTAGAAATAATTTTAATGATCTGTAATAGAAAATAATAAAGTGGAGTATAATGAAGATGATATGCAATGTTAAATAATAAATAGACAGAAGAATCTCCAAGAACTATAAAAGTTATCTAAAAATAATTTTACGAATTTTCCATCTATCAATTTTAAAACAATTCGAAATTATAGATATCAAATTCAATGTTTTCATTTCTGTAGATAATTAATCTATCACTTGTTTAAATTTGAGTTCTATTTTTTATTTCAGATAATGTAAAAACAAATAATTTTGTAAAAATAAAAAATACAATTTCGATAAAATCTCAGTAGTATGAAAATATTAAATATAAAGAATATGAGCAATAATTCTTTATAGTTTTATTATTTCCATTTTTAAAAAATTCAGAACGAAGAATAATAATTTGCAATTCTATATTTTCATCATATTTATTCTTATGTTATCATCTGATTAATATTTCAAAAAGCATTTTTAAATCCATTAAAACATATTTCGTTTAGAGACTCTTTGATTTAAGATAAAAAATTGAAAATCGTTATTTCTACACACAAAATAATATCTTCATACAAATCTACAATCTCTCATATTTTTTACTTAAATGTAAAGTATTTATACGTAAATAATATTCTAGTATATTATTTAACTGTTGTTCACATATCTTTATGTTTTTGCCTTTTTTCAGTCCATCTACAGTTTATCACAACTTCGTCATAAGAATTCGAAATTGTCTATATTTTTGCATAACAAAAACTAAACTGCAAGAATTCAGTAATGGCAGATATCATCATTGAATCAAGCATTGCATTAATTGTAAGATTTTGTAGAAAGGATTTGATTTCGTTATTTTGATCTCTCTGTTTTGTGCAAAGAGGTAAAACAATAGTATAAAAAAATCTAGTGGAATACATAAAAGCAGTAGAGATAACTTTAAATTTATGTGAGTATTTATAAATTTTTGATAATTGATAATATGAATTGGACAATGTGTGTGCAGAAGAAAATAAAGTGTACATTTTTAATATCTGCACATGATTTGAAAATGCTAGATTTGGAAATATCATTCTAGAAATTAGTAGATGAAGATGATTTATTTTTTACTTAATATTTTTTCTAAAATTATTTTTTTGAAAAATAAATAATATTATGTGTTTAAAACATTTCATAAACATGATCGATCTGCAATATAATACTAAGATTTTAAACATTCTTTATAATTAAATCGGTGTAAGTAAATTACATAAATACAAAAAAATTTTGTAAGTTTTTTCTGTGCAAGGAATGTGCTATACTATAACAATATTATAAAATTATAAATTATAACTTTTCGAATAAGAGAGATGCAACATATACGTGATTATTATATATGAAACAAATATAATTTATATTTTCATATTTCATATTCATTCAAATGAAATTACTAATATGCAAAGTTTATTATTAGATATGTAGGATACATTTTTTTATATACTCAATTCATGTGCACTTTACAATATTGTCATTTGGCGTAATATATTTAAATAGGCAAAAATAGTTTTTATTATCTGAAATTTAAAATATATTTGTATAAATATTTTCGAATGCTAGTAATATATTTTTTAAAAAAATAAAAAATAAACGTACATTACCAAATGTAATCACTGACATATTAATTATCTTTCCGGCAGTCATTTTGTATTCCATTCCAGATCGTATCATTATCATAATCAGATTAAGAATATCTTTTTCAGATAATCGATACCAATTCGTCATGTAAATCATGTTACTAATTTTTTTACACTTTTCAGAAAGTATTTCACCGATATAACATATTAAAAATGTATTTAATGTTATACACGTTACTGAAAAAGCATATGCACCGAGGACCCTAACGTCACGTCCATACCATTCCTAAGAAAAAATGAATATTTTCAATTTCATGCTGTTCATATTATTTTTCATGATTCTATTATTGCTAAATTTGTGACATTTATAAAAAATTACAACAATTATATAGAATATGATTCATTTCATTAATTTCAATTATCTTGGAATCTTATCTTAAAGTTAAAGCATTTCACTAATTTCTAGTTCACTGATAATAATATTTCTTAAAGTTATAAGAATAGAATGAATGAACCATATTCTATATTAAATTGAATGATTCTATTAAAAGTGATGAATTTAATAAATAAGGTGGACACAAATTTATGTCATGAATCAATATTTTAAGAACATCTTAATATTTTTGTTTACAGATAATAAAGAAATTTGTGGATGATATGTATTACGAATGAATCATCGTATGATGAGTTAGAAAAAATATTTTCAACAGAAATGCACAAAACTAATGATCTTAAAAACAAAGTTTTCAATAAATATATTTAAATTTAAGAAATAGCATACCGCAAGAATGCAATAGCTAAGCATGCATATACTCAAAATATTCTTGAACATTTCCATGAAACATATTGGACTCAAGAGATGTTCTGTACGTCCTAGAAAACTTCACAGTTAATACATAAAAAATTAGAAAAAATTTTCTCAAAGGAGTTAGAGATAAATAAATGGATAAAAGAAGTTAAACAGTACAAACAAAAAAAAATTAATCAAAAAATTTTACCTTAGAATTCTCAAATGATGTTCGATGATTACACTTATTTCATCAATGCGCATATTCTTATTTTCTTCTTGTGGCCGATTTACAAATTCTTCGATCCAAGTAATCATTATAGTTAATTGGCCAACAGCGTGGCATGCAAATACTGTAGCAAGACTGAAAGCGATAACAACAGTAGCGCTCATAATGTATCCGGCCAGAAATTGAAAACCAAGTACGATACTGTGCCCTGGATTAGTATCAACCGGAATTTTATAAGTTGGAAAGGGTAAGACGTATATTTCCATACTTTCGTTGCCGATTTTAATTTTCCTTTTGAAAACTCCAAATACAGTGCAGAAAGAAATAGTACTAAGTTGTAGGAAGCCCGCGACACAACCGGAAACGATGCGACCAATTTTTGCGTTTTTAAACATTACTTGCCGATCGCCTGTCCTCGTAATAGCCTTCCAATCGGTTTCTATATGGTCTATACAGTAGCGTATATCGTCTTTACGAAGCAACAACACTGCATAATTAAGTCCTCCACCAAAGCAATAACTTATAGGGCCAAGCGTTTTTAATTTTGAGATAATATCCTCTTTCACGAGAGCAAAATATAACAAGCTTGGTATTATGACGAATAGAGCGATAATCCAACAAAAAAAAATTAAAATCTTTGTCATTATTTTCTCGAATTTCGAGGTAGAGGATGGAAGTGGCCATACGCCTATCGTTTTTGAAAGCCATCTGTTCAATTGTATGCTATATTCGTTCAGACTACCAAACTTCTTTTGAATTGCGGCAATGTCATCCGCCATCATGTTTCCTCAACGAAGTTGCAGGAACGACTGAATATCGTATACACATGGTGTCGTACAAATGATATGCGTCGATCGATACATATATTCTGTTACCATAACTATTGACAACGGTTAATCCATCTGTTTACGTTTCAGTTCGTTGACGATAGTTGCACATGTTGTGCAGTCAATGAAGTGATAGAAAGTAAATTAGATATTTTTGCAGAACGATAAAATTCGTAAAAAACTCATTTTTTATAAGTGAAGCATTATTTTGAAATATAATATGTGCTACATAATATCAATCGAGAAATTAGTGAATGAAAAATAAAAAAATGTATTTTTTTTATTAATCACAATAGTATTCAAATAATAGAGTGCATTTAATGCAGATTACAGATTAACGATTATTAACTTTTTTGGGTTAATTTTTAAAGTAGAAAAAAAATTAAACTTTGTCTAATGCATTAAATAGCTTTGAAATAACGTAGAATGTATCAATATTTCTATTACCTATTCTGAAATTTATATATTATCTGAGAGTACAATTTTTGGAATTAATAAAATTTTGATACAATAATCACTTTGAATTTTGAAAAATTTTTATAACTATTTTATGAAATACATAATAATATTCAAATATGTGCAAATATACAGATAATTTTAATGATCTGTAAGAAAATAATAAATTGGAATATGATAAAGATGTTATGCAATGTTAAATGATAAATGAATAGATCTTTAAGAATTTTCAAGAATTATAAAAGCTATTTATAAGTTATCTATTGATAACTTTACGAATTTTCCATCTGTCAATTTTAGAAAAATTCGAAATTATAGATATCAATATTAAATTCAGTGCTTTCTTTTTTTGTAAGTAATTAATCTATTACTTGATTAAATTTGAATTCTATTTTTTTACTTCAGATAATGTAGAAACAAATAATTTTGTAAAAATATAAAATACAATTTCGATAAAATCTTACCAACAATATGAAAATATTGAATATAAAGAATATGAGCAATAGATTAACTTTTTATAGTTTTTTAATCGTTTTACTTTGTTCCTATTTTTAAAAAATTGAGAACGAAACAATTGCAATCATCATATTTATCTTATTTTCTTATTATTATCTTATTATATTTATTTTTATGTTATTATCTGATTAAATAGATAATACTTCAAAAATCATCTAAAAATTTATTGAAACATATTTCGTTATTAGATTATATATTCGTTATTATATTTAGAAACTTTACGATTTGAGATAAAAAATTAAATATTTATGTAAATAATGTAAAGAATTTATATGTAAATAATATTCTAATATATTATTTAGCTATTGTTTATGTATCTTTATGTTTTTATCTTTTTTCAGTCCATCAATAGTTTTTCGCAACTTCGTTAATAAAAATTCGAAATTGTCTATATTTATACAACAAAAACGATCAAATTGCAAATTGCAATTCAGTGATGATAGATATCATAATGGAGTCAAGTATCATATCAATTGTAAAATTTCGAAGAAGAAATTGGACCGAGAAACTCGCAGTAGAAAAGAGAGATCTGGGATTTCACGATCTTGTTATCGATCTTTTTGTTTTGAGAAAGAAGCATAATAATATAAAAATCCCAATATAAAAACGAAATATATAAAACTAACGCAGTTGATGAAACTTTAAATTTATGTGAGTATTTATTTCAAATTTTTTATAATTGATAATATTAATTGGACAATGTATGTGCACTAAAAATAAATTATACATGTATGAATTATTTTTGATATTCGCGCAATAGAAACATGATATGTGCTATTTGTCAGATAAAATCATTCTAGAAAATATTGAAAATGTGAAAATCGTAATTTTTTATTTAATATTCTTTTCAAGCCTATTTTTTTGTAGAATCATGATGTTATTCCTAAAGGGAGTTAGTTCTTAAGGGAGAAAGATGATCTGTAATATATGATTGTCACTGTTGTGCTTTAAGCATTCAATTAAATGTAAAATACACAAAAAAAAATTTTGATGCTTTTTGCATTTAAGTATATATAGAAATGTGTAGTACATATGATTATATTATAAAATTGCAAATTGTGATTTTCTGAAAAATATGATATATATCTGATTATTATAGATATAAAAAATATTTTTTACTATATACTTTCAATTTCACTTGAATGTAATTATTAATATGTTTCATTTTTAATATACATATTATATATATCTATAAATATTATTTATAACATGCTTGTTTCTAAATATGTATTCGATACATGTTTTTTTATGTGCTCAATATATGTGCACATTACAATATTGTTACTTGGCGTAATATATTTAAATATGCAAAAATAGTTTTTATTATCTGAAATTTAAATATATTTCTATGAATATTTTCGAGAATCAATGATTTTTTTTCTTTAAAAATTGAAAAAAAGAGACATACATTACTAAATGTGATCACTGACATATCAATTATTTTTCCGGCGGTCATTTTGTATTCTACGCTAGATCGTGTAATAATCATAATCAGATTAAGAATATCTTTGTCAGGTAATCGATACCAATTTGTCATGTAAACCATGTTACCAATTTCCTTACATTTTTCAGTTAGTACTTCACTGATATAACATATTAAAAACATGCTTAAAGTTATATTTGTTATTGTAAAAGTATATGCACTGAGGGCTCTAATATCACGTTCTGACCATTCCTACGAAAAAATGAATATTTTCGAGTTTATTCATTATTTATTTTGTTTATATTATTTTTTACAATTTTTTTATTGATTAAATTTTATAAAATTTGCAAAAAAATTTCAGTTATATAAAATTATTATTATAAATTATAATTATTTATATAGAAATTATTTATATAAAATTTACATACAATAAGATTCAATTAGTTATTTTCAATTTTTTTGAAATAAGTGGGCAAAGTGTATCATATTTTAACTCGATGCTAATAATATGTTTTAATGTTACAGAAATGGCAGAAAAATGAATCTCATTGAAATTGAAAACAGAATGATTGTTTTAAAAAAAATGAATTCGTCAAAAAAATTAAGCACAAATTTACGTGTTAAATCAATATCTTAAAATCATTCTATTATTTCTTCACATAATAACCTAATTTGCGGATCATTTGTTAAAATATGAATGAATTCATCATGCAAATTCATCAAACAAAATATTTTTAACATAGAAATACACTAAACTAATAATTCTAATAACGAAGTGCTCAATGAATATATTTAATTTAGAAAATACATACCACAAGAATACAATAGCTAAGCATGCATATAGTTAATATATTCTTGAACATTTCCATGAAGCATATTGGGCTTAATAGATGTTCAGTACGTTCTAGGAAACTTCACAGTTAATATATAATTAGAAAAATTTTCTTAAAGCAGATAGAGATAAATAAATAAATAGAAGGAAACGAATAATAGAAATGAAAAACATTATACGAAAAATATTACCTTAGAATTCTTAAATGATGTTCAATGATTATACTTATTTCATTAACGCGCACATTCTTATTTTTTTCTTGTGGCCGATTTACAAATTCTTCGATCCACATAATCATTATAGTTAACTGACCAGTAGCGTGGCATGCAAATACTGTAGCAAGACTGAAAGCGATAACAACAGTAGCACTCATAATGCATGCTGTCAGATATTGAAAACCAAGAACAATACCGTGCCCTAGATTAGTATCAATCGGAATTTTATAGGTTGGAAAAGGTAAGACGTGTATTTCCATACTTTCGTTGCCGATTTTGATTGTCTGTTTGAAAACTCCAAATACAGTACAGTAAGAAATAGTACTAACTTGCATGAAGCTCCCGATGCAACCAGAAATGATGCGACCAATTTTTGCGTTTTTAAACATTACTTGCCGATCATCTGTCCTTGTGATCGTCTTCCAATCGGTTTCCATATGCTCTATACAATAACGTATATCATCATTAAGAAACAATAATATTGCATAATTAAGTCCTCCCCCAATACAATAACTTATAGGACCAATCATTTTTAGTTTTGATATAATATCTTCTTTCACGAGAATGAAGTGTAACAAGCTTGGTATTGTAACGAATAGAGCGATGATTGAACAGAGAAGAATTAGAATCCTTGTCATTATTTTTTCGAATTTCGATGTGGTGGATGAAAGTGGCCATACGCCTATTATTTTTGAGAGCCATCTATTTACTTGTATGCTATATTCGTTAAGACTGTCAAACTTTTTCTGAATCGCGACAATGTCGTCCGCCATCGTCTCTCCTCAACGAAGTTATAGAAACGACTGAATGGTATACATATACGATGTCATACAAATGATATGCGTCGATCAATATATATAATCCGTTACCACATCTATTGACGATGGTTAATCCATGTGTTTACATTTCAGTTCATTGACGGTAGTTGCGCGTGGTGCGCACTCCATGACATTCGGAATAATAGAAATTAAATTAAATATCTTTGATGAATGATAAGATTCGTGAAAATATTCATAAATCTTTTTTAAAAATAAAACATTATTTTGAAATATGATATATGATATGTGATATTTAATATCAATAGAGAAATTAGTAAGTAAAATATAAATAAGTATACTTTTTTTTTATTAATCACAATGATATTCAAATAATAGAGTTTATTTAATGCAGATTAAAGATCAGGATTATTAATTTCTTTGGGGTAATTTTCAAAATAGAAAAAGAATTAATTTATCTGATGCATTAAATGATTTTGAATTTACACATAAAATGTGTAAATATTTCCATTGCTTATTCTGTAATTTATATATTATTTTAGAATATAGTTTTTAGAAGATAGAATTTACAAAATACGGAGAGATTCAGTATACTAGAAATAATTTTAATGATCTCTAACAGGAAATAATAAAATGGAATATGATGAAGATATTATGCAATGTTAAATAATAAACGAATAGATAATTGGATAGATAAATCAAGAACTATAAAAAATATCTAAAAATAATTTTATAAATTTTCCATCTGTCAATTTTAAAAGAATTCGAAATTATAAGTATCAATATCAAATTGAATGCTTTCTTTTTTTGTAGATAGTTAATCTATCATTTGATTAAATTTGAACTCTATTTTTTATTTCAGATAATATAAAAACAAATAATTTTGTAAAATTATATAATATAATTTTGATAAAATTGCACCAAGAGTATAAAAATATTGAGTATAAAAAATATGAGCAATAAATTAACTTTTTATAATTTTTTAATCGTTTTACTTTGTTTTCATTTTTTAAAGAATTGAGAACGAAAAATAACAATTGCAATCATGATATTTATTTTATTTTCTCTTATTATATTTATCTTCATGTTATTATCTGATTAAATAGATAATACTTCAAAAATCATCTAAAAATTTATATATCTCGTTTAGAAACTTTTCGATTTGAGATAAAAAATATTTATGTAAATAGTATAAAGAATTTTTATGTAAACAATATTCTAGTATATTATTTAGCTATTATTCATGTATCATTATGTTTTTGCCTTTTTTCAGTTCATCAACAATATTTTTGCAACTTCGTCATAAGAATTCAAAATGGTCTATATCTTTGCATAACAAAAACGGTCAAATTACAAGCATTCAATGATAGCAGATATTATTGAACCAAGTATTGCATCAATTGCAAAATTTTGAAGAAGGGACTAGATCGAGGAATCCACGGTAAATAAAAGATAATTATATAATTAAGATTTATATAATTATATAATTAAGATATAATTAAGATTTTGTTATCGATTTCTTTGTTTTGTACAAAGAAATATAACAAATTTCAATATTCGATATCGAATTATAATTTCGATATTCGATAAAAAAGAAACATAACAATAGTATAAATGAATCCAGCGAAATACATAAAATCAACGCAGTTGATGTAACTTTAAATTTATGTGAGTATTTAAATTTTTTCGAATTTTTTATAATTTTTATACTATGAATTGGATAATGTATGTGCAAAAGAAAATAAACTGTATATTTTGGAATATGAATATCGGCAAATGATTTCGAAATGTAGTACATATTAAATAATAATGGATTAAAATTATTAATATTTTAATTACTATTTTTTCTAAACTTATTTTTTTGGAGAATCATAATATTATGTGTTTAAAACACGTCTTAAGAAAGAAAGATAATCGATTTATAATATAATACAATTGTCACTATTGTGATTTTAAGCATTTATTTCAATAAAATTGATTCAATAAGTTAAATACATAAATAAAAAAAAGTTTTGAATTTTTTTTGCATTCAAATACATGCTGTACATATAATTCTATTATAAAATTGTAATTCATAATTTTTTGAAAGATGTGACATACATTCAATCATTATAGATATAAAAAATAGTTTTTATACTTTCAATTTTAATTGAATATTATTATTAATGTGCAATATTTGTTTTGAAATATATATTCGATATATGTTTTTTTATATGCTCAATACATGTGCACTTTACAATATTGTCATTTGGCGTAATATATTTAAATATGCAAAAATAGTTTTTACTATCTGAAATTTTAAATATATTTGTATGAATATTTTTGAGAATCAATGATTTTTTAAAATTTTTTTCTTTTAAAATTGGAAGAAACAAACATACATTACCAAACGTAATCACTGACATATCAATTATTTTTCCAGCAGTCATTTTATATTCTACGCTAGATCGTGTAATAATCATAATCAGATTAAGAATATCTTTATCAGATAATCGATACCAATTTGTCATGTAGACCATGTTACCAATTTCCTTACATTTTTCATTTAGAACTTCACCGATATAACATATTAAAAATGTGCTTAAAGTTATATTCATTACTGAAAAAATATATGCACTGAGAGCTCTAATATCACGTCCAGACCATTCCTATGAAAAAATGAATATTTTCAATTCTATTTATCATTCATATTGTTTATATTATTTCTTATAATTTTTTATTGCTTAAATTTTATGAAATTTATAAAAAATCATTATTATAAATATGAAAATATTATTATATATTATAGTTATTTATTACAGAAATTATGTATAATAAGATTCGATTCGAATTGAAAATGCTTCACTTTACTACTCAATGCTTATAACATATCTTAATATTACAGAAATGAAAGAAATAAACCTTATTGAAATTGAATAAAGAGTAATTGTATTAAAAACAATGACTTGATAAAAAGATTAGGCACAAATTTATATATTAAATAAATATTGTAAAAATATTTTAATATTTTTTTTACATAAATTTGTAGATCATCTATTATACGAATGAATTCTTCATGCAAAATATTTTTAACAGAAATGCACTAAACTAATGATCCTAAAAACAAAGTTCTCAATGAATATAAATTCTAGAATTACGTACCACAAGAATGCAATAGCTAAGCATGCATATACTTAATATATTCTTGAACATTTCCATGAAGCATATTGGACTCAATAGATGTTCAGTACGTCCTAAGAAACTTCACAGTTATTATGTTATTAGAGAAATTTTTCAAAAATAAATACAAATAGATAGGTAAATAAAACAAATAAATAGAAAAGAAAAATGAAAAGACAAAGAAATTATGCAACAAACGTTACCTAAGAATTCTTAAATGATGTTCGATGATCACACTTATTTCATTAATTTGTATATTTTTATTGTCTTCTTGTGGCCGATTTACAAATTCTTTAATCCATGTAATCATTATAGTTAACTGACCAGCAGCGTGGCATGCAAATACAGTAGCAAGGCTGAAAGCGATAACAACGGTAGCACTCATAATGCATCCTGTCAGAAATTGAAAACCAAGAACGATACTGTGCTCTAGATTAGTATCAACAGGAATTTTGTAGGTTGGAAAAGGTAAGACGTGTATTTCCATACTTTCGTTGCCGATTTTGATTTTCTGTTTGAAAACTCCAAATACGATGCCGAAACAAATTGTACTAACTTGCATGAAGCTCGCGATGCAACCGGAAATGATGCGACCAATTTTTGCGTTTTTAAACATTACTTGCCGATCGCCTGTCCTTGTGATAGCCTTCCAATCGGTTTCTATATGGTCTATACAGTAGCGTATATCGTCTTTACGAAGTAATAATACGGCGTAATTAAGTCCTCCTCCAAAACAATAGCTTATAGGGCCAAGCGTTTTCAGTTTTGAAATAATATCCTCTTTAACGAGAGTAAAATGTAACAAGCTTGATGTTATGACGAATAAAGCGATGATCCAACAGAGAAAAATTAAAATTTTCGTCATTATCTTTTCGAATTTCGAGGTGGAGGATGAAAGTGGCCATACGCCTATCATTTTCGAAAGCCATCTGTTCAGTTGTATGCTGTATTCGTTCAGACTGCCGAACTTTTTTTGAATTACAGTCATATCATCTGCCATCGTCTTTCCTCAACGAAGTTGCAGAAACGACTGAATGGTATACATATGATGTACAGATGATATGCGTCGATCGATACTCTGTTGCCATAACTGTTGGCAACGGTTAATCTGTATGTTTACGTTTCAGTTCGTTGACAATATTGACATGTGTTGTACATTGTGCAGTCGATTGATAAAGATTATGTTAGATATCTTAGTTGAATGCAAAAATTCGTAAAAAAGATATTTTTTGTAGTTGAAATATGATTTTAAAATATATTATATATTTTTGAATCGAAACTGTAAATGAAAAATAAATAAATATACTTTTTTTTTTTATTAATCATAATGGTGTTTAAGTACTGTATCATATCGACAATTATATTTTTTGTTTCTTTTCAATGTAGAGATAATTTTCAAACAGAAAAAAGTCAAGTTTGAGTTTTTGGCTTTAAATGATCTTGAAACATATAAAATATCAGGATTACTATTTCAAAATTTATTTATTTCGAAATTTATATATTATTTTAAAGAATAATAATAAAATATAAGTATAATTTTTGAAATAAGTAAATATTTGAAATAATAATTATTTTGAATTTTGATAAAATTTTTGTTGCACTAAATATCATGAAATATTTAGTGATACAGATAGATTTGAATATGCCTAAAATGATTGTAACATCTGTAACAGACAATAATAATATACAATATGAATTATATAATGTTATATAAATAAATAGATGAATCTTGACAAATGAATCTACTCTAACACTCACGTTACAAAAGCTGAAATTCCACAAGTTTTTCATTTGTCAATTTGATTGAATTTGTAGATATTAATATTAAATTTCGATTTGAGATAATGAGATTTCGAAATGAGATATAAACTGTTGTTGAAAGTTGTTATTCATAAACGCAGTATGATAGTCTTGTACAAAATTATGCAATTTATATATCCTTTAAGTTAGTATATGTAAATGATGTTCCAAAATATCATCTAGCCATTGTTCATATATTTCTGTTATTTATTTCTAGCCCATCGACCAGTCTCCGCAATTTCGTCACAAAAATTTGGAATTGTATATAGGCGTGCATAACGTGCAAAAACGGTAGTCAAACAATAAGCATCTGCAGTGATGTAATATATAACAAATTTAGCCAAGCATTGCATTAATTGCACAACTTCGAAAGATTAAAGAATAATTTGTGGATTGAAAATCTATTAATAAATAAGAGATACCTGGGATTTTATGATCTTGTTAATTATTTTTCTACGTTTCATACTAAAACGCTATTATACAGTTATATAGAAAATTCTTACGGAATACATGAAATCAGCATAGTTGATGTTTAAACATATGTAAGTATTTATTTCAAATTATTAATAGTTAATAATAAGTTGAATAATATATTTGCAGTGAAATTAAATTGATTTTATCATTTTTTTAAAAGAAAAAAATAATGTTTATATTTTCAAATTTATTGAAATATAAATAATATCTAGTGTTTATTTTGAATATATATTCGATACATATTTTTTTATGTAATCAATACATGTGCAATTTAGGACATTGTTGTTTGACGTAATATATTTAAATACGCGAAAACAGATTTTATTATCTAAAATTACAAAAATATTCGTATGAATATTTACGATAACTAATAATTTTTATTTCTTTTAAAATTGAAAAAACAAACGTACATTACCGAATGTGATTACTGACATATCCATTATCTTTCCGGCAGTCATTTTATATTCTACACTAGATCGTGCAATAATCATAATCAAATTAAGAATATCTTTATCATGTAATCGATACCAATTTGTCATATAAACCATGTTACCAATTTCTTTACACCTCTCAGTTAGTACTTCACCAATATAACATATTAAAAATGTACTAAAAATTAAATTCATTACTGCAAAAGTATATGTACTGAGGATCCTAATATTATGTTCAGACCATTCCTACGAAAAAATGAATGTTTTCAATTCGATTGATACCTGTAGTATTCATATTATTTTCATAATTTTTTTATAACTTGAATTTGTGAGACTTATAAAAAATTATAATAATTATATTAAAATAGGGTTGATTTCATTAATTTCAATTATTTTAGAATAGATAATTATAATGTTTCATATCTTAAGAAAAACATTAGATTTAATTCTAACTCAATGATAAATTTTAAAATTGTTAGAATAGAGATGAATCTTAATTTAAATCGAATAAAGAATGTTCTTATTTATTCAATAATAATAATGAAATTTGCATAGTGTATAAACATATGTTCAGATAAATTATTTTTGACATATACAAAATTATTTATTAAAATTGAAAATTAAAATTATTTAATAAATATATTTAATTTTGAAAAATGGCATACCGCAAGAATGCAATAGCTAAACATGCATATACTCAATATATTCTTGAACATTTCCATGAAGCATATTGGACTCAATAGATGTTCAGCACGTTCTAGGAAACTTCACAATTAATATGTAATTAGAGATATTCTCTAGAGGAAGATAGAAAAAGATAGATAGATAGAAAGAAAAAGATAGAAGAAAGAGAAGGAAACTATAAAAAAGTGTTACCTTAGAATTCTCATATGATGTTCGATGATCACACTTATTTCATCAATATGTACATTCTTATTTTCTTCTTGTGGCCGGTTTATAAATTCTTCGATCCATGTAACCATTATAGTTAATTGGCCAATAGTGTGACATGCGAATACTGTAGCAAGACTGAATGCGATAACAACGGTGGCACTCATAATGTATCCTGTCATAAATTGCAATCCAAGGACAATACCGTATCCTGGATTAGTATCAACCGGAATTTTATAGGTTGGAGAAGGTAAAACGTGTATTTCCATGCTTTCATTGCCGATTTTAATTGTTCGTTTGAAAACTCCCAATACAGTGCAAAAACAAACAGCACTAATTTGCACGAAAGCTGCGATACAAGCGGAAATGATGCGACCAATTTTTGCGTTTTTAAACATTACTTGTCGATCCGCCGTTTTTGTGATCACCTTCCAATCAACTTCCATATGCTCTATACAATAAAGTATATCGTTTTTACGGAGTAACAACACGGCGTAATTGAGCCCTCCGCCAAAGCAATAGCTTATAGGGGCGAGAGTTTTTAATTTCGAGATGATATCTTCTTTCACGAGGGTGAAATGTAACAAGCTTGATATCGTGATGAATAGCGTGATAATCCAACAAAAAAAAATAAGAATCTTTGTCATTATTTTTTCGAATTTTGAAGTGGAAGATGAAAATGGCCATACGCCTATTGTTTTTGAGAACCATTTGTTGAATTGTATGCTATACTCGTTCAAATTGTCAAACTTCTTTTGAACCGTGGCAATATCGTCAGCCATCATGTTTCCTCACCGAAGTCGGAGAAACGACTGAATAGTATACATACGATGTCATACAGATGATGTGTTTCGATCGATATGTATATTCCATAGCAATGCCATAACTGTTGGCAACGGTTAATCCATGTGTTTACGTTTTATTTCATTGACGATAGTTACACAATATACACTCTATGGTTTAATAGAAATTAAATTAGATGTCGTAACGGAACGAAAAAAATTCGTAAAAAAGATGTTTTTTATATGTGAAGTGTAATTTTGTAATATGATATGTGTTTGGATGTGGCCTGATGTAGCCTAAAAAAAAAAGAAGTGAAATTAGTGAATGGAAAATATACAAATAAATATACTATTTTTTTAGTAATCATAATGGTATTTAAACCGTATCGTATTGACAATTATGATTTTTATTTTTTGTTAATATAATTTTTAATATAAAAAAGTTAACTTTAATTTTTGACTGATTCTTAAATGATCTTGAATCATATATACATTATTTTACAGTATATTATTTTAAAATATATTATTTTAAAATATAGTATTTTGAAGTATATTTTCTGAAATAAATAAATATTTGAAATAATTTAATTATTTCAAATATAAATAATTTTATATACATATAATAAATATATACAATATATAAATATATAAATAAATAATTTTAATTATTTCGAATTTTGATAAAATTTTTGTCATAAAATTTTTGTCATATTTAGTGAGAATACGAATGATTTTAATATGATAATATCTAAAATGATTATAATACCTGTAACAGAGAATAATAAAGAATATAAATTATGCAATTTGATATGAAAAATAGTTAAATGAATTTTTCACTCACATTACTGATGAATTTCACGAATTTAATTTGTTCTTTTCTAGTAGAATTATCTAATTTATCATATAAACTACAAAACAATATTTATGTGCTAATAATATTAATATTATTAATATATAATATTAATAATAATATTATTACATAATTATATAATTATGTAATTATATAATTAAATATGAATTCTATTTTTTTTCTAGATTATATAAAAAAAATATTTTTGTAAAAAAATAAAATATTTTTTTCCGATAAAATTTAATCAATATAATATGAAAATCTAAGTTGAATCTAAATGGTGTGAATAATGTACAATATGTTAAAATTTCATTTTGTTCTCATTTTTAAAAATTGAAAGTGAAACAGAAGAATTGTAATTATACTCTTATTTTAATATTATTATTTGATTACTAAAAGTAGATAATATTTCATGTATATTTCAACGTACATCCTACAAATTCAACAATATCTTGTTTAAAAACTCGATTTCAGATGTAAAACTGAAAGTTATTACTCATAAACACAGTATGATATTATTATAAAAATCTATATAATTTATAGCTTTTTTATTATAGTATATGTAAATGATGTTCCATGTAGCCGTGGAATGTCTGCACATTCTTGCTTTTTTTCAACCCATAAATCAGTCTTTGCAACTTTGTAACAAAAATTGGAAACTGTTCACAGGCGTGCATAACAAAAATGGTGGTCAAACAACAAACATCTGTAGTGTCGGAATATTAAAAATCCAAGCATTGCATCAATTACATAATTTTTAAAGATATGGTACGTGAATCGAGAAACCCACAATAAAAAAGAAATGCCTGAGACTCCACGATCATGTTATCAATCATTTTTTGTCATTTTGTGTTAAGAGGCATCATAGTGATATAGAAGAATCTACTAGCATATATGAAATCGGCATAATTGATATAAATTTAAACTTATGTAAGTATTCATTTCAAATTGTTGATACTTGACAATGAATTGGACAGATGTATTTACAATGAGATTAAATTAATTTTATCATTTTAAATAAAAAAAATAATATACTTTTAAATTTATTCGACTGTAATTAATAATATGCAATATTTATTTTGAATATATATTTGATACATATTTTTTTATGTATACATGTGCAATTTATAACATTGTTGTTTGACGTAATATATTTAAATATCCAAAAACAGTTTTTATTATCTGAAAGTAAAAATATATTCGCATAAATATTTTCGAAATATTTGGGAGATCAATGATATATTTCTTTAAAAATTGAAAGAAATAAACGCACATTACCAAACGTGATTACCGACATATCAATTATCTTTCCGGCAGTCATTTTGTATTCTACGCTAGATCGTGTAATAATCATTATTAAATTAAGAATATCTTTCTTAGGTAATCGATACCAGTTTGTCATATAAACCATGTTACCAATTTCCTTACACCTTTCAGTTAGGACTTCACCGATATAACATATTAAAAATGTGTTTAAAGTTATATTTATTACCGCAAAAATATATGTACCGAGAATCCTAATATTATGTTCAGACCATTCCTAATAAAAAAATGAATATTTTCAATTAGATTAATCACTTGTTATTCGTGATATTATTAATTTCATGATTTTTTTTGACTTTGTGAGATTTATAAAAAATTACAACAATTATATTAGAATTAGGTTCATTTGTTTAATTGCAATTATATCAAATGTTCTTTATCCTTAGAAGAAGATTAAGTTTAATTCTAATCGATAATATAATATAATCGATAATAATGTATTTTAAAGTTGTAAAAATATTAGAGATGAATCTTGTTTCATGTCAAATCGAATAGAGAATTGTCCTATTAAAAGTGATAGATTTGATATAGAAATTTATATTTTAAATCAATATCTTTAAAATATATATGTTAATATTTTTATTTATTTTTATTTATTAAATAATAATAATGAAATTTACATCAACATGTATTTAGATAAGTTATTTTTAATATAAACAAAACTATTTATTGAACTTGAAAACGAAGTATTTTTAACAGATATATTTTAATTTGAAAAATGGCGTACCGCAAGAATGCAATAACTAAACAAGCATATACTCAATATATTCTTGAACATTTCCATGAAGCATATTGGGCACAATAGATGTTCAGCACGTTCTAGGAAACTTCACAATTAATATGTAATTAGAGATATTCTCTAGAGAAAGATAGAAATAGATACATAGACAGAAAGAGACAAAAAAAACAGAAGGAAACTACGTAAAAAGTGTTACCTTAGAATTCTCATATGATGTTCGATGATCACACTTATTTCATCAATGCGTACATTCTTATTTTCTTCCTGTGACCGGTTTATAAATTCTTTGATCCATGTAATCATTATAGTTAATTGACCAGAAGCGTGGCATGCAAATACTGTAGCAAAGCTGAAAGCGCTAACAACGGTAGCACTCGTAATGTATGCAGCCAGAAATTGAAAGCCAAGTACGATGTCATGCCCTGGATTAGTATCAACCGGAATTTTATAGGTTGGAGAAGGTAAAACGTATATTTCCATGCTTTCGTTGCCGACTTTTATTGTTCGTTTGAAAACTCCCAATACAGTGCAGAAACAAATAGCACTAACTTGCATGAAGCCTGCGATGCAACAGGAAATAATGCGACCAATTTTTGCATTTTTAAGCATTATTTGTCGATCCGTCATCCTCGTGATCGCCTTCCAATCAGTTTCCATATGCTCTATACAATAAAGTATATCATTTTTACGAAGTAACAACACGGCGTAATTGAGCCCTCCGCCAAAAATATAGCTTATAGGAGCCAGAGATTTTAATTTTGAGATGATATCTTCTTTCACAAGGGCGAAATGTAATAAGCCTGATATTGTGTCAAATATCGCGATAATCCAACAGAGAAGAATTAGAATCCTTGTTATTATCTTTTCGAATTTCGAAGTGGAGGATGGAAGTGGCCATACGCCTATTGTTTTCGAGAACCATTTGTTTAATTGTATACTATATTCGTTCAGACTACCAAACTTCTTTTGAATCACGGAAATGTCGTCCGTCATCGTGTTTCTTGTACGAAGTCGGAGGAATAACTGAATGGTATATACACATTGTTAGATGATGCGCGTCGATCGATACATATTCTGTTGCCATAACTATTGACAACGGTTAATCCATGTGTTTACATTTCACCTCATTGACGATACACAACGTGAAGATTATAGAGATTAAGTTAGTTATCTTAGCGGAACGATAAAATTTGTAAATAAAATGCATTTTATAAATAAAGTATGATTTTGAAATATTTCTATTATTTAATGTGAATCGAAAAATTAATAAGTGGAAGATTAATATATGTGAATTTTTTAATATTATTGCAGTGATGTTTAAATAATATAGTGTAACATATTGAAGATAATGATTATTTATTCTTTCGAAATAATTTTCAATATAGAAAAAATCAATCTTATTTTTTCTCTTTTTATTTGATTTTAAATGATTTTGAAACTTATTGAATATATTTTCAAATTGTTTATTCTGAAGTTTATTTTAGAATATAATTTTTGAAATTAATTGAATTTTTGGTGTAAAAAAAAAAATCAATTTTAATAATGTCTTGAAATAATAATTATTTTGAATTTTGATAAATTTTTTGTTACCGCATCATGAAATATTTATGTAGTAAGAGTACGAAGTAAACTTAAATATGCTAGAGATGATTTTAATACCTGTAACAGAGAATAATAAAATAAAATATAATTTATAGAATTTGATATGAAAAATAAATTTATGACTTACGCTACAAAAACTATTCAAAGATAATTCCACGAGTTTGCCAGCTGTTAATTTTGTAGAAGAATTTGAAGCTGCAGATATCAATATCAAACTGAGTGCTTTCTTTCCTGGTAAACGATGCCAATCAATCATATAAGCTGACAAACCAATATTTCTACACTATGATACATAATTAAACGTGAATTCTATTTTTTATTTCAGATAATAAAAAAGAATAATTTTTGTAAAAAAAAAACTACCTCTTCCGATAAAATTTCACCAATATAACATAATATGAAAATATTGAATATTAAAGATATGAGCAATATACAATAGGTTAAGGTCCCTATAGTTTCACTTTGTTCCCATTCCTAAAAATTCAGAATAAAAGATAACAATTATAATTTTGCTTTCTTATCACATTTATTTTGATATTATCATTTCATTACCTTAAGTAAAAAATATCCCAAGAAACATATATTCAGCGTACATCCTATAAATTCAACGAAACATATTTCGTTTAGAAGTTTTTCGATTTGGGATATAAAACTGAAAATTGTTATCTATAAACACAATACAATACTTCTATACAAATCTACATAATTTACACATTCTTTACCCTAATATATATAAATGATGTTCCACAATATTGCCTAATCGTTGTTCATGCACTATGTCTTCCATGGCTTTGTCTCCTTTCAGTCCATCAATCAATCTTCGCAATTTTGTTACAAGAATTTGAAATTGTCCACAGGCATGCATAACAAAAACGGCGGCCAAACTGCAAGCACCTACAGTGACGGAATATATCACAAAACCAGCTAAACATTGCATCAATTGCACGATTTCAAAGGACGGACTGGTGCGTGGATCGAGAAGGCCACGATAGATTGGAAATGCTTGAGATCTCACAATCTCGTTATCGATCATCTCTGTTCGTTTTGTGCAAAGAGGCATCACAATAGTATAGAAAAATCCACCAGAATACATGAAACCGGCGCAGAAAATCGCCAGAGATCGACCAATTCTCGCGTTTTCCATCATGATTTTTCTATCTTCCAAACATTGTTGCGAAGAAACACGAGACCAATCGATTCGAATGTCCTCGATACACTTACCGATGTACGATCCACGCGAGAAAAGAATATAATATTTGATTGCCGCCATTATACAGAAACTAAACGGACCGATCATTTTAATCTTCATATCGAGATCTCCTGTTTTGTCAAGGAGAGTGCATAGGGTGCAGGGTACGAGGAGGAAACCTATCAGAAAAATGCTGATTAAAGTAAGAATCACAGAATGAATTTTCTCTGTGGTGGTGACGCACAATGAGAGAGGCCAGATACCGATTGCTTTCAGCAACCAACGATTTATCTGAACACTGTATATCCAATCTTTATTGTATGAGACGGATGACGAATCCGTAAGTACGAACATAATGGTAATTGACAAGGCGAAAGTGCACGGTTAACTGAAGGGAAAGGTAACGTACAAAGGCGATAGTCATCGATTAGTGAACCTTTCGATAATGCGCATGTGCTAATTTCAATACTTTCGACTAACGATAAGTCGATTCATACGAGTTGCCAGTGCGGTTGAACTCTCTGTCGACCACCAGTTGATTCGATTCATAAGTACTTATATCAAATAATGGAAAGATACATAGATGTGTTGTATATAGTGTGAAAATATTAGAGGTTAGTTTTTAGATACGTTTTATATTGTGAATCGATATTTTTGTTTTCTGTCTCAATTACAGTAGTTTTTAAAAATTAATAATGAGTAATTTTTTTATAAATTCATTTTAGATATTTTTTGTAATGAACTTTCAAACAATAATAATTACATGGAACGATGATTATTAAATTGAATTTCTTCTTAGGATGGCAAAATTTATAAAAAAAGGATATTTTAAATGTTTGAAATACGATTTGAAAGCACATGTTGGACAAGCTGGACAATACCAATCAAGAAGTTAATAAATCAAGGTACAAAATTTATATTTTTCTTTTAATAATTTGTTTGATTTTTTAATATTGCACTCTATAGTATTGAAGTTTATGAATATTGAATATCAAAATTGAAATATCACGATTAAAAAAATTATATATATAATATTTATTTTTTTAATTTGTAATAATCTTCAATAATATAATATTGTTATTAGAAAAATTCGAAATTAATATATAAAAATGATGAGAAATATTTTTATATTTTTAATATTATTTATATTATTATTATATTATTATTATTATTTATATTAATATTATTTATATTATTATATTAATATTTTTAATACAAGTTTATGTATTCATATTTTAAGAGTGTATTCTATTAAGTCATTTGACGTAATAAATTCAAATAAGCAAAAGCAGTTTTTATCACCTGGAATAATAGTTACATTTTATAACAATTAATAGATACATGTAAATATGATTAAGCATATGACTCACATTACTAAAGGTATATATGGACATATGAACTAGCTTATAAGCAGTGATTTTAACCACCATGCTGGATCTTAAAATGATCTGTATTAAATTCAATATATCTTTTCCAGGTAAGTAATACCAATTAGTCATATAAACCGCTTCACCAATCATTTTACACTATTGGAAATTTTTATGATAAATGTCGGATACTTTGAATTTATTTATTTATCAAATCGCATGTCTGTTACCTGTTCAGTTAGTATATCACCGATATAACATATTATAAAAATATTGAAAATCATAGAAAGAAGTATTACTGAAAATACGATCAGATTCTGAATATCATGACCAGTCCATGCCTAAAAAAGAAATAAAAAATTTTAATTAGATTATTCATTTGTATTAAAGTTAATATTAAAGTTAAAATGTATACTTCAATTTAAATATTTTAGAATATCTGTTATATTTGCATAAAAATAAGAAAGATTAAATAATAGATAAAATTAAATAATTTAATATAAGTTAAAATTATTATAATTAATATTATTGAAATTATTTGCTAACGTGATATTATTATTGATGCGCAACTTCATTGATTATTATTAAAATAATTTTATAGATGTTTACAAACATCGACAAAGTTATAGAAAAAAAAACAAACAATGAAAAAAACATATTAGTCATTAAAAAATTTAATAAATTTCTTATTTAATGTTCTAAGATTCTTTCTAGATCTATTAAAAACATACCGTAAGAATATAATATCCAAGCATACATATGTTTACAGTACATTTGAATAATTCCATAAAACATATTCCACTCATTACATTTTCGATACCTGTTATAAAACTACAATCAATATATATTTAAAATCACTTTCAGAAAATAATATAACAAATAGTTAACAAATTAAGTTTTTCACCTCAAAATCCTCAAATGATGTCGAATGATCTCGCCAATGTCATTCAATACAACATTTTTATCTTGAACGTTTGAGTGATCCACAAATTGACGGATCCACGCCATTAAGAGATTTACTTGGCCACAAGCATGAGTTGTGAACACGGCTGCGATACTAACAGCTCCAACTGCACTCGAATTTACGATGAATCCGGACACGAATTGTGATGCAATAACGATTTCATTTGTGGGACTTGTATCAGCCGCGATTAATTTTTTGTATACTCTACAAGGTATCATATGTACAATTCTGGTTTCATTTCCGATCTCAGTAGTTTGCGTGGAGAATGCAGTCACCGCGCAATAGGACAAAACGCCACCTTGCATAAAAGCTGTGCAGAACATAGTTATATAACGACCTATCTTTGCATGTTTTATCATTACTTGTTGATCTTCCATTTTCCTTACGATTTCCCAATCTCTCTGCATATGTTCAATACAATACCGTATCTCTTTGTTCCGTAGTAACAACGTGGTATAATTAATACCACCTACCAACCAATGACTCAGTGGACCGAGCACTTTCAATTTCTCATGGAAGCTGTCATCTTCCAAGATCACGTGCAATAGGCAAGGAATTACGGTGAAACATATAAAACAATAACACCAAATAATTAAAACGAAAGAAATAATTTTCTCGAGTTTTGTGGTGGATGAAGATGAAGGCCATGCGCCTATTGATTTCAAAAACCACCGATTTAACTGTACACTGTAGTTGCTGAGATTGTGATTGTCCTGCTTGATCGGTACAAACTTGTCGATCATCGTGGCTACTCGCAAATACGACTGAATCGAATATTTTCCATGAATGAAGCATGGATATGTTGTATAACGCTTGCGCAAAGAATTTTTTTGTATAATTATAGAATCGATATGTCTAGTCGGTCTCCGCAACTTGTTGCAGTGTTATATGCGAATGTATAGAGTTGAGAGTTATTGATAGCTGTCGTGGGAATAAACAATGCGCGATTATTATAATATAGCGATTTATTGCTTATCATCGCGAAATGAAATTTATAAGATATTCGTAGTATTGTGCTTAAAAATGAAATGTGATGAATAATTTTGAAAATGGAATTTTTAAAATATAGAAAAAAAATTATATTATTTTTACTTCTATTTTTAAAAAGTTATGGTTTAAAACTGTTTACACTTCTTTTAAAAATGAGATAAAAGATCACATATGTTTAAAACTTGAGTATCTATCAGATATATTATGTTTTGATATGTTTCAGGTTTCAGATATTTGATAAAATTAACAAAGGATCAACAAAGGAATAGATGAATCAGACGCCATCAGTGAATTTCAACTATATCATCAATTTTAAAATAAATAATATTATATAACACTTGCAAGGTATAAAATTTATGATATCCTATTTAAAATATTGCAAATTCAGAATATTGTGATTTATCATCATAATCATTTTTAAATTATAATATGAAGATTATGATTGTATAATTATATAAAAATGAAATACGATATACGTTTTAATCTTTATCTCTAAATCTTACAAGTTTATGTATAGAATTACAAGTGCATTTCGTTACGTCACTTGACGTAATAGATTTAAATAAGCGAAAGCAGTTTTCATCACCTGAAGTAACAAGTAGTACATTTTACAGTAATTAATATATATATAGAAATATGAATAAGCATATAACTTACATTACCAAAGGTGTATATCGACATATGAACTAGCTTACCAGCAGTGATCTTAATCACCATGCTGGATCTTAAAATGATCTGTATTAAATTCAATATATCTTTTCCCGGTAAGTAATACCAGTTTGTCATATAAACCGCTTCACCAATCATTTTACACTATTAAAAATTTTTATGATAAATATTGATTATGATTTAAATTAATTTATTTATTTATCAGATAGTATGCCTGTTACCTGTTCTGTTAATATGTCACCGATATAACATATTATAAAAATATTAAAAATCATAGAGAAAAGAATAACTGAACATACGATTAAATTTCGAACATCATTATCAATCCATGCCTAAAAAATAAACAAAGGATTTTTAGTTGGATTAATTATTTGATATTAGACTTAATGTAATCACATATACTCTTATTCAAAAATTTACTATTTTATAATATTTACTATTTTTATTTAAAAATAACAAAAAATAGATAAAAAATAATATTTTAATATTTTATATAGCTTTTCGAACTATTGTTGATTGATTGGCATTATAATTGATAATGATAGTCATAACTCCATTGATTATCATCTAAACAATTACGAATACTGATAAAAGTCATAGAAAAAAAATTGATAGTAAAAAAAATATTTATCATTATAAGTTCGAACAAAATGCTCTAAATACAATTTACTTGATTTTTAAAACTAGAGATTTTTTTAAGGTTTTCTTAAATCTATTAATAACGTACCGTAAGGACATAATATCCAAGCATACATATATTTACAGTACACTTGAACAATTCCATGAAGCATATTCCGCTCATTACATTTTCGATACCTGTTATAAAACTACAATCAATGTGTATTTAAAATTGCTAAAAAAATTACGCGAAAGAAAGTTTAACAAATAAAAATTTTACCTTAAAATTCTTAGATGATGTCGAACAATCTTGCTAATCTTGTCCAATCCAACATTCTTATTATGAACATTTGAATGATTCACAAATTGTCGGATCCACGCCATCAGGAGGTTTATTTGACCGCAAGCATGAGCCGCGAACACAGCTGCGATACTGACAGCTCCAACTGCACTCGAATTTACGATGAATCCGGACACGAATTGTGATGCAATAACGATTTCATTTGTAGGACTTGTATCGGTTGCGATTAATTTTTTGTATACTATACAAGGTATCATATGTACAATCCTGGTTTCGTTCCCGATCACGATAGTTTGTGTGGAGAATGCAGTAACAGCGCAATAGGATAAAACACCACCTTGCATAAAAGCTGCACACATCATAGATATATAACGGCCTATTTTCGCATGTTTTATCATTACTTGTTGATCTTCCATTCTCGTTACGATTCTCCAATCTTTCTGCACATGTTTTATGCAATAGCGTATTTCCTTTTTCCGTAATAATAATGTGGTGTAATTAATACCACCTATAAACCAATGACTCAGTGGACCGAGAACTTTCAGTTTCTCACGTAAACTGTCATCTCCTAAGATTACGTGCAATAAGCAAGGAATCACGGTGAAACATATAAAGCAATAACAACAAATAATTAAAACAAAAGAAATAGTTTTCTCGAGTTTTGTAGTGGACGGAGATAGGGGCCATGTGCCTATTGATTTCAAAAACCACCGATTTAACTGTACACTGTAGTTGCTAAGACTATGATTGTCTTTGTCTGATTGTTCGATCGGTACAGATTTGATAGTCATCATCGTCACTCAACGAAGTCGCGAACACGACTGAATCGAATATTTTCCATGAATTGATATACGATATAGAGCATGGATATAGTTTCACAACGCTTGCGCAGAATTTTTTTGTCTAATGATCGATTCGGCTAGTTAGTCTCCGCAACTTGTTGCAGTGTTACAGTAAATGTATAGGATTAAGGATTATTAATAGCTATCGTGAAAATAAACAATGCCCGATTATTGTAGCGATTTATTGCTTATTATCGTGAAATAAAATTTATAAGGTATTCGTAGTATTGTGCTTAGAAAAATGAAATGTGAATAATCTTGAAAATGGTATTTTAAAAATATAGAAAAAAAATTATATTTTTGCTTCTATTTTTAAAAAGTTGTCGTTTAAAATTGTTTACATTTCTTTTGTACGAGGTAAAAGATCACACATTTCTAAAATTGGAGTATTTATCAGAAATATATATTATGTTTTGATATGTTTCAGATTTCAAACATTTGATAAAATAAAGGAGATCAACAAGGAATAGATAAATCAAACGCTATTAGTGAATTTCAATTATATCATCAATTTTAAAATATACGATAATTACTTGCAAGGTATAAAATTTATGATATCCTATTTAAAATATTGCAAATTCAGAATATTGTGAAAGAATAAAAAATTTCATTCTGAATTATAATATAAAGATTATGATTGTATAATATAAAAATGAAATATGATATATGTATTAATCTTTATCTCTAAATCTTACAAGTTTATGTATAGAATTACAAGTGCATTTTGTTATGTCACTTGACGCAATAGATTTAAATAAGCGAAAGCAGTTTTCATCACCTGAAGTAACAATACATTTTATAGTAATTAATAAATATATACAAATATGAATAAGCATATGACTTACATTACCAAAGGTGTATATCGACATGTGAACTAGCTTACCAGCAGTGATCTTAATCACCATGCTGGATCTTAAAATGATCTGTATTAAATTCAATATATCTTTTCCCGGTAAGTAATACCAGTTTGTCATATAAACCGCTTCACCAATCATTTTGCACTATTAAAAATTTTTATGATAAATATTGATTACGATTTATATTAATTTATTTATTTATCAAATAGTATGCCTGTTACCTGTTCTGTTAATATGTCACCAATATAACATATTATAAAAATATTGAAAATCATAGAGAGAAGTATTACTAAAAATACGACTAGATTCTGAATATCATGAACACTCCATGCCTGAAAAATAAAAAACTTTTCAAATTAATAATCTATCATAATATTAAAGTTAAAAAATATATATATATTCATTTCGTTTAAAAGTTCTAGAATATTTCAAAAAGAAAAAAATTAATTAACTATTAACAAGTATTTTATATACATGTATTTATAATATGTTATATAATATTATATAATATGTAATCATTTTTTAAATTAATGTTCGCTGATGACTTGATATTATCATTGATAGGCGTAACTTTATTGATAATCAACGATTACAATATTGATACAAGTTGTCGAAAAATCGTATATTAAAAATAGCATACTTATCATTAAAATTTTAAATTAAATTTTTCTCAATATAAGAACACAATTTTCTAGATCTTCAAACGTTATAGATCATCAAAATGTTTTGAGATTTTTTCTAGATCTGTTAAAAACGTACCGTAAGAATATAATATCCAAGCATGCATATGTTTATAGTACATTTGAACAATTCCATGAAACATATTCCACTCATTACATTTTCGATACCTGTTACAAAACTGTAGTCAATGTGTACTTAAAATCTCTCTCATCAAGATCATATAACAAAAATTGAATAAATCAAAATTAAATAAATTAAAATTTTACCTCAAAATCCTGAGATGATGTCGAACGATTTTGCCTATCTTGTCCAATCCAATATTTTTATCGTGAATTTTTTTCGAACGATCCACAAATTCACGAATCCATACCATTAGAAGGCTTAATTGGCCGCAGGCATGAGCTGCAAATACAGCTGCGATACTGACAGCTCCAACTGCACTTGAATTCACGATGAATCCGGACACAAATTGCGATGCAATAACAATCTCATTTGTGGGACTTGTATCGACCGCGATCAATTTTTTGTATGCTGTACAAGGTATCATATGTATGGTTTTAGTCACATTACCGATCTCAATGGTTTGCGTGGAGAATGCTGTCACTGCGCAATTGGATAAAACACCACCTTGCATGAAAGCGGCGCTAAATACAGCTATGTAACGGCCTATCTTCGCGTGTTTCATCATTATTTGTTGATCCTCTGTTCTTGTCACGATCCTCCAATCTTTTTGCATGTGTTCTATACAATACCGTATCTCTTTGCTCCGTAGTAACAATGTGGTATAATTAATGCCACCTATGAACCAATGACTCAGTGGACCAAGCACTTTCAGTTTGTCACGGAAACTTTCATCTTCTAAGATCACGTGCAATAGGCAAGGGATCACGGTGAAACATATGGAGGAATAACAACAAATAATTAAAACAAAAGAAATAATTTTTTCGAGTTTTGTAGTGGACGGAGATGGAGGCCATGCACCTATTGGTTTCAAAAACCATCGATTTAATTGTATACTGTAGTTGCTGAGATTGTTATTGGCTTGTTCAATCGATACAAACTTGTCGATCATTGTGACCACTCAGCGAAGTCGTGAACACGACTGAATCGAATATTTTCTTTGAATGGAGCATAGATATAGTTTCACGACGCTTGCGAGAATTTTTTTGTCTCAATATATGTGGATCGATTTGTCTAGTCGGTCTTTGCAACTTGTTGCAGTTCTAATGTATAGGGTTAGGAGTTATTGATAGCTATCGTGGGAATATGCAATCCGCGATTATTTAAACGGTTTATTGTTTATCATCGCGAAATGAAATTTGTGAGATATTTTGTGCAATGTTTAGAAAAGTGAAATATGCTCGATTATCATGGAAATAAAATTTGTAAAATATCGAAAGAAATTATATTTTTGCTTCTTTTTTCAGAAACTTATTATTTAAAAATTGCTTGTACATTTTTGAAAAATGGAAAAGACACATATTTGATTATTTATTAGAAATTTTATATTGTGTTTCAGATTTTCAAATCTGAAGAATTAAGAAGATCGAAGAAAAAATAGATGAATTAGACGCCAAAGGAATTATTCGATTCATGAATTTCAACTGTAACATTGATAAATTTTAGACGGTAATTAATACAATAATTTTTTGTAAAGTATAGAATTTATGTTTTTTTATTTAGAATATTTCAAAGTGTATATTTATGAGACAATGAAACAAATCTCGATTTTATTTGAATTATAACATGAGGATTTTAAATTATATAAATGAGATATGATACGTATTAATTTTTATCTGTAAGTTTAGTTTTTTATCTTAAATTAATGTATAAAATTACATAAAGTACGTTTAGTCACGTCACATGTCGTAATAGATTGAAGTATGTGAAAGTTGTTTTCATTACCTGGAATAACAATGGCTTTTATGAAGGAAAAATTTTATAATGACAGATATACATACAATATAATAATCTTACATTGCCAAATGTATATATGGACATATGAGTTAGTTTACCAGCTGTGATTTTAATAACAGCATTGGATCTTGAGATGATCAGAATCAAATCAAGAATGTCTTTACAAGGTAAATAATACCAGTTTGTCATATAAAGTACTTCACCAACTTTTCTACACTATAGAATTTGAAATTGATTATATTTTGAATCAGTTATGATATTGTACTATGTTTGTTACCTGTTCCATTAGTATGTCACCAATATAACATACTATAAAAATGTTGAAACTCATAGACGTTAATATCATAAAGTACGTAGTCAAATTACGAATATCATGATCGGCCCATTCCTGAAAAAATAAATATTTCAATTATCTATATTGAAATTAATCATAGATACTTCTAATTCTATTAATTTATTGATCATGATGAAAATTATAAAAGTTTCTTATCAGAATTATTAATTAAAATAATATTTTTCCTTCGTACCGTAAGAATATAATATCCAAGCATAGATATATCTAACGTGCTTTTGAATAATTCCATAAAGCAAAATCGATTCAACACATCCTCGATACCTGTTATGAAACTGCAATTAATATGTACTTAAAAAAATGCAGAAATCAATATCATAAATAATAATCAACAAATAAATCTTACCTCAAAATCCTGAGATGATATTCAACAATCTCACCTATTTCATTAATTACAACATTCTTATTATTATCCTTCGATCGATTTATGTATTCACGAATCCATCTTGTAATTATTGTCAGTTGGCCACAAGCATGAGCTGTGAATACGGCGCCAATGCTGATGGCTCCAACCGCGATCGAGTTTACTATAAATCCAGACACAAATTGGGAAATGAGGACAATTTCATTTGTTGGACTCGTATCAATTGAGATTAATTCTTTGTACACTGCACACGGCAACATATGCACGATCCTTGTCTCGTTACCGGTTTCTATAATCTGCGTGGAGAACGCAGTTACCACACAATAGGTGAGAACGCCACTTTGCATGAAAACAGCGCACAAAGCAGCGATATACCGTCCTATTTTTGCATATTTCATCATAATTTCTTGATCCTTCGCTCTATTCACGATCTTCCAATCTGTTTGCATGTGTTCTATGCAATACTGTATTTCTTTATTTCGTAGTAACAATGTGGTATAATTAATTCCACCTATGAACCAATGACTCAGTGGACCAAACACTTTTAATTTCATATGTAGATTTTCGTCTTCGAGAACGATGTGAAATAAACAAGGGATCACGGTGAACAATATAAAGCCGTAACAAAGTAAAATTAAAAAAAACGAGACGATTCTTTCGAGTTTTGAACTTGATGAGGATGACGGCCATGCGCCAATTGGTTTCAATAACCATCGATTTAATTGCAAGCTATAATCGCATAAACTATCAAAACTTTCTTCCGATATTACAGACTTGTTCGTCATCGTGTCTATCGAAGTTGTGGAAATGTCTGAATCGAATATTTCCAATAAAAGGAGTATGTTCATCAAGTTGCATAACGCTTGCGCAAAGTTCTTTGTACGATTATAAGCTGATCGATTAGTTTAGTTAGTCTTCACAATTTGTTGCAGGGATACACACAAATATAAATAGATATTAGAAGTTGATGATTATTCAATGAATAGTGTGATAGAGGTTTAATAAATTTAATTGAAATGATATAAAAAATTGTAATAAAAATTTGTGAAATGATAGTGCATTCAATGATATATTTTGAAATTAATTTTTTATAAATATAAGTCAATTAAAAAATGTTGATATTTAATATATCAGAATATACGGATATTGAATCGTATTATTGCATTAGAATTATGTTTGAATAATGATAAACAAAGACAAACTGATTTTTATCTTCTAATGTATACAAGTCTATTTAAACTTTGATACAATTAGAAAATAAAAATGATTAAAAAAGAAAAAAAATACGTATCAGATATAAGGATACGTAAAAATCAGAATAATATTTCATATTATTATCAATGATTATTTTTAACTCAAGAATCGGCAAAATTGTTAAGTTTAGGATAATAAACATCCGTATCATATTCAAAATCAATTTCATTTTTAATACAATATATAGACACGTGATCTTTTTACAACAAGTGTCTATTTACTATCAAAAGTAAAATATCTATATTACAAAAAATATGATTTAAGTCAATGCTCGCAACATGTTTAAAAAAGCCACCGACGTTTTTACAACCTATTTGTTTAAGATAATTTTGTTAATTTATAAATTCAAATGAGAAATATTAATAATTAAATATACTTACGTCACTAAAAGTATAAATAGATAATTCAACCATATTTCCAGCTGTAAATTTTATCGATGAATTGGACATTGCAATGATTAAAACACAGCAAAGCTTTTTCTTGCCTGTTAATCGATACCATTCGATCATATATGTCATTTCTCCAACTTTCTGACACTGTATTGAAATATTATTCATTTTCATTAATTTCTATTGAATTATTAGTTTAAAATTAATCGAAATATTATTGCAGGTGTTTGCAGTAAAAATATCCTACCTGTTCGGCAACCAGATCACCTATATAACAAAATATAAAAATGTTGAAGGTGAACGATATGAGTAATGATATGTAAGTTAACGAAAGTGATATTTCTTTCGGATTCCATTCCTATAAAATCAATAAAATTTGGCTTAGCGTGTCTATTGTTTCGGAATTTTTTATTGCATGCATACCACTATTAGATAATATCCGAGAAGACACATATTCATTGTACAGCCTAAAAATTCTACAAAAGATATTTGTTGAAGCGCTCTTTCTGTAAGTGCCAAAAATCTGAAATATAACGAATATAAATTGAAATAAAAATAATGCATATTCGAATTAAAAATGAAAATAAGGTATGTATTTGAAATTTTTATATATAAAAAAATAAGAATTAAAGATTCCATATTTAACAATTTGGAATTTTTATTTCAAATCTTACTTATTTTTAATGTATCTAAGATGTGTTTAAAAACCAATAAAATATTCGAGAGATTTAATTATAAATGAATAAAAAGAAATTTTTAAATTTTACAATAAAAAAATTTCTGTTGTTAAATTTTTAATGCCAACATTTTTCTTAGTCATTTTTCACTTTAATTACGATATAAAAAAATAATTATGTACGTATTACCCACTTTAATATCCGATCATGCTGAACCACAATTTTTGCGATTCTCTTATCCACGATTTTATTCATATCCGATCGGCCATCCACCAAACATTCCAACCAACTCATTAACATTTGCATCTGTCCACAAGCGTGCACTGCAAACACGGCGGCTATACTAACCACCGCTGCTGTTATTGCGTGTATGATGACACCTGATAAAACTTGAATGGAGAATAAAATTTCGTTAGCAGGGCTCTGACGCACATCAGCGATCAATTTCGAAGAAGGGAACGGTAATAGTATAAACGTTAAATTTTCATCCCTTATTTTACCCACGCTGATAGGTACAACGAAATAATAAAAGACAAATGCACTGTACACGAAAAAGGTGGAAATCAATGCTAATTTCTTTCCATAATTCGCATACTCGATCATGATTTTTTTATCCTCTTGATGTTTCACGTTTTTCCAATCCCATTTGATGTGTTCGATACCTTTACGAATATTGTCTTCGTGAAATATTAAAAAATAATATTTTATAAGCGTCATCACAAAAAAACTCAATGGACCGATCATTTTGATTCTGTTATACGTATCCTTCACCTCAACAATCAGGAACATGTTAGATGATGTGAGCATGAAGCTGATTAAACCGTAACAAAGGATACTTATCAACACGGAATAACATTTCCCTATTTTAGATTCGCGTAAATTTGGCCATGTACCGAGAGATTTCAGCAAAAAACGATTCCACTGTATGCTTAAATTCACATTCCTTTCATAATCATCTTGGACGATGATAGGCTGATTTTTTTCCATTGTTGACACTCGATAGTTGGGTAGATACTGAATATAGATGGACAAAGATTGCAGAGGAAAATAATATTGCGCTTGCGCTTAAATTATAAGAGAGAAAAGGATAAAAGAAGTAATATTTTTCAAAGGGTCCGACCCCCTTTTAGTTATTAGTTTCTTCAGTTTATGCATTATGTAGACAAGAGATGAGGGTTGATGACATAGAATCATCGATAAATTGATTTTTTTAAGCGTCAGTAGTGCACGAGTACCTTAGCGTGTAGCAACAGGTTGACGGAATCAATTTCTGAAGAATGAGTTTCTGTTAAGGGATTAAAAGATTAAAAAATTTTCCTGTTTAATACGTATGTATAGTTTATCGGAGTTATAGTAATATTGTTAGAAATGTATGTGAATATCATAAATGATGTTATTTTAGATGAATGAATTTTTTTTTATTTCTTTCAATTTAATAAAAAAAAGATATGAAATGTACATGAAATTTAGGATTGTTTATATGTTGTATATTGTTAAAATGAATAAAATATTAATTTTTTTCTTTTTTACAATATTTTTTTATAATTCTGTTTGAATTTTAAGATTTTATTTTGAAATTATTGATTATTGTTATAAATACAAATATCAAATATTAATTAAAAAGATAAAGAAAAAAATGTCAATTTTAATTGTAATTAATTGCATGAAAATGATTAATGTAAGTAGTTGCGTAATTCTTATTCCTAAGAAATTAAAATATAAATACGTGAAAATTAAGTAGAAAAGTCAATATATAACTCTCCATTCTATACTTAATTAGACATATACATAATACATATACTTTAAAAAAAAAATTCATCATTTATACAAAATATAATATATGTATATATAAAATATGTTAAAATATATAAAAATTTGAATTGTTTTAACGGGAATGATAATTATAGAATTAGGATAATGAATTTCTTCATTATATTTAAAATATCAATTTCATTGAATCTTTAATACAATAAGTACAGATATGTGAATTTTTTACAACTAGTATCAACATACTATCAAATATTAATGTTTGTTATTAAAAAAATATTTAAGTCAATGCTCGTAACATATTTAAAAAAGCCACTGAGGTTTTAACGACCTATTTTGGTACAAGATAAAAGCTTTTATCAATCAATAAATTTAAATAATAGAAATAATTTGATACTTACATCACTAAAAGTATAAATAGATAACTCAATCATATTTCCGGCTGTAAATTTTATTGATGAATTGGACATTGCAATGATTAAAACACAACAAAGCTTTTTCTTGCCTTTTATTCGGTACCATTCGATCATATATGCCACTTCTGCAATCTTTTCAGACTATATTGAATCATTATTTATTGTTAATTTCTATTTGTACGATTTGTTAAAAAAATTTGTTTAAAAAATTAATTGAAATATTATTACAGATATTTCCAATAAAAACATCTTACCTGTTCGGCAACCAATTCGCCTATATAACAAAATATGAAAATATTGAAAGTAATCGATGCGATTATTGCAATGTAAGTAAATGAAATTATCAATTCATTCGGATTCCATTCCTATAAAATCATATACATATAATTATTGTAATATTAATATCAAAAAATATGTATATATATGTAACTTTTAAATATGTATGTGTACCGATTGTTTCAGAGTTTTTTATTGCATGCGTACCACAATTAGATAATATCCGAGAAGACACATATTCATTGTACAGCCTAAAAATTCTACAAAAGATATTTGTTGAAGCGCTCTTTCTGTAAGTGCCAAAAATCTGAAATGTGACGAATATATGTATTTCCAAAAGATTTAAATATAAAAAAATTCAAAATTTCAAATTTAACAATTTTTAATGTTTTTAAATATTTAATTTTTTTAAATCAACAATTAAATTTTAAATTTTCAAATTTTATTTTTATTTAATTTCAATCTTTTAAATTATCAAATTAACAAATTAATGAAAATTAACAAATTAAAAAATAAAAATTTTCAAACATTTGAATTTTTTATTTTATACAGTGACCAATTTTCTTGTCAAATCGATAAAGTTATATATTATTGAAAAATTCTTGTAGACACAAGGGGAATTCTCCACACCCTAACTTACTAACCCTAACTTTCTATTCATTGTAATAATTATATTTTAATTTTATGATTTTATTAAAACAATTTTTTTTTTAAATCACACGATATTTTAATAGTAAATAATTTTTTCATTAAATTTTTTACTATATTTATACTAATTATAATACAATAAATAATTATATATATTACCCACTTCAATATTCGGTCGTGTTGAATCACAATATTTGCAATTCTGTCATCTATTTTTTTGCTCATGTCCGATCGGCCCTCCACTAAGTGATTCAACCAATTCATCAACACTTGCATCTGTCCACATGCATGTATTGCAAACACAGCGGCTACACTGCAAACCGCCGATCTTATAGCGTTCATCACGATACCTGTTAGAATTTGAATAGACAACATGATTTCGTTGCAGGGACTGTCACGCACGTCGGCAATCAAAATCGATGCAGGGAATGGCAATTGTATAAACGTCAAATTTCCATCCACTATTTTTCCTCCGCCGAACGGTTGAATAAGAAAATAAAATATGAAAGCACATAACATGAAAAAGAAGCAAATGAAGGCCAATTTTCTTCCATAATTCGCATACGTAATCATAATCTTTCTATCCTCTTGGTGTTTAACGTTCTTCCAGTCCCATTCAATACGTTCGATACCTTCACGTATATCATTTTCATGGAGCAATAGAAAATAATATTTCATGAATGTCATCACGAAAAAACTCAATGGACCCACCATTTTGAGTTTGTTATATATATTGTTGATTTCCACCATCAGGAATATGCTACAAGACACAAGCATGAAACCGATCAAACTGTAACAAATGATACTGATCAACAAAGAATAACATTTCCCTATTCTTGACTTGCGTAAATTTGGCCAAGCACCAATCGGTGTCAACAACCAACGATTCCACTGTATGCTCAAATTCGTCTTCCTCTTATCGTCATCCTGAGTGATGACGACTTGTTGATTTTTCATCGTTGACACTCGAGAGCTCGCTAGATACTAAATGTTACTGGTTCGATGACAATTGAAATGAAAAATCGCGTTGCGCCTGCGTTTGAATTTCGATTCGAAAGAGTAAATGATATTAATATTCTTTTTCAAAGGGTTCGACCCCTCTTGGTCCTTTGTTTGTTCATATATTATCAATGATGAGGGTGTACGATAGGAGACATCAATAAATTGATTTTTTTCAAACCTGTATAGTGCACGAGCGCTTTAGTATATAGCAATAAGTTGAAAATATAAATTTCTGGAAGATAAGTTTCAATTTTATTTCATTTTTCATTATAATGTTTCTAATGTTTTGAAAAATTAATTTAAAAAGAAATTGTATTATATGTGAAATTGTATGTGCATTAAAATTGATGTATGTAATAATTTCTTTTATAAAACTTTCATATAATGTGCTATGATCCATTTTCTTTGAAACTAATATTAATGTGCATTCATTAAAAGTATAAAAAAATAATAAAAATGAATATATATTCTGGATCATAAATTATCATATTCATTAAGTGAAGTGTGTATGATTTTTATAGGAATAAAGATATACATTATAAGAATAAATTAAAAAATTATTAGTAATTCCTACTGTTGCTATTCTTTATATTTCAAATTTTATAAATCTGTGCATTAATTAAAAAAATACATTTTGTTACGTCACTTGACGTAAGAGATTTAAATATGCAAAACCGGTTTTTATAACCTGGAATAGCAATAAATTATAGCAGAAGCGAAATGCATATAAATATGTAATTAAATATCACTTACATCGGTAAATGTTTGAATAGACATATGAATTAATTTTCCTGCAGTAATTTGAACCACTACGCTCGATCGTGCTATGATTAAAATCAAATCGAGGATCGTCTTATCGGGTAAATAATACCAGTCAGTCATATAGACTACTTCACCGACTTTCATACTCTGTTAAAAATTCGTGATTAATATTTATTATATTACAGACTGATCTGATTCCATATTTCATAATAAATCTGATACCTCTTCTGCTAATATTTCGCCGATATAACATATTATAAAAATGTTGAAACAGACTGAAACGAATAACATAAAATAAATGATCATACTTCGTTTATCATAATCAGACCATTCCTAAAAAAATATAAAAAGCACAAAATAATGCAAAAAAAAATTTTTGAAAACAAATATGATTTTAATTATATTATGAATAATTTTCTTTTTATAATTATAATATCACTACATAATGTATACCATAAGTATGTAATAACCAAGGCAACATATATGCAGGCAGCACCTAAATACTTCCAAGAATATTATCCGATTTATCGTTTCCTCGATACATGATATGAAACTGTAATTAAAACATAATCATGAAAATGATTGATAGTGATATTTGAATGAACATAATAAAAAATAACATGATAAACATAATAAAGAACATAACAAAGAAATTTTATTTAAAAAGATGTATTACAAATATGGCTTAATTAAAGATCAGATGAGATAGCGATACTCATAATAATTGATGTTTTTATATATTAATATGTTTATCAATAAAAATTTTTCATTATATAGCATATAACAGTATTAGCATGTTATCTTATTTTTTCAATTATATAATTGCAATATTGATGAAACATTAAGATAAAATTTCTATTGAACATTTATAAATTATTAAAAACCAATTATATTAGATTTTTAATTTTTTTATTTTTATAATTACCAAGAACATTTATAATTTAAAATATTTTTAGTAAAATAAATATAGAATTTTATTGAGAATTATATATCTCATATTAAGAGTTCATAGTCTATAGTGTGCATACTTAGAAAATACAAAAATACAAAAACAACCTTACTTTAATGTTCTTAGATGATGCTCCACGATAAGGCCTATTTCTCTAAAAATCATTTTCTCTCTTTTCTTCGATTTATTTACAAATTCCGTGATCCATGTCATAACTATACTCAATTGGCCACAAGCATGTGCTCCTAAAATAGCTGCGAGACTGAAAATTCCTGCAGTACTAGAGTTTACAATGAATCCTGATAAAAATTGTGAAGCAATGATAAGTTCGCTGTTAGGACTGCGAGTAACATCTATTAATTTTTTGTACACAGCACAGGGTAGCACATGCACGATCTTTGTTTCGTTACCGATTTGAATGAGTTCTGTTCTTGAAATTGTCATGCAACAAAAGCATAGAACTCCGCTCTGCAATATAGCCGCCGAAATAGCTGCAACGTAGCGGCCGAATTTTGCATTCTTCAGCATTACCTGTTGATCTTCTTCTCTTATTATTGTCTGCCAATCAGTTCTTATATGTTCGACACATAATCGTATTTCTCTACTTCTTAACAATAAAGTAGTATAATTCATTGTACCAACAAACCAATGAGCCAGTGACCCAAGTACTTTCATTTTCAAGTAAAAACTTTCATCTTCTAACAACATGTGAAGCAAGCAAGGAATTAAGGTGAATAATAAAGAACTGTAACAGGAGACATTCAAAAGAAAAGAGATGATTCTTTCATGTCTAGTTGTAGAGGGAAAACTGGGCCAGGCTCCAATCGGTTTCAGAAACCAACGATTCAATTGAAGACAATAATCGCTGTTGGTATCAGAATCAGTCTTTATCGCCACGGATCTGTTTGACATCGTGGCTATTCATCGACGTTATAAACACAACTGAATCGAAGATATTTTTCTCACGACGTGCGTGACAGTTCTAACGCTTGCGCAGGTTTCTTGGAAGAACTGATTGATTTGTCTAGTCGCTATTACTTGTTGCAGTGGTGAACGCATTTATGATCGATGAACATGCATATGGAATTTCAGTGTCATTCGATAGATTTAATTATTTCAAAAATGATGAAATATCGTGATAATCGATAGTTAAAATGTTTGGAAAGAAATGTGAAAGTCTAACTCAATGAATAATTTTACTTCGACAATAATATTAAATGATGTAATATTGGACATTAATGAGCATAAATTGAAAAAATAATTAAAGTAAACTTAAAGTAAAGATTAATAGTTAAAGTTTCAAATAAAATACTTTAATTAATAATGTTATTTGAAATATTTGACTAAATTAATTTTAACATCGATTGATAATTAATCAAGATTTTTTGAAGAACAGTCAACTATAGCTATGAATAAAAGTTAATTACTGCAACTGTCACTTCAATTTAATTTTATCGAAGACATTCAAATAAGTCAAAAATAAAACAATAGCAATTTTTTTTTTATAAATATCTCGAAAACTAAAGTCGAACAGTGATAACATACACAGGAAAGAATTATTCAAAATATTAATTTTTATAACATTTCTAAAAATTATTAAAATCGATGAAAATTCGAATAGTTATGAAAATAAAATTTTATATAAAAAAAATAAATTATTATTGAAATTATTTGATGATTATATATAAATAAAAAAATTAGCTGCTTTATATATTTAGTCAAAATGTTCGTTTTTTATTATGTTATTTATTATTTAAATAAAAATTTAACTTTTGAAAATCAATATTATACAAGAAATAAGAAATAAATTATTTTTATAAATATTTAAATAATTTTTATGTAAATGAAAATTATTTATTATTTATGATTAAAATATTAATTTTATTTATTATTGATAATAAAAATTGATAAAAAAAATTTTTTTATTCTGATTTATTCGAAGTCTTTGATAAACTCATGTTAAAATTATTGCGATAATTAATTTTTATTCCCAGGTATAATTAATTAACAATTATAGAGAAATTACAATTTTTCAAATAATCTTGATTAATTGCAATTAACCGTGATTATTCGATATTTCGAATAAATTATTTTCGAAATAACTTAATTCCTAATTTCAATTTCAAAATTTTCCAAAATCTTACTTACATTATAATTGACTTTTTCGTAACATTATATTGTATATTAAGATTATATTGTAAAAAAGTAATTTATTTTTATTTGCGATTATATTTTTATTATATTGTAAAATGAAATGAATATATGGAGAAATTTTAATTTTTATAATTAATTTTATAAATTTAATATATCAATATTTTTAAAAATTTTATTTTATCACGTCATTTGTCGTAGCAGATTTAAATATGCAAAAGCAGTTTTTAACACCTGAAATGGTAAAATATTTCATGAAGATTACATTAAAGATTATCTATAAATACAACTATCAAACTTACATCACCGAAAGTATAAACGGACATATTAAATAATTTTCCAGCAGTGATTTGGACTACGACAGTCGATCGTAGTATTATCAAAATCAAATTAAGGATTGTTTTATCGGGTAAATAATACCAATCTGTCATGTAAACCACTTCACCAATTTTCATGCACTATTGAGAATTCAATCGATTGATTATGATAATGATTTTCATCCATTGTATTTCAACGTATATTATAACATGAACTATTTATAGTATATAACTTTGATACCTGTTCTGTCAATATTTCACCGATATAACATATAATAAAAATGTTAAAACAAATCGAGAGAAGCATCATGAAATAGGTGGTTAGATTTTGAACATTTTTTTCCGCCCATTCCTAAAATAGAGATATAACACAAAATAATAATAAAACGAGATTAAAATACAAGAGAAATAAAATCATTTTTAGCGTGTACCGTAAGAATATAATAACCGACTATACATATGATCATCGTGCACCTAAACAATTCCAAAAAATATATCCGATTCATTATATTCTCAAGATATGTTATAAAACTGCAATTGAAATCATATCATAATCATAGAAAAATCTGAGAAAATATATAAAACCATCATAAAAAAATCTTACTTCAACACTCTCAAATGTCGTTCTACGATCATTCCTATTTCCTTAAAATCATCTGTTTTTTTTTGCTCTCTCGATTGATTCACGAATTCCGTGATCCATACCATAACCACACTTAATTGACCATATGCATGAGCGGCAAGAACAGCCGCGAGACTGAAAATTCCAACTGTGCTGGAATTTGCGATGGCGGCTGCCACAAATTGGAAACAAAGCATAAAAATGTTGATGGAACTTTCCTCAACGTTTACCAGTTCTTTGTACACAGCACAAGGTAGCACATGAAGAACTCTCGTCTCGTTGCCTACTTGAATAGTCTCCGTCGTCAATATAGTCACGAAGCAAAAACATAAAATACCACCTTGCATGAAGATGGCGCACGAGGCGGCCACATAGCGGCCAAATTTTGCATTTTTCAGCATCGTCCGTTGGTCCTCCATTCTTTTTATTGTTTGCCAATCAGCCTCCATATGCTCGAAGCAATAACGTATGTCTTTACTTTTCATTAATAAAGCTGTGTAATTAACAGTGCTAACGAACCAATGGCTCACAGGACCGAGTGTTTTTAATTTCAAATAAAAGCTTTCCTCGGCTAAGATTATTTGCATCAGACTAGGAGTCGCGCATAATATCACAATCGCGTAACATACGATATTTAAAATTAACGAAACGATTTTTTCAAGTTTTGTGGTGGTGGAGAACAAAGGCCAAGCACCGATTGGTTTTAGAAACCATCGATTCAACTGAAGACTGTAATCACTGTTGGTTTTAGTTTCGTCTGTGATCGCGGCTTGGTTCATCATCGTGAAATGAAGTTGACAATAATGTGCGGTATTCATGCATTGATATGCGTGAGATTATTCAACGCTTGCGCAAGTTTTTTTAGTATTCGATCGATTCGTCTAGTCGGTTAAATTTCTTTCGGAGAAATATTCAGGTAAGTTGAAAATTGTAGGTTGTAATCGTGTGAAGTGAAGGGTGCATGAAGTGTATGATAGAAGCAAAGTATGAGAATATGGGAAGTATATGAATACGTGAAGTGCTATAAAGATTTATACATGTTAAAATTGCTAGAAGATTATGCATCATTATAACTATATATATATCATTATAACTATTATATATGTATATATATAATTATAATTTGCGTTAATATTTGTTCGAATTTTAAGATCTCATAATTTTAAAATTGTGAAATTATTATAAATACAAATATTCTCTAATATTATAATTAAGAAGAATAAAATTTGAAATAGAGAAAAAAGTGGGCTAGATATCGATTAATTTCAAAAAAATTATAGTTTTTATAATCAGGGATTTAAGATGTTCATCGAAATTGCGTAAAGTTTTCAGTTAATGTAAGAAATTGGTTGATGTACATTTTCTTTCTGAATAATACTCTATATCCAATCGATTTGTCTAGTCGTTAGAATTTGTCACAGAAGAGCACGCAAATATGTGTTCAGAAAAAGATTGTGGTAATCTTCTCAACTGTAGCATAAGAAATGGTCTTGACCTAAGAACTATGAACTTTTATAGTAATAGTAACACAAAATATTCACATCGCAATTGTACGGATCATGTTGAGGTATGCAAAAGATGCTTTAAATACCTAAAAGATAAAGTTCATATATAAGATTATACAGAAAATGTTTTCATATCAATACTTACAGCAGCAAAAGTCGCGATAGAAATTTGTATGAATTTTCCAGCAGTGATTTTAATTACCATACTCGATCTTGAGATGATTAATACTAAGCCGAGAGCAGTTTTATGAGGTAATTGATACCATTCAGTCATATAAAATTTCTCTCCCACTTTTTTGCCCTGTTGAGCATTTAATTTCGTTTTAAGTTTTAAATAAGATTCTTCTTTAATTTTACTCTCTTACCTGTTCTGTAACTATCTCTGCTATATAACAAAATATAAATATGTTAAAAACCATAGATGCATATACGATTGCATATATAGCTAATATTGTCTTTGATTTTTCCTAAGAAATTAAAGTATGAACGAAAATTAACTAGAAAAGTCATCGCATGATTATATTTCCCGTTTAATATATGTATATGTATACGTGCGTAAAAAACATTTAAAAATTTAAATCATTTAAAGTAAAAATATTATAAAAATATTTTTAAATATTATATTATATTATATTATGTTTTTTTCTATATTTCTGCGTTAAAACATACCGTGAGAAAATAATATTTAAGTATACACATGTTCATTGTACATCCCACTAATTCAACCAAGCAAATCATATTCATAACTTTTTCCATATACCATACAAGACTGAAACCAATATTTTTGTGTATAAATCTATCATAAGATAATAAATGTATAAATATAAATTATAAATTAAATATAAAATATAAAATATAAATTAATTGGGGAAATCGAAATAAAAAAATAATAAAATAATATAAATAATAAATTTATAATTCTATAAGATTTTAGAAAGAAAATTTAATTAAAAAAAAATCTATATTTTAAAATATATCATGAGCATCATAAGTATCAAGATATTCATAATAGTTTAGAAAAATAATATAAGTGCACGTTTATTTATTATATCATATCCATATTACTTATAAAAAATATTCATTATTGAATTTCTCAAATTGAGAGATACAAATATTTCATTACGATATATATTATCATTATCAATAAACATAAAAAAAATATACTAATCAATTACCTTAATGTTCGTAGATGATGCTCAACGATAAAACCAAGCTTCTTATGAAGCATGTGCTCGTCCTGTTTCTTCTCATTGTTATTCTTTACCAAGTTATCCGACTTGGACATTACCACGTTGAACTGGCCACACGCGTGCATTGCTAATACGGCAGCCAGTCCGCAAGCTCCAACTGTGACCGAGGTTGAAATGAATCCGGAGACGAGCTGTAGAACGAATACGATCTCGTTCATGGGACTAAATCTAACATCTAACAGGTTCGTATAGAATGGACAAGGTAACCGATACATCGAGTAGCTGTCATTTCCAATTTGAAATGTTATCTTTTTGAAACCTGTGATCACGGTGTAAGACATAATTCCGCTATGCATGCAAAGTGCGGCGATGCACGCGATGAAACGACCGAGTTTGGCGTTCTTTAGCATCAATTCTCGATCTCTGGCCTTTCGAACTGTTTTCCAATCATGTTCTATATGTTCAATGCAATAGACAATCTCCTTTGCTTTCATCAATAGACAACAATAATTCAATTCCCCCATCATCCAATGACTTGTTGGCCCGATTGCCTTCATCCTGGTCTTCAAATTTTCATCTTCGTAGAAAATATACATCACGCATGGCATCACCGTGAAAATAATCAGCGAATGGCAGATAAAGTTTAATAATTTGACGAGTAATTTTTGAGTTCTTGTGGTCTTCGTGACATTCGGCCAAGCACCGATCGGTTTTAATAACCAACGATTCACCTGAATGCTGTACTCGTAATCTCGGACATAAGACACGGGTATTAATACAGATTGATCGTTTAGTTGATTCATCATAGATACTTCACGTAGGACGTTCGTCGAATGAATGATGACTTGAGTTTAAGCTCTAATAGTCAGGTAAAATGGCGCATGCGCGAATTTTTTTCTTTGATACGAATCGCTATAATACAAATGTTTGGTCTTGACGAGATTATGCGATTAATCAGTAGTGCAATAAAAGTAAGATATAATGGATTGATGTACAATGAAGTGATTTCAATTTATATTTTTTTTTGTTTATTGTTTTTTTCATCATTTCTTTTATTTTTATAAATAAAAATAAATTGACAAGTTAAGTTAATACTTGATGAGAAAAATGAATATGTCTTTTTGAAATTGTTTTTAATACGAGGAATAGTGAGGTTAGGGTAATGAGTTTCATTATATTTAAAATATCAGTTTCATTGAATCTCTAATACAATATGTACAAGTATGTGAATTTTCCACAACTAATATCTACATACTACCAATTTAAATATTTGTTATAAAAAAATGTTCAAGTCAATGCTCGAAACATGTTTAAGAAAGCCACCGATGTTTTAATGACCTATTTATTTAAGATATTTTAACTTATAATCTATAAATAATCTATAAATTTGAATGAAAGATAAAAATATAGATACTTACATCGCTAAAAGTATAGATGGATAATTCAACCATATTTCCAGCTGTAAATTTTACCGATGAATTGGACATTGCAATGATCAAAATGCAGCAAAGTTTTTTTTTGCCTGTTAATCGATACCATTCGATCATATACGCCATTTCACCGACTTTCTGACACTAAATCAAGACATTATTCATTTCTATTAAATACTATTTAAATGATTTATCGTTTAAAAAATTAATTTTTATTGTTACAGATGCTTCCAATAAGAATATTTTACCTGTTCGGCAACCAAATCGCCTATATAACAAAATATGAAGATATTGAAAGTGATAGATATGATTAAAGCTACGTAAGTTACTGAAAGTATTATTTCTTTCGGATTCCATTCCTACAAATTAATAATATATATAATCAATGCAATATTAAAATAAAAATATATATAGAAATAGAATTCTGAATGTAGAATTCTGTGTGCCTATTAAAATTTGTTATCGCATACCACTATTAAATAATATCCGAGAAGACACATATTCGCAGTACAACCTAAAAATTCTACAAAAGATATTTGCTGAAGCGCTTTTTCTGTAAGTGCCAAAAATCTGAAATACGACAAATAAGTTATTTTATATAAGATTCAAATATCAAACGATTAAAATTTTTAATTTTAATACTTTAAAATTTTTAATTTAAAAATTATTTCTAATTTTTATAAACATCTATTTTCAAATGTACTTTATATTATCATATTTTCATAAATCGAAGAATAAAAAATTTCAGACACAAACTTTTAATTGTACATAGCAACCAGATTCGATTTCTTTGGTGAATATTTAAGTTGTTATATGTTGCTGAAAAGTTTTCCATGCCGGCAACAGTTGCGACGTTTTTTGTCCCCTAACTTATTGTCACGCGATGAAATACGATCGTATTTATAAACAAGAAACTTTAACCCTTTACCATCGTATTTAATCTCTCAAAAATAACAAATCATATTTATATTTATTTTAAAGGATTTTTTCTCAACAACATTAAATTTTTGGTAAAATTTACAACAATAATAATATACATAATATATATAATATTACCCACTTCAATATTCGATCATGTTGAATTATAATATTTGCAATCCTGTCATCTATAGCCTTGCTCATATCCGATCGGCCATCCACTAAATGATCCAACCAGTTCATCAACACCTGCATTTGTCCACATGCATGCACTGCGAATACAGCGGCTATACTACAAGCTGCCGATGTTATAGCGTGCATCACAACACCTGTCAGAATTTGAACGGACAATACGATTTCATTGTAAGGACTGTAATGTACATCAGCGATCAAACTCGACGAAGGAAATGGTAATTGAATAAACGTCAAATTTCCATCTTCTATTTTCCCCACGCTAAACGGTAAGACTAGATAGTAAAATGCAAATGCACTATACATGAAAAATATGCAAATAAATATTAATTTTCTTCCATAATTCGCATACGCGATCATGATATTCCTGTCTTCTTGATGTTTCACGTTCTTCCAGTCCCATTCGATGCATTCGATACCTTCACGTATATCATTTTCATGGAATAATAGCAAATAATATTTCATGAATGTCATCAAGAAGAAACTCAATGGACCAATCATTTTGATTCTGTTATATACCTTCTTGATTTCCATCATCAAAAACATGCTACAAGACACGAGCATAAAACCGATCAAACCGTAACAAATAATATTGATCAACAAAGAATAACATTTTCCTATTCTCGACTTGCTTAAATTTGGCCAGGCACCGATCGATGTCAACAACCAACGATTCCACTGTATGCTCAAATTCGCCTTCTTACCGTCATCCTGCGCGATGACGCACTGTTGTTTTTCCATCGTTGATGCTCGAGAGCTCGCTGGATACTAAATGTCGGTGGTTCGATGATGATTGAAATGGAAAATCGCATTGCGCTTGCGCTCGAATTTCGATTCGAAAGGGTGGATGAAAATAATATTTTTCAAAGAAGTTTGACCCCTCTCGATTATTAGTTTGCTGGTTTATGAATTATGAATATGATAAGGGTTGATGATGTGGAATCATCGATAAATTGATTTTTTTCAAACGTTAGTAGTGCACGAGTGTATTGACCATTTCGCAACAGGTTGAAGTAATCAATTTCTGAAGAATGAATTTTTATTCGAATAAGCTTTTTATGTTTTTTAAATATTGGATGCATAAATTTATATTGTAATAATTTTGTGAAAACCATTTTACAAATAATAGATTATTATTATAAGACAAGTTGCATAAAAATTATTTGTTTCAACTTTGTCGGCAAAAATTTTAAAACAAAAAATAATATATAAAATTATAGGATTGTGCATATATTAAATTTAATGTAAAATATCAATTTATACAATATAATGGTAGAATTAATAATATTACAAATGAATTTTATTATATTATAAATATTAATTATCAAAATTTGAATTTTATTTCTATATTAATATTATTTAAATATATAGCAAATATTTAATCTGCATTCTACTTTAAAGAACGTTTATGTTAATGTTCGTAATACGTTTAAAAATGCAACGGCTGTCTTAACAATCTATTTGAACAAAAAATAAATATTTAAATCATAAATTTATAAAAATGATGTAAACATGTTTATACTTACATCGCTAAAAGTAGTCAAACACAATTCAACCATATTTCCAGCAGTCAATTTAATCGATGAATTAGACATTGCAATTATCAAAACGAAACAGAGCTTTTTGTTTCCTTCTAATCGATACCAATCGACCATATATGAAATTTCTCCAATTTTCTTGCACTGGAAAAAGTATAGTTCAAGAAAAAAAGATAAATTTATAAATTATTAATAATATTCTAACCTGTTCGGCTACCAATTCGCCTATGTAACAAAATATGAAAATGTTAAACGTAAGAGATATTAGCAGTATGAAAAATGTTACTGCACTGGTTAAATGACTCGAACTCCATTCCTAAAATATGAATGAATTACGTCTTAAAATTTTGTATATTTATTTAAATCATTTAGTTTTAATAATACTGTAGTACCATAATAACATAATATCCAAGAAGACATATGTCTAACATGCAACCTAAAAATTCTACGAATGACACTTGTTGAAGTGCTTTTTCTGTAAGCGCTAGAAATCTGAAATTGATGTGATATATTATGTCGATATTTAATTCTAATCTTTAAGATAAAAAATTCCAATTTTATAATCTCAAAATCAATAAACTTTAAATAAAAAAATTTAAATTTAAAATTTGAATTTTGACGCTTAAAATAATTAGATTTCAAGATAAAATTTTTATTTTTTAATTTTACACATAGAATTCGTACACACTTCAATATTCGAACATGTTGATTCACAATGCTTGCGATTCTGCTATCCACATTATTATACATATCTGATCGACCGTTTATCAAATGTTTCAGCCAGCTCGACAACACCTGCATTTGGCCGCAAGCGTGCACCGCGAATATAGCAGCCAAGCTACAGGCTGCAGTCGTTATGGTATGCAATAGAACACCGGCGACCAATTGAATGAAAAATACGATTTCATTCGTAAAACTATAGCGAGTATCGATGATAAATCTCGAGAAGGGAAACACCAAAGGAATGAAGGTAATATTGTCATCCTCCGCAGGAATTTTCCCAACGCTAATTGGCACGGCAATATAGTAAAAGGCGAAACCACTGTACATGAAAAACGTGCAAATAACGACCAGCTTTCTTCCAAAATTTGCATTCGTTATCATGATTTCTCTGTCTTTAGAATACGTGATATTCTTCCAATCCCATTCGATACGTTTGATGCATTCGCTGATATTATCTTTATGTAGGATTAACAAATGGTATTTTAGAAATGCCATCACGCAGAAGCTCAATGGACCAAATAGTTTTATTCTGTTGTAGATATCTTCCACTTCGAGAATCACATACAAACTGCATGGTATCGAGAGGAAACTTATTAGACTGTAGCAGATTACATTTATTAATCGATAAAGATATTTTCCTGTCGTTGAAATGGTGGAGGAATTTGGCCAGAGACCGATCGGTTTTAAAATCCAGCGACTCCATTGAATGCTCAGGTTTACGTTTTTCTTATAGTCGTAATCTGTTCTGATACATGACATGCCCTCGATTTCTAATTTATTCATCATTAGAGTTTGAACGTCGCTTTCGAACTAACCAGCAATTGTTTGATCTCAGGTTTTAGAAAAAAGAATAGAGCGCTTGCGCCGGTTTTCCAATTCCCTGGTTTTCCTTCGGTAGAGGGGAACAAGTTTATTTTCTCCGATGAATTGAAGTATTCTCCCCTGTTGCATTGTGTTGGACTTTTTTTATTTATGCATTATGAGTTCAAAGTGCTACGAATGATAGTGAAGCCATCGATTCATTCATAAAACATCAAAACAACATTTCTCGATATTATATGGAGTTATTTTTGAAGTTTAACTTTCATTTTTTATTATTTAACATAAAGAAAAGAAATCATTCTAAAAAATTAGTAAGTATCAATTGTAAATTTTTTTTTATTCACATTTATAATAAAATTTGTTTCTTAGATTCTTTATATAATAAGACATATGAAAAATTACAGTTTTTTTAATAGAAAAAAACACATTGATTCTTAGAGACTAATATAATAAATATTAAAATAATAAATATAGTCTATATTGTATTGCATTTTGAAGAATATTTAAGTTAATGTTCGCAATACATTCAAAAAAGCAAATGATGTTTTAATCACCTATTTTGTACATAATATTTTTATTAATTACATATAAAAATTCGTGAAGTTATACTAATTTAATACTTACGTCAGAAAAAGTACTCATTGATAATTCGATTAAATTCCCTGCTGTTAATTTAGTAGATGAATTAGACATTGCGATTATCAAAACGCAACACAACTTTTTCTTTCCGAATAACTGGTACCATTCGATCATGTACGTTACTTCCCCTATATTCCTAGACTATTATAAACTATGCCACAATTGTTGTGTGTAAAATATTGATATAATCATTTAGAAAACCATACCTGATTGGCCAAAAGCTCTCCTATATAACAAAATATAAAAATATTGAATATAATCGTTATAAGTAATATAAGATATGTTACAACTTCCGTTAGATGATTCGATTCCCATTCCTGTAATATCAAAAATTATATTATATTATGTTGAAAAGAAATATCTTGAAGAGAAATATGTTGAAAAGAATTTAAAAAATATTTTTTTAAATATCTCTTAATTATGTACCATGATGGCACAATATCCAAGAAGGCATACGTTTATTGTACATTCTAAAAATTCCATGTATGATACTTGTTGAAGAATTTTTTCGATAAGTGATAAAAATCTGTTATAAAAATAAAATAAATATTATCACAATAATTCTATATAAATATTACAAAATATTTGATTAAATATTTTACAGATATTAGATATAAGAGATTTCAAATTACAAAATTATTAAAGCTTAAAATTTTTTTTTTTTTTTGTAATTAAAAACTATTTCAATTTTCAAATTTAATAAATAAAATTTGAATATTTAAAAATATTCAAATTTAATAGTAAAAAATTATTTCAGTAACAAGTAATACAATTTCTATATATTTTTTTCAAATTCTGTCTCTATACTTTCGAGAAAAAAATATATAATTTGCTAATAAAATCAAATTTAAAAAAACTTAATTCTTCGCAAAACAATTATACTATAAAATTTTATCATGAGATAAGTAAATTTTACACACTTTAATATTCGAACGTGTTGATTTACAATCGTGGCAATTCGCTGATCGACGCTGTTACACATATCTAACCGACCATCTATCAAATGTTTCAGCCAAACCATCATCACTTGTATCTGGCCACAAGCATGAACCGTTAATATGGCAGCCAAACTACACACCGATGATGTAACACCATGCAGCAAAAAACCACATATAAATTGAGCGAGAAATACAATTTCGTTTACTGGACTATATCGAACATCAGCAATATACTTTGGGAAAGGAAACATCGTGGGTATGAAAGTAATATTAGCATCTTGTGCCGGAATTTTCCCAATTTTCATCGGTACAGCTATATAAAAAAAGACAAAACCACTGTACGTGACAGTGGTGGTAACAATGATCAATCTCTTTCCAAAATTTGCGTTCATTAGCATAATTTCTCTATCTTGTGAATAAGATATATTTTTCCAGTCCCATTCCATACATTTGACACACTCGCGAACGTCATCCTTGTGAATGTTTATCAAATGATATTTTGTAATCGATAACATGCAGAAACTCATTAGACTAACGAATTTTAATCTGTCGTATATATTTTTCACTTCGAGAGATATATATATCCATCCAGGTATAATGATAAACATTATTAAGCAGTAACAAATAGCGTTATATAACCATTGAAGATATTTGCGTATTGTTGAAATTTTATCAAAAGTTGGCCATAATCCAATCATTTTTAAAATAAGACGGGTGTATTTAATGTTAAAATTTATATTATTTTTGATGTCTTGATTAGTTTTTACAGAGGACATAATCGTTTCCTTGTTCGAGCTCGAAAGCTCTCTTCGTACTGAGAGTTTGTAGATTGTAATAGTTCTAAAATACGGGTGCGCTTGCGCCATATTTTTTCAATTTCTATGGCAAGGGTAAGATTAAAAGTTATTCTCCCTCGCTGGAATAAACTCTTCCCCATTTGACACTTCTCTTATTATGCATTACAGGTAAAAAGAGTTGAAACATCAATAAATTGATTTTTTTTTAATATTAGTAGAACAGAACTGTTGATACTTGTAAAAGATGAGTTCTTTTTCTTTTTTCTTTTCTGAACTTGTTTTTTGCTGCACTACTAATACTTTTTGTACAAACGTTTTTTTAATGTTTTATAAAGTCATTTTTGTATGATATTTAATTTTTATTTACTTTCTGTTAATTCTTTCTGCTCATTCAAATACGTAAATAAAATTTTTTAAAAATTTTCTGTAATTTCTGGAAATATTTATTTATTTTCTTAATAAAATAATAAAATAATAAAATATTATTATTTTCTTTTACACGAAATAAAGTAAATTTTAGCAAAATTGAGACTGCATGTTAATAATATAAATATCTATACACATAGCATCTAGTTTATTTTTAATATTTTTTATTTTTAACATTAACATTATAAAATACGATTTTTTAGGTCCTTTTAAATGATATAAAAAATTATTCAAACAGTTAACAGTTACTTATTTGAAACATACATCAAAGCAGTGATCACAAAATGAATGGATAATATAATTTTATTGGTTGGATTGTAATGAATATCAACGATGAATTCCGATTGAATGGATATGAAAGGAAATGTTAAAGGAATGAAGGTGAGATTATGTATTATAATTATGATCGATGTAGTAGTGTAATAAAAGCCATTGTATATGAATGTAGACAATCAGTTTTTGTTCAAAATTCGTGATCATTATCATAATCTATCTTTCGTGTGGTGTTCTTCCAATTCCACATTGATTCTTTCTACATTCATGAATGTTGGCTTTATAAATAATTAGATGATATTATTTCACGCAGATAATCAAAGAATTATTGATAAAGATTTGCATGTAAAAATTCTAGTTAATTTTTGTTTGATAATTTGTGCGATAGATGATTCTTAACATAATTTATGAAATGAATTTATATTAAATTTTATATAATACTTACATTATTAAAAACATTGAAAAATAGTTTTATCATTTTAAATTATAAATTTCATTGATAAACTTAATTTTAAAAATCATAGCTTAAGAAAAAAAAAAAATTAAAGTTTCTCGGGAATTGATATAATATACATGAACAATATATTAATATTATAGTAAAAAGTAATTATAACAACTTAATAATAACAAATTGTGCATAATATTTTAAATAGTATGCAAAATTCATATATTAAAAAATATTGTCAATAATTAGATTAAATAAAAATTTTTATTTTTTCATTTAATCTATGATACAATATATTTTTATAAAAGAAACATATATCCGTATATCTATACTTTTTCTATTATTCGATATGAAAATTGCAACTTTTATCATCGAACAGTTCGTCATATTAAATCCTTAAATTGTTAATGTTCGTAATACATTCAAAAATGCGACTGCTGTCTTAACAATCTATATATATAAAAAACGAATATTTCAGTGAAAAAAATATAAAAAAAGATTCAAATATTTTCGTACTTACATCGCTAAAAGTGGTCAAACACAACTCAACCATATTTCCAGCAGTCAATTTAATCGATGAATTAGACATTGCAATTATCAAAACGAAACAGAGCTTTTTGTTTCCTTCTAATCGATACCAATCGACCATATATGAAATTTCTCCAATTTTCTTGCACTGGAAAAAGTATAGTATCAAGAAAAAAAGATAAATTTATAAATTATTAATAATATCTAACCTGTTCGGCTACTAATTCGCCTATGTAACAAAATATGAAAATGTTAAACGTAAGAGATATTAGCAGTATGAAAAATGTTACTGCACTGGTTAAATGACTCGAACTCCATTCCTAAAATATGAATGAATTACATCTTAAAGTTTTGTATATTTATTTAAATCATTTAATTTAATAATAATTTTAATAATTGTACCATAATAACATAATATCCAAGGAGACATATGTTTAACATGCAGCCTAAAAACTCCACGAATGACACTTGTTGAAGTGCTTTCTCTGTAAGCGCTAAAAATCTAGAATATAATTTAGTACTTTGTAGCGATAAAACTCAATTCGATTACAACTTAACTAGTAAATTTTTAAAATCCAATATTCTAATTTTTTAATTTTAGTAAAAAATAAAATTCGAATTTCAAATTTAACTATTTAAAATTTGAATTTTGATGCGTAAAATAATTAGATTTCAAAATAAAATTTTATTTTTTAATATTTCTAATCACAGAATTCGTACACACTTCAATATTCGAACATGTTGATTCACGATGTTTGCGATTCTGCTGTCCACATTATTATACATATCTGATCGACCGTTTATCAAATGTTTCAGCCAGCTCGACAACACCTGCATCTGGCCGCAAGCGTGCACCGCGAATATAGCAGCCAAGCTACAGGCTGCAGTCGTTATGGTATGCATCAAAGCACCGGCGACTAATTGAATAGAAAATACAATCTCATTTATGAAACTGTAGCGAGTATCGATGATAAATCTCGAGAAGGGAAACACCAAGGGAATGAAGGTAATATTGTCATCCTCCGCAGGAATTTTCCCAACGCTAATTGGCACGGCAATATAGTAAAAGGCGAAACCACTATACATGAAAAACGTGCAAATAACGACCAGCCTTCTTCCAAAATTTGCATTCGTTATCATGATTTCTCTGTCTTTGAAATATGTGATATTCTTCCAATCCCATTCAATACGTTTGACGCATTCGCGAATATTATCCTCGTGTAGGATTAACAAATGATATTTTAGAAACGCCATCACGCAAAAGCTCAATGGACCGAGTAGTTTTATTCTATTGTAGATATCTTTCACTTCGAGGATCACATACAAACTGCATGGTATCGAGAGGAAACTTATTAAACTGTAGCAGATTACATTTATTAATCGATAAAAATATTTTCCTGTCGTTGAAATAGTGAAGGAATTTGGCCAGAGACCGATCGGTTTTAAAATCCAGCGACTCCATTGAATGCTCAGGTTTAAGTTTCTCTTATAGTCGTGATCTGTTTTGATGCACGATATGCTGTTGATTTTTGATTTTTCCATCGTTAGAGTTTGAACGTCTCTTTCAAACTAACCAGCTTTGATCTGAGATTCTGAGAAAAAGAATGCGGCGCTTGCGCCGATTTTTCGATTCAATAAAGGGGAACAAAAGTTTGCTTTCCGATAGTTTCGATTGAAATTTTTCCCCGCTTGAACTTTTTCTCATCTATGTATTATGAATTCGAGACGTGGAGAATGACGGTGAAACCATCGATTGATTGTCTTGTGAAATAATGTTACTGATAGTGATTCGAAAATTTATCATTATTTATCATAAATATTTGCATAATATTTTATCATTTTTGTGAAATGTATGTAATATATTATATTTCTTTCTTATTACTTAAAAAAAATAATATTATAAAAAAAAATTAGTAAGTACCGATATAAATTGCATTTTTTTATTTATTTTTATAATATAACAAAATTTATTTCCTAGATTTTAACATAACAAATAAGATATACCAAAGCTATAGTTTTTAATGAAAAAAACATTAATTTTTGGAATAGTAAATATAATAAAGTTTATAAATATAGTTTACATTATGTTATATTGCATTTCAAAAAATGCTTAAGTTAATGTTCGCAATACATTTAAGAAAGCAAACGATGTTTTAATTACCTATTATAAAATATTTTTGTCAGTTATATGCAAACACACAGAGATTATAATAATTTAATACTTACATCAGAGAAAGTACTCATTGATAATTCGATTAAATTTCCAGCTGTTAATTTCATAGATGAATTGGACATTGCAATTATCAATACGCAGCATAGCTTTTTCTTTCCGGATAATCGGTACCATTCAATCATGTACGTTACTTCTCCTATTTTCCTAGACTATTACAAATTATGTCACAATAGTTGTATATAAGATTGGTATAATCATTTCAAAAGACTTCTACCTGATCTGCCAAAAGTTCCCCTATGTAACAAAATATAAAAATATTGAATATAATCGTTATAAGTATCATAATATATGTTGCGACTTCTGTTAGATGATTCGATTCCCACTCCTGTAATTGCAAGATTGTATTATATTATGTTAAAAAAAAATAACTATTAAAAATTATGTTTTTAAATATGTTTTAATTTTGTACCATGATGGCACAATATCCAAGAAGACAAACATTTACTGTACATTCTAAAAATTCCATGTAAGATACTTGTTGAAGAATTTTTTCAATAAGTGATAAAAATCTGTAAACATTACAACAAACATTACACAGTTTTTAATAATTGTTCTAAGTCAAAAAGTTATTAAAATTAAAAATTTTAAGAATTTGAAAATTTAATATTCGAAAGTTTTCATTATAAATAATATAATAATAAATTATAAATAATTTCTATTTATTCATTCTATTAATCTTATATAAATTTTATTAAAAAATGTTTATTTTGTATTAAATAAATGTGATAATATATCGTGATAAATAAATTTTACATACTTCAATATTCGAACATGTTGACTCACGATCTTGGCGATTCGCTGATCGATGTTATAACACATGTCTAATCGACCTTCTATCAAATGTTCCAGCCAGATCATCATCACCTGTATCTGGCCACAAACGTGAACTGTAAATATGGCAGCCAAACTGCAAGCTGATGATGTCACACCATGCACCAAGAAACCACACATAAATTGAAAGAAAAATACAATTTCGTTTACTGGACTGTATCGAACATCAGCAATATACTTCGGGAAAGGAAACATCGTGGGTATGAAAGTAATATTAGCATCTTGTGCCGGAATTTTTCCAATCTTCATCGGTATAGCTATATAAAAAAAGACAAAACCACTGTACGTGACAGTGGTGGTAACAATGATCAATCTCTTTCCAAAATTTGCGTTCATTAGCATAATTTCTCTATCTTGTGAATAAGATATATTTTTCCAATCCCATTCCATACGTTTGACACACTCGCGAACATCATCTTTGTGAATGTTTATCAAATGATACTTTGTGATCGATAACATGCAGAAACTCATTAGACTAACGAATTTTAATCCGTCGTATATGTTTTTCACTTCGAAAGCTATGTACATCCATCCAAGTACAATGATAAACATTAACAAACAATAACAAATGGTATTATATAACAGTCGAAGATATTTGTGTATTGTTGAAACTTTATCGAAAGTAGGCCACAAGCCGATCATTTTTGAAATACGACGGCTATATTTAATGCTAAAATTTACGTTACTTTTGTAATCTTGATCAATTTTTACAGAGGACATAATCGTTTCTTCGTTCGAGCTCAAAAGCTCTCTTCGTACTGAGAGTTTGTAGATTGATAATTATTCTAAGACATGGATGCGCTTGCGCCATTTTTTCCAATTTTTATCGCAAGGGTAAGATTAAAAGTTATTCTCCCTCGATAGAGTAAACTCTTCCCCATTTGGCACTTCTCTTATTATGCATTACAGGCAGGAAGAGTTTAAACATCGATAAATTGATTTTTTTTTAATATTACTAGAACAGAACTACTGTTGATACATGGAAAAAGTGAGTTTATTTTCTTTTTTTTTTTTTTTTNTTTTTTTTTTTTTTTTGCGAACTTTTTCTTTATTATTAATCGTTTTTTTTTTTAAGAAAATTTTTTCAATGTTTTGTGAATTTTGTATGATATTTAATTTATTTACTTTTTGTGCGTAATTTTTAAGTTCGAGTGCTTAGATAATAGTTTTTAAAGTTTTCTATAATTTTTGGAAATATTCTCTATTTTATTATTCTTTACACGAAACGAAATAATAAGTAAGTTTTAGCAAATTCGAGATTAAAAGAATATAACATAAATATATAGCATAACAATTAATTTATCTGCAAAATCTTTTTATTGTTAAAATCATTATAAAACATGATTTTTTACATCTCTTTAAATTATAGAAAAAATTTTCAACATTCAAGACAATTAACAATCATTCATTGAAACAACATGTATAAAAAACACATATAAAACGAGTATATAACAGTAAAGATTTTTTTAAACACACACATCAACGAATATAAAAAAACATCTATACTTAGAAATTTTCAAGTTGTTTTTTGAAGTACGTTTAAATAAGTAACTGCTGTCTTAACCACCTATTTATTAAAATCAAAGATAGAAATCAATCTAAAAAAGAGACAGAGAGAAAAAAATTACGAAAATAAGTTAATACTCACATCGGTAAACGTGCTGATAGATAAATTCACGATATTTCCAGCTGTCAATTTTATCGAGGAATTAGACATTGCGATGATTAAAATGCAAAAAAGCTTTTTGTTTCCCATCAATCGGTACCATTCAATCATGTACGATATTTCACCAATTTTCCTACACTATCATAATATCATATCATTATCAAAACATTTTAGAAAAATTTTACAAAAAAACTTACCTCTTCAGCAACGATCTCGCCTATATAACAAAATATAAAAATATTGAACGTAAGTGATATAAGTAAAATTACGTAAGTTATTACGCTCGTGACATCATTTGATTTCGATTCCTATAATTGAATTAAATTTATATAAACGAAAATTGATACGTTTCAGAATTGTAGATCATTAAAATCAGATGATCCTTAATTTTATATCGCGATTAATAACAAAATTCAGCAATTCTTTTAAGAATAATGACTTTTAAATTGAAAATCTAAATTGTGGAAAATCATACCATAATAACATAATATCCAACGAGACATATATCTAGCGTACAACCCAAAAATTCGGTGAAAGAAATTTGCTGTAAAGTTTTTTCGGTAAGTGCCAAAAATCTGAAATAATCGATCATCTTTTTTAACTTATTTCTTTTCTTAACTCATTGCATTAGAAAACAAACAATTCGAAGCAATGTTAAAAATATTCGCATTAAAAATCGCATTATAAAACGATAATAATTAATAATAAATTAATAATAAATTGATTTACTTTAGGACTCGAACATGTTGGCATATGACGTCCGCGATTCTACCATCCAAGCGCTCGTCCATGTCCAATCGGCCGTCTATCAAATGTTGCAACCAGTTCATCAACACCTGCATCTGGCCACAAGCGTGAACCGCAAATGTAGCCACTAAACTGCAAGCAGCCGATGTGATTCCATGCATAAGAGCACCGGCCATCAATTGGATGGAAAATACAATTTCGTTGGTCGGACTGTAACGAGTATCGACGATGAATCTCGAGAAAGGGAACACCAAAGGGATGAAGGTGAGATTATCTGTTTTGACTCTGCCAACGCTGATCGGTATAGCGATGTAATAAAAGACAAATCCACTGTACATGAAAAAGGTGCAAATGACCACCAGTTTTCGTCCAAAATTCGCGTACATTATCATGATCTCTTTATCTTTCGCGTACGTGATGTTCCTCCAATCCCACTTGATCCTTTCCACGCATTCGCGAATATCGGTTTTGTGGAAAATTAGATAATAATATTTTACGAATGCCATCATGCAGAAGATCAAAGGACCGAATTGTTTCAGTTTGCCGTAAAAATCTTCAATTTCAAGGAACAGATATAGCGTGCAAGGGATGAAGAGGAAACTGATTAAACAGTAACAGACGATATTTATAAGCCAATACAGATAATCTTTCGATCGTGATGTATAATATGAATTCGGCCAAAGACCCATTGGTTTTAACAACCAACGATTATATTGAATGCTCAGATTCACGTTCTTCTGATATTCATAGTCTGTCAAGTAGAATTTCTGATTGGCCGTCTTTGCCTTGTCTTTTGATTTTTGCATCTTTGATACTCGATGGCTTGTCTAATACTAAAAGGGATGGTAATAATAGTTCAAAAGAAAAATAACATTGCGCTTGCGCTTAATTTCTGATTTCCGTCGGAAGGGAGAGTAAAAGTAGTTTAGTTTCAACCCTTCCACGAAGTTCAGATTTTTACATTATGCATTATAAGAATAGAAGGAGTGATGATAGTAGAACATCGATAAATTGATTGTTTAGAATATCAGCGAATGTCAGTTGTATGATTTTAAGGAATCAATTTATGGATGATTATTTTTTCATTTTTTTCATGGTGCACTCTTTCGTTTGTTTGTTTTTTATTAATAGTAAGTAATAATATATAAATATAATCATTCTTATTTGATACTTACATTATTGAGTATTGACAAGTACTTTCATATTTTAGATTATAAATTCCATTGATGAATTAAATTACGATGATCAAAATATAATAAAACTTCTCTCAATTTCTGCAATTTATATATAAAATATCTCATATTTTTCTATGTTAGAAAAACTGTAATAAATAATAAGTAACAAGTTCTATTTAAATAAAAAAAAAATCACAAAATTCATAGGTTGGAAAGTATTGTCAGTAATTAAATTAAATAAAAATTTCTTCTTTTTCATTTAATCTTTGATTGTACAGAATATTTTTATAAAAAGTATATATACGATATATCCGCATTATACTTTTTCTATTACTTATTATGAAAATTGCTATTGTAATTATCATCGAAGTTTATTGTATTAAAAGAAATCTTTAACTTGTCAATGTTCGTAGCATGTTCAAGTATGCAAATGAAGTCTTGATAATCTATAATATTCAATAAAATATTATATATTTATTATATATATATTCATTTACAGAATGAATAATTGTCTTAAATTTGAGACACTTACAGCACCGAAACTGCTAATAGAAAGTTCGATAATGTTACCAGCAGTGATCTTTGTGGTTGAACGGGACATAGAAATTATCAAAGAGATAGCCAAACTTTTTTTCCAAGGCATTCTATACCAATCAATCATGTAAAACTTTTCGCCAACTTTCATAGTCTGATAAAATATTTTTTAAAAATTTTATTTTTTAATAAATTATTATCATCGAAATGTAATTTGGCAAAAAATATACCTGCTCTGCTAAAAGTTCACCGATATAACAAAATATGAAAATGTTAAATGTAACGGATGTAAGCAATATTATATATGTCACACCTCTAATAGGATGCTTAGAATCCCACTCCTAAAGAAAAAAAAATTGCAAATTAACATTTTGTTTTGTAAGTTTATACGTATCTTTGTAAAATTGTACCATCATCGAATAATACCCAAGGAAACATATATTTATAGTACAACCCACAACTTCTACCAATGATATCTCCCGAAGAAGATCTTCCATCAAAGTTATAAAACTGAAATATTATAAAAGACACACTTGATTTCAATTTCTATGTCTTAATATCAAATAAAATTTAAGTCTTCACATTACTTGATTATTCGAACGTGTTGTTCCACGATATTAGCCAATCTCTGATTCAGATTCTCGTCGTTGTTTTCCCTTCCATCCACCAGTTTTTCCAACCAAGACATCAAAATCTGCAATTGTCCGCAGGCGTGCATCGCAAGAAGGGCAGCCAATCCGCAAGCGGCAACCGTGATATTATGCGCGACAAACCCAGACAATAACTGTATTGTATACAGAAGTTCGTTGGCAGGAGTGCGACGAGCATCTAGGAGAGCCTTAGGAAAAGGGTAAACCAGTCTTCTATACGTTAGATTACCACCCTCTTCCACGATCTTCGCTCGAGTGAACGGCAAAGCAATATAATAGAAAACTACCCCTCCGTACATAAAAGCGCCACAAATTACGATCAATCGACGACTAAAACTCGCGTTTTCCAACATAATCTTACGATCTTCTTGATACTTTACATTTTTCCAATCGTCTTCAATGCATTCTATGCATTTACGTATATCGTTTTCACGAATGATGAACACGCAGATTTTCATCACTGCCATCAGAAAGAAACTGAGCGCGCTACCGAGTTTCATTTGATCGTAAAAATCTTTCATCTCGAGAAGAAAATACATAACACCGGGTATTAGGATGAACGCGAGTAAAATGTAATTGAAAAAGCATAAACAGACATGTTCAATAATTTCTAACCAAGAACGATCCAGCGATTTTGGCCAGGTTCCAATCGTTCTCAATGTCCACACATTTAATTGTACGTTGAAGCATAAATCATTCTTATAACTTGCGTTGTAGAATTTCTCCTCGACAATAAAATGTTCCATGTTCATCTTCGAACATCGAATGTTGGAAAGTTACTAACAGTCATCTCTATCGATGATTGGTTGTTTGAAAACGTTTAACTGAATCTAACTGCGCATGCGCAATTAGTTTTGCACAAAATGGAAAAGGCAAGTGATGTTTATATTTACTGGTTTAATTTAATAGAATTATCTACGTACTTTTCTCAGTTACCCTCAAGTAATATTATATTTTCAGTTGTGATCATCGCAGTTGACAAGTTTCGCAATGCATTTTTCAAGAGAAGGAAAAAATCACAGAACGAGGGAGAAACATGTTATTACCATATTCTTGTGTGTACATCAGGGAAAATAAAGTTTGATTCTATAGAATAGGATTGAATATTGGGAAGAATATTTTTTTTTTGATGATGTGGTAAATTGTTTTTTTTTATAATTTTTATCTTTACTTTTGTATTGCCAATATTTACTAAATATACTACTACTAAATGTACTAAAATATAATTCTGATTTTTATTTTAAAAGAAAACATTTTTAAATGTAAGATAAATTTTGAATATTTTCTTAAGGATATATTTTGCTTTTATTATAAGATTTTATTCTTTTATATCTATATTGATTTTTTAGAAATATCGGCATGAAAAGTACTCAGTTATGGTATTGTTATGGTATTTGATTTAAAAGAAAATTTTTTTCTTTTTTTTAATCTATAATAAAATATTTTTATAAAAAATCAGATATGTGTGATATATTTTTTTATATATCTATATTTTTTCTATGTTCAGTGTGAAAATTTACCGCTGACAATATTTTAAAAAAATCATTAGGTTGTAAATGTTCGTAGCATATTCAAGTACGCGACTGAAGTCTTGATGACCTGCAGTATTTGATAAAAATTTATAACGGAAACTTATTTGTTATATGTTTACAGATTATCAGTCACTTATGGAGTACTTACATCACCAAAACTACTGATGGAAAGTTCGAAAATGTTGCCAGCGCTTATCTTGGTAGTCGAATGGGACATCGAAATCATCAATGGTATGGCAAGACTTTTCTTCCAAGGCATTCGATGCCAATCAATCATATAAGATTTCTCGCCCACCTTCACTGTCTGGTAAAGTATATAAATAACTTAATCCTTTTATAAAATTTTATACATTGAAACAACAAGTTTATATGATTACATAGAGCATGATGAATTTTCTAAAAAAAAAAAAAAAAAAAGTGAGTACCTGTTCTGCTAAGAGTTCACCGATATAACAAAATATAAAAATATTAAACGTGACGGATATAAGTAATATTATATACGTGACACCACTGACAGGTTGCTTCGAGTCCCATTCCTAGAGAAGAAATTGATCGAATTAAATAATGATAATAATTTGCAAACAATTCTTCGTAATATCATACCATCATTGAATAATACCCAAGGAAACATATATTCAAAGTACACCCCACGACTTCTATCAATGATATCTCGTGCAGGAGATCTTCCGTTAAAGCTATGAAACTAAAATGTTTCGATAAATACATTTCCTTCAAAAATTTCCTTTACATAATATCTTTATTTCGCATAATTCACATAAACAAATAAATATTATACATCTACTTATTCGTTCACAAAAATCATTAATAAGCAAAATTATAACCTTATCTTACTTGATTATCCGAACATGTTGTTTCACAATATTAGCCAATCTCTGATCCAAGTTCTCGTTATCGTTCTTTCTTCCATCCACTAATTTTTCCAGCCAAGACATCAAAATCTGCAATTGTCCACACGCGTGTATCGCAAGAAGAGCAGCCAAACCACAAGCGGCAACCGTGATATTATGCGCGACAAACCCAGACAATAACTGTATCATATAGCAAATTTCATTGATTGGGCTATGACGAGCGTCTAGAAGAGCCTTTGGAAAAGGGTAAACCAGCCGTCTATACGTTAAATTGCCACTCTCTTCCACGATCTTCGCTCGAGTGAGCGGCAAAGCGATATAATAAAAAACCACCCCTCCGTACATAAAAGTGCCACAGATTACGATCAATCGGCGACTGAAACTCGCATTTTCCAACATTATCTTACGATCCTCTTGATATTTCACGTTCTTCCAATCGTTCTCGATCAGTTCCACGCATTTACGTATATCGTCCTCGCGAATAATGAAGACGCAGTACTTCATCACCGCCATCAAGAAGAAACTGAGCGCGCTACCGAGTTTCAACTGGTTGTAAAAATCTTTGATCTCGAGGATGATATATATACCGCACGGGATCAGAATGAACGCGAGTAGTTCGTAGCAGAAAAGATTCAGACAGACGTGTTCCAGTGTTTCTAACCAGGAATGATCCGAAGATCTTGGCCAAGTGCCGATTGTTCTCAACGTCCAGACGTTCAGTCGTACGTTAAAACTTAAATCGTTCTTGTAATTGACGTTGGGAGGTTTTTCCTCGATCATCAACTTTTCCTCGTTCATGGTTGGATATCGAAAATCAGAGTGTCACTGGTAGTAATTCCATCGTCGACTAATGGTTCGAAAAGTTTCGTAAGATTGTGCGCTTGCGCTGTGAAATTAGAAACTCGGGTGGAAAGTGTTCCGTTTGTTGTTGTTTCGATTTTTCCATGAAAGAGTTTTCTCGATAATGTTTTCCGCTTGCGTATTTTTAGTCGTTGACGATAATCATAAGTTTAGAAATGGATTTTTCATAAGCGGAGGAAAGGATTATAGAACGAGAAACGAACATATGATTATCGTGTTCTTGTCGAGGGGATGTGAATAAAGTTTCAATTAGATCTTTCAGGCACGCTTCATGGATATTTTAATTCTACATAGATTTGAAACATTACTTTCTCTTTTCGTTATTGTATATACAATTTTTGAATAGTTATTATACGATATGCTTGGGTCAGATATTGCATGTGAAACATATTGTGCACAATTGAAGAAGATTCGTGATCGATCACTGACAGGAGTATTCTTTATTAAAAAAAAGTCAGACTATGTATAAAATCATTTCTCTATAATTTTTAAAAAACGTTCATGTAAATAATAATTGTTTAAATAATTTCACGTAGTATGTTTAAATATCCCATTGAAACTTTCATGATCTACGAAATTATATTTATAAAATATGTTAATTTTATAAGTTATTTTCATAGATTTAATTTCTCATATAAGTTATTTTTCATAGATTTAATTTCTCTGTCGTACTTACATCAGTAAAAGTAATTAAAGACATTTCCATCATTTTAGCTGCTTTGAGTTTCATTGGATGGTTAGACATAGCGATAATTAGTATCAAGCAACGCATATTTTTGATCGAAAGACGATACCAATTTATTGTACTTGATGCTTGGCTTACAATGTAGTTCTGTTAACAAAGTTATTTAGGTTAAATGTGAGAAAATTAAATACAGCTTGAAAAAAAGAAAACAATTTTGTACCTCATCGACAAGCAGTTGTCCAATGTAACAAAGTATAAAAATACAGAAGATGATAGATATTTGTATCGTGATATAGATTACAATTGCCATTGTATTAGTATTCTCCCATTCCTGAAATATATTTATTTAATATTCTTAAAAATTTGTAATATATTTAACGTATTCGTACCATTAAAATACAGTAACCCACGAGACAGATCATACACGTACTACCAATCATTTCGATTAAACATATATATTCTGTAATTGTTTCAATGTTCTTTAAAAATCTGTTAAAAAATAACATGAATTTAAAGTAGTATCAAAAATCCAAAAATCTTTCTTCTTCTTCTCTTATTCGTCCGTTTTATCTCAATTCTTATTTTAAATTTATCAATCTCATAAAATTTTTACTCACCTCTTTATTTTCATTTGATATTCAACAATATCCATGATCTTTTTTTGCAGCACCGCTTCAGACATATCTGATTTATCCACTAATTTCTTCATTTTATTCACCAGGATCCTTAGCATACTCCATGCATGAAGAACTAGCAGAGCAAAAATGCCACAGAAACCGCAAATAACCGCATAAATCGCTATTCCGGCTATAACTTGCAACACGAACAATATTTCGTGAATCGGCGATTGTTGCTCGTTCAAAATAAGAAAATAACTGGGACAAGGTAATGCTCTAATCGTAGTATTATTAGCAGTGACGATCGTTCCCTTCAGAAGGGGAAGGATCATCCGATAGCATAAACCGCCACTATACATAGTGAACGCAACGATCAAAACTATCCTTCTTCCAATCTTCGCTTTCGAGCGAAAAATCAATCGCTCCTCTTCCGTGGCTTTTATCCAATCATGTTTGATCGCGTATAATCCTTCTTGGATCTCTTTCCTCCGCCAGAGAATGATCGTGTATTTAAAGAACTGTATACTGCAGTTAATAATCGGCGGCATAAGCTTCAATCTCACTTTGTTGTTTTTCTCTTTCAGGAACACGTACATAAGAGTTGGGATCATTATCAGAAAGAAAAGGAAGTACGTGAATATATGTCTCAATCTTTGGACTACTTTTAAAAAGAAAGAGGTAGACGGTGAAATCGGCCAGGCACCGATCATTTCCATAATGGGTTTCACGAATCTCATGGCGTATTTCAAATCCTCCTCCACTTTTGCTATTCGAGATGTATTTTCCATGACTGAATGTTTGGATGTGACTAGTCACGCATGTATAGCAAAACTGGAATTCGGTTTGGTATGGAATGTTGCGCTTGCGTATATGGATTCAGCATTGAATTCATGTCATTAAAATCAATTTTATCGAAGAATAAAAAATTGATTGAAATTACCCGTTTCAATTTTCCACGAATGATGCAAATTATTCCATAGGATAGAAGTATTACTACGAATGGAATTTTTTGATTGAAGTACGATTCTTGTCTTTGATAGTTATCTTTAGAAATAAGATATTGTGAAAATATTTGAAAAAATGAAAAACTTTTTTATATATTAATGTAATATAATTTATAAAAAATTTCACGAGATTCAAAGAAAATCGAGATATATATTTAAAAAAACTGACAATATCATATTTGCAGCGGTTTGTAGTTTCCAATAAATGCTGTTTGTAAAGTTTGTACAGATTACGAACAGTTATTATCTAGATGGTAAGTAAAGGGGAACAAGTTGCATTTTCTCAAATACACCACGAGATTCTACGTTGCGTTTCAATTATTAAAATTCTACGTAAAGTGTAGAAAGTAAGGGGGTAGCGATTTTTGAAATTGTCTCTTTCGATTACAAAATGATTGTTACTCTGATCGAATGATCATCTTCTAAACTGAAAAGTATATTTTATTATGCATATTAGTATGATTCAAAAGTTTCGTAATAGTAATAGCAACGACATAGTAATCACTAATTTTAAATTCTGTGTTTGTTTTACAGGAAACCAATACAAATATGACATCCAATTGATATTGTTGTTTTGAATAAAATTTAAACATATGTGATATTTGTCATGAAAATGCACAAAACACATATATTTTATTAATAAGAAATTGATGACCAATGTAACACATTGTTTTATTCATGAAAGTAAGTGAGTACAGATGCTTTTAACAAAAGGTAAATTATCGCAGCATTTTGTCTTTTTATTTTTAAAACATTACTAATGGTATATTACAAATTATTCAAAAATGGAGAGAAAGAAATTCTATTTTCGAAAGAAGCTTTGTATATATCTTGATAGTAATATTTAATCACATATTCTATACCCGTCTCATCAATGATTATGAATAAAAAAACAAAATATATTAAAAAATATATAAATTTAATATATTAATATATTAAATTTTGTTTTTTTGTTAATGATAACATATGAATATAATAATAATTATTTGATATATTACTGAAAGCATTGATAAATAATTCTACCACATATTTTAGATCATAAATTTCATTAATAAATTAAATATTACAATGAAATAAAATATATTAACTTCTCGGCAATTGGTGCAATTTATATATGAAATATCTATATTTTTTATATTATTATAGAAATAAATAATAATAAAAAATTCTGTATTAATTTTTTAAATAGTAAATAAAATTTATAGATTGAAAAGTATTGTCAAGGACTAATAAATTAAATAAAAATTTTTTCTTTTTCATTTAATCTTTGATACAGCATATTTTTATAAAAAATATTCATATATTTATACTTTTTCTATTATTCTATTATTTATTATAAAAATTGTAATTACATTATTATAATTTATTAATACTTAATTAAACTTAATAGTACTAAAAGAAAATTTTAAGTTGTCAATGTTCTTAATATATTCAATGAATTAAGTCTTGATGACTTATAATATTTAATAAAATATATATTCATTTACAAAACGAATTATAATTTTAGATGTGAAGCACTTACGATATCGAAGCTGTTGTTAATAATGTTGTTAATAATATTGCTAATAATGTCGTTAATAATATTGTTCGATGATGTTGTCAGAGATCATCATAGTCGAATGAGACATCGAAATTATCAATGATATGGCAAGACTTTTCTTCCAGTGCATTCGATATCAATTGAGAGATATAAAATTCTCATTCATCTTCATTATCTGGTAAAGTATTTAATTTAATTTTTTTTAAATTCTTATATTTTAAAAATAGAACAATATAACATGTATATATAACAATGATATAAGTTTATGATTATATACAGAGCAATGATAAATTTTTAAAAAAAAATAAGTACCTGTTCTGTTAAAATTTTGCCGATGTAAACTAAAATATAAAAATATTAAACGTGACAAATATAAGTAGTATTATACTTGACACTACTGACAGTTTACTTCAAGTAACTTCAAGTACTTCCCATTTCTAAAGAAAAAATTAATCGAATTAAACAATGATTACAATTTCCAAACAATTTTTCGTAATAACATACCATCATTGAATAATACCTAAGGAAACATATATTCAAAATGCACCCTACGACTTCTATCAGTGATCTTGTACAGAAAATTCTTCTATGAAATTCTGCTATGAAAATAAAATATTTCGATAAATATATTTCCTTCAAAAATCTTTATACAATATCTTTTTTTTATACTTTTCATAGGTAAATAAATATATATCTACTTATTCATTTACAAAAATTTCTCATTAAAAAATTATAATCTTATCTTATTTGATTATCCAAATATGTTTGTTATTCGAACACAACATCAGTCAAGTTCTCATTATCGTTCTTCCTTCAATTCACCAATTTCTCCAACCAAAACATTAAAATTTGTAACTGTCCACACGCGTGTATTGCAAAAAGCATAGCTAAGCTACAAGCAGGGACTGTGATATTACACAATAACTATATCATATAGTGAATTTCATTGATTGTATGACAAGCGTATATAGGAGAATCTTCGGAAAAGGGTAAACCAGCTGCTTATAGGTTAAATTACTACCCTCTTTCACGATCTTCGTATGAGTGAGCGATAAAATAATATAGTAGAAAATCCCTCCATACATGAAAGCAGATCACGATCAATCGTTAATTGAAACTCGCGCTTTTCAATATTATTTTACGATTCTCTTAATATTTCTTCACGTTCTTCATTGATTGTTTTCGATTAGTTCTATGCATTTATGTATATCTCGCAAATGATGAAGACGTAAGACTTAATCATCATGATGAACTGAACAAAAAAATTCAGACAGATGTATTCTAGCACTTCTAACCAAGAATGATCCGGAAATTTTGTGCAAATACTGACTTCAATATCCATTCAATCGTATGTTTAAGTCATTTTTATAATTGGCGTTGTGAGGTTTTTTTTCAAACATCAACTTTCCCGCGTTCATGATCGGATCGAGAATTAGAATATTGATGACAATTCCATCATCGATTGATCGAATCGTTGATGGATCGAAAAGTTTCGTTGGATCATGCGCTTGCGCAGTTAGGTTAGAAACTAGGAATGGAAAGTGTTCTATTTGTTTTCCCCTTGTGTATTTTTATTGACGATAATTATAAGTTTAGAAATTGATTTTTCAAAAGCGAAGAAAAAGATCATAAAACGAGGTACAAACATATGATTACTGTATTCTTTTCGAAAAGATATGAATAAAGTTATAATTCGATCTTTGAGACACGCTTCATGGATATTTAAATTTTGGATAGATTTGAAACATTACTTTTTCTTTTCGATGCTGCATACATAATTTTCAAATATATATTATATGCCTGAGGATGTTTGGATCAGATATGATAAAATAAATTGTAAAATAAATTATACATAAGTAAAGAAGACACATGATCGGACATTGCCGAGTCCTTATCTTATTAAAAAAACCAGAATATGTGATATAAAATTGTTTCTACATAATTTTTAATGGGAAACTTGCACGTAAGTAATAATGTTTTAAATGACTTCACGTAATATGTTCAAATATCCCATTGACATTTTCATAACCTATGAAGTCATTTAAAAAATATATTAATTTCATAAATTTAATTTTTCAATGAGATTTAATTTTTTGGTACCTACATCGGTGAAAGTAATTAAAGACATTTCCATCATTTTGGCAGCTTTGAGTTTCATTGGATAATTAGACATAGCGATAATTAGTATCAAGCAACGCATATTTTTGATCGAAAGACGATACCAATTTATTGTACTTGATGCTTGGCTTACAATGTAGTTCTATTAACAAAGTTATTTAGGATAAAAGTGAAAAAATCAAATGTGATTTTTGATTGAAAAAAAATAATATCGTACCTCGTCTACAAGCATTTGTCCAATGTAACAAAGTATAAAAACACAGAAAATGATAGATATTTGTAACGTGATATAGACCACGACAGCCATTGTATTAGTATTCTCTAATTCCTAAAATATATTTATTCTATATTCCTAAAAAAACGTAAAATATTTAACATGCTCATACCATTAGAATACAATAACCCACAAGACAGATCAGACACGTACCACCGATTATTTCGATTAAACATATATATTCTGTAACTGTTTCAATATTTTTTAAAAATCTGTTAAAAATTACATGCATTAAAATATATTTAAAAATCTTTCTTCTTCTCTAATTTATTTTAATTGAATTCTCATTCCAAATTTATCCATCTCACAAAATTTTTACTCACCTCTTTATTTTCATTTGATATTCAACAATATCCATGATCTTTCTTTGCAACACCACTTCAGACATATCTGATTTATCCACTAATTTCTTTATCTTATTCACTAGGATTCTCAGCATACTGCACGCATGAAGGACCAACAGTGCGGAAATACCACAGCTACCACTGATCACTGCGTAAATTGCCATTCCAGCCATAATTTGTAGCACAAACAATATTTCATAAATCGGTGATTGTTGTTCGTTTATAATAATGAAATAACTGGGACAAGGTAACGGTCTAATAGTAACATTGCCAGCAGTAATGACGGTTCCCTTCAGAAGGGGAAGGATCGTCCGATAGCATAAACCGCCGCCATACATAGTGAATGCAGCGATCAAGACAACCCTCCTTCCGATCTTCATTTTCGAGCGAAAAATCAATCGTTCTTCTTCCGTGGCTTGTATCCAATCATATCTAATCGCGTGTAATCCTTCTTGGATCTCTTTTCTTCGCCAAAGAATGATGGTATACTTGAAAAATTGCATGCTACAATTAATAATTGGCCCCATGAGCTTCAACCTCACCTTGCTGTTCTTCTCTTTCAGAAACACGTACATCAGAGTTGGAATCATTATCAGAAAAAAAAGGAAATATGTAAATATATGCCCCAATCTTTGGAGTACTTTTAAAAAGAAAGAGGTAGAAGATGAAATCGGCCATGCACCGATCGTTGCCAAAATCGGTTTCACGAATCTCGTGGCGTATTTCAAATTCTCCTCCGCCTTAGCTATTCCAACTATATTTTCCATGACTGAATGCTTCGATGTAACTGGTCACGCGCATATAGCAAAACTGGAATTCGGTTTGGTATGGAACATTGCGCTTGCGTATGTGGACTCAACATTGAATTCATATCATTGAAACCAATTTTATCGAAGAATAGAAAATTGGTTGAAATTACCCGTTTCAACTTTCCGCAAATGATGCAAGTTATTCCATGGACAGAAGATATTGCACGAGTGGAATTTTTTAAATTGAATATTTCTTATTTTTGATAATTAAAAAAAAAAGATATTGTGAAAATATTTGCATAAATTCTATAAGCGTCAATATATAATTGTTTATAGAAGATTTCATGAAATTGCAAAAAATTGAGATACATATTTAAAAATCTGACGATATCATATTTGCAGTGGTTTGAAGTTTTCAATAAACGTTGTTTGTAAAGTTTGTGCAATACGAACAGTTATTATCTAGATGGTAAGTAAAGGGGAACAAGTTACGTTCTAAAGTTGCGGTTTAATTATTAAAATTCTGCGTAAAACATAGAAAGTAACATGGTAACGTTTTTTTGAAATTGTCTGTTTCGAATGTAACGATTTTATAGTGAAATACAAAATGACTGTTACTTTGATCGAATGATTGTCTTCGTGAGTTAAAACAATTTATTACGCGTTTTATGGTTCAAAAGTTTTATCGTAATAGCAATTGCAAGAATCAATATCATAAAAATTGTGAAAAATTCTTTGAGTATATGCTATTTGTGGAAAAATTATATATAAATATTTTATGATAATATAATTCTGTAATTTTCTAGAAAAATCGTTTTAGGCACAAAAATATATGACTATTCTATAAAATATAACAATTCAGGTAACATTTTTTAACATGTTCAGATATCCCATCGTTGCCTTTATGATCTGAAAAATAAAATTAAAACCTAGCAGAATTAACTTAATGTAAAAAATGGAGAAATCTAATTTCTCGATACGTACGTCAGTGTAAGTAGATAAAGATATATCTACAACTTTTCCTGCTGTGAGTTTTATTGGATAAGATGACATAATAATCACTAATATTAAATTCCGTGCTTCTTTCGCAGGAAACCGGTACCAATTTATCGTGATGGACATTCTTCTTACATTATTGCCCTGAATGAAGTTTAAACATGTGACACTTGTCATGAAAGTATGTAAAATGTAACAAAGCACATATACTTCATCAATGAGAATTTGACCAACGTAACACATCGTAAAAGTGACACCGAATACAGATGCTTCTAACAAAAGATAGATTATCGCAGCTGTGGCATCGCTATCTTCCCATTCCTGAAACATTACCAGTAACGTGTTACGGATCATTTAAGAAAGAAGAGAAAGAAATTCTATCTTTAAAAGAAGCTTTCGTTCATACCCTGATAGCACAGTATCCAATCACGCATCCTATGCCTGTTTCATCAATGATCTCGAGCAGAAAAAGATACGTGGTAATGTGTTCAACATCATTTAAAAATCTAAAATCAACTTCCAGTTACACATAATCTCTTAAGCTATATTAAAATATCAATTTTTCTTTTTTCTTTTTGACTCACTGTTTGATCTTCGTCTGATAACGAACAATATCCGTGATTTTCATATGCACAGCACTCTCGTTAACATTCGACTGCTTCGTAAGCTCGTTTATCTTTTTCACTAAAATACACAGTAAACTGGTCGCATGCAAGCAAAGCATGGCGCACATACTGGTCGTACCGCACATAATTGTATAGCTAAGTAGTCCACCGATGACTTGCAATGTGAAAACTATCTCGTAATTCGGAGTAATTTGTTCATTAAAAAATATGTAATAACCGGGACACGGTAGCAATCTTATAGTCGTATTATCCGGCAAAAGTATTCTACCTTTCGAAAGAGGAATAAATGTTCGATAACCCAAACCTGCACTGTACATAATGATCGCTACCACTGACATCAGTCTGTGCCCGATACTCGCTTTGCTACGAAATATCAATCGCTCCTCTTCCGAGATGTTCATCCAATCTTTCTTCATCTCGTTTAACAAGAAACATAACTTGTTCGCCGATCGTAATACCAACGAGTATCTGCACAATTGCAGATAACCGTTTATCAACGGTATCAATATCTTCACTTTTTTCCTGCTGTCTTTCTCCTTCAAAAAAAAATGCAGAATGCCTGGTATCAATATAACTAATTGCACCGAATAACACATAAAAATTAAAATGTAATTCCGAGTTCTTGAAAACGAGGAAGATGTGGCGCGATTCGGCCATGCGCCTAACTTTCCCAGAAGCATATACGCGAACCATATGGTGTGTCTCATGCCATCTTCCGCGTTCCCTATTCGTGACATTTTTTTTAATGATCGGTCGAACGGATGATAGGTTGAACGTAACTCCACTGCGTATCGTAACTGGAAACGGCGATGATTTCCGAGACTTCATTGCGCTTGCGTGTTTAAAAATTTAAATATCCGCGAATTCAACGTCGAATTGTTACCGTGAAACGATTTTAATTTTTTTTACATGTGGGGATTGTGGAATAGGGTTTTGAATTTTTACAAAAGGATAAAAGAAAATTGGACGAAATTACCTGTTTGAACTTTCCTCAAAGAGCATGGGTTTTTCGATGAATAAACGATATTGTGTATCGGAAGAGTAGAATTTTTTTTTTCTTTTGATATACTGATATACTGTTGATATCTTTGATCGTTGAAGAAATGATACTTGTTATGATAATGTTCGAAGAAATCGAATTGTGTGTTATTTTCAGGGAGAATTGAACTGAAAAGTGTTTGAAAATCTGACGGCTTCGAGTTTGAAATGATTTGTAGTTTCTACCAGACGTTTTTCACTGTCCATAAAGTTTACACGGGTTACGAACAGTTATTACCGTGATAGTAAGTAAAGGGGAACTCTTGTATTTCAATTATTAAAATTCTACGTAAAACGGGGACAATAACATTGATTTTTAAAATTATATTTTTAAAAATATAAAATAGCATTATTCTATACTTAATATAAAAACTTTGACTTTTTAAATGAATGTGATTTGGAAGACATATTTTATCAATGTTATGAATAAAATTAAGCACAAAATTAAAAGAAAAAAAAATTACAGATTGCGTATGCTGTTTACAAGGAAATTTTTATGTAAAAATCTTACTAATATAATATAATACTTCATATCTTTCAAAAAAAATTTTTACCGATTTCAAAGTTTACAAGTGGACAAGAATGACTATTATTGATATTTTAAGAGATATTTGACTATTTTAAAAAATATGATAACTTAAGTAACTTTTTGCAACATGTTCAAGTATCCTACAGTTGTCTTTATGATCTGGAATATAAAATTAGAGCCATGTACGAGATATGAGAAACACAATTTAATATTTTGATACATACGTCGGTAAAAGTGGCTAAAGATATGTCGACAACTTTTCCTGCTGTGAGTTTTACTGGATAAGATGACATAATAATCACTAATATTAAATTCCGTGCTTCTTTTACAGGGAATCGATACCAATCAAGCGTGATGGACATTTTTCTTACATTATTGCCCTGACAAAAATAATGGTTGAAACAAAATTTCTGTGATAATCATAAATGAGAGTATGAAAAACATATATAGTAGCATACTTCGTCAATGAGAGTTTGACCGACATAACACATTATGAATGTGCAACTAACAGTAGATGCTTGCATCATAAGATGAATTATCATAGCTGCTGCGTTACTGTCTTCCCATTCCTAAAATTAAAAGTATTATCGTAAGTAAAATCACTATTAATCACCTTTTGCACAATTTAATTGTCACTATAACTTTCACACATTAATTTTCATAGATTACAAGTTCATAGTATAAACAGATGATCATTCTATACCGTGACAACGTTATATCCAATCACGCATCCTATACTCGTTTCGACCATGATCTCGAGAAGAAAAAGGTACGTTGTGAGTTGTTCAACATTCTTTAAAAATCTGAAAAATCAAATTAACTATATCATCTCTTAAACTATTTTCATTTTTCTCTTCACTCACCCTTTCACCTTCGTCTGGTATTTCACAATGTCCACAATTTTCTCGTGCACAACCATCTCGTTCACATCCAATTGTTTCGTAAGCTGGTATATTTTATTCAATAAAATGCGTAACAAGCTGCTCGAATGTAGACAAAACATCACGCACATGCCAATAGTACCGCACATAATGGTATAGGTAAGGAGTCCACCTAGGACTTGGATGATGAATATAATCTCGTAAATCGGGCTAACTTGTTCGTTGAAAAAGACGAAATAACCCGGACACGGTAGCAATCTCTTAGTCGTGTTATTCGGTAAAAGGATTCTCCCCTTGGAAAGCGGGAGAATCGTTCGATAACCCAGACCTGCGCTATATGTGACGATCGCGATCATCGACATCACTCTGTGCCCAAAACTCGCTTTCGCGCGAAATATCAATTGATCTTCCTCCGTGGTGTTCAACCAATCCTCCTTCATCTCGTCCAACAAGACTCTCAATTTGTTAGTCCATCGTAACACTAATGAATATTTGCATAATTGCAGGTAACCGTTCACCTGTGGTATCATCATTTTCATCTTCTTTCTCCCGTTCTTCTCTTTCAAAAATACGTGCAAAAATCCTGGAACCAATACTATTAATTGCAACGTGTAACAGGTAAATATCAAGTACCAATTCAAAATCTTTGAAAGTGTGGAAGATGAGACGCGGTTTGGCCATGCGCCCAGTATTCTCAGAAGCGGATACGCGAACCATACGGTATGCCTCATCCCGTTTTCCGCTTTCCCTACTCGAGACATTTTAATGATCGATAGAATGGAACTGTCTATGTTGTGAGAATAGAAGACATCAATGATTTCAGGAGACTTTGTTGCGCTTGCGTGTTATAAAGATTTAAATATCCGCAAATATGAAACGATTTTAATGCATGTGGGGAATAATGTTTTGAATTTTTACAAAAGGATAAGAAAATTGGATGAAATTACCGCGATGCATGCTCCCTATGAGAAGTTTTATAGTATCTGCTATTTCTTTTTCTAAAAGCGGTTTTAGAAATATTCATCAACAATAAGGTAATATTTTTTCAGAATTCAATGGTATATTCATTTGTATAAATTACATCTTAATACATTGAATCTGTGTATTTTATTTTAAATATTTTGCACGTGTATATTTTTATATATTAAATATATATATATATATTTTATTCTAATTTTAAATACTTAAATTTTTCATAAATATTTATGTAAAAATTCACAGTTTAAATACTTAACACATTTACTATTGTTATATATAAAAAAATAGTTTGATCATGTTAATTTTTCACAACATGAAAAAAAAATAAACAAAAAAATGTAAAATAATGAGCAATAATAATTAATAATTCTTTTCAGCATACGTATAATTATATATCTTGAATATATATGAAAATTTTATGAAAATTAATAATCAATATTTGTTGTAAAAAATATCTCATATACATACGATAAAAAATATATTAAATTATGAAACACATGTACTTGTGAACACATGTACTTGTAGTGAAATTAAACATGTAAACTTTCACGGAGTTACGATTTTCCAGAAAAATGTTTTTATTGGTTGCAAAGTTTACACGGGAACCATAATTACCGGAATGATAAGTAAATGTGAAAGGGTTCTATACGAGGGGAACAAGTTACACACAAAGTTCTGTAAAAAAAAATAGAAGAAAATAAAAATGACAATAATATGAAAATTATCTTTTAATCTCAGTCGACTGCTTTCTGTTGTATCGCACGTATTTGTTTCAAAAAATGAGCTTAAGCAACTGTTCGTAATATGTTCAAATATCCTACAGATGTCTTTACGATCTGGAAAATATAATTAAAATAATGTATAAAAATAAAGGAAATTTAATTTTTTTTTATAAATACATACATCGGTAAACGTGATCAACGATATGTCTACAATTTTGCCAGCTGTGACTTTTATTGGATAATTCGACATAATAATAACCAGTATCAAGCCACGCGCTTCATTCACAGGTAACCGATACCAATCCAATGTTACAGATATCTGTCTGACTTTATCACTCTATAAAAAATAAGATTTAAAATATATACACAATTTCGCGTTATATTTGCACTATATTTATATTTGTAAAATAATCGATAACGTACTTGGTCGATGAGAAGTTGACCAATATAACAAATCGTTAACGTGCAAAATATACAAAGGAACTCCAAAATAAAATAAACTATTAAAGCTGCACCGTTACTGTTCTCCCATTCCTAAAATATGTTACCAATGTTACACCCTAACTATCTTATAATTTATATTTCAGGATCATGTACCGTGATAAGGCAGTATCCGATCACGCAAGCTCCACATACGTATTCGAGAATTTCGCAAAAATAAAGATAAGACGTGAGTTGTTCGACGTGATTTAAAAAGCTGAAATGAGATTTCGTGCACTCCATAAATATGAATACAATCTCTTCCCTATATATATATATATAGAAAATATATATCCATATATCAAATTTTTAAAGAATCTATTTCTATACTCACTCTATAATCTTCATCTGATACTCAACAATATCCGCGAGCTTCTTACGCACAACCGTCTCGCATTCATCAGACTGACAGGTAAGATCGTTCATCTTGTTTATTAGTATCTTCAACAAACTGCACATGTGTAGGCAAAGCATCGTAGTAATTCCCGTAGTACCGCACAGAGTAGTGTAATTGAGAAATCCACCGAGAACTTGGATGGTAAAAATAATCTCGTAATTCGGTGTTACTTGTTCGTTGAAAAACATGTAGTAACCGGGACACGGTAGCAATCTTACAGTCGTGTTATCCGGAAGAAGAATTCTTCCTTTCAAGAATGGAAGAATCATCCGATAACCGACACCAGAACTGTACATAGCGATCGCTATTGCTATCATCATTTTGTGGCCAATATATGCTCTTGTGGTGAAAATCCACATATTTTTGTCGGTGGCCAACGAGTAATCTCTCTTCACCTCCTTCAATATTATGTTAAATTCCTTTATTTGTCGTAACAGTATCGTATACTTGGACACTTGTGTGATACCGTTCATATGCGGGACAAACATTTTAATTTTTCCGCCTAAATTTGCTTCTTTCAAAAAAATGTACAAAATCCCTGGGATCAAGACCATCAATTGAATGAGATAACAGATAAATATTAAACACCATTTCAGAATTGTTGATAAAACGGAGGATGGCGAGGATTTTGGCCACGCGCCTAATATTTTCAAAAGCGGATACACGATTTTCAAGGAGTAAGGTTGTCCCATTGACTTCCCTTTTAACGACAATCAAGTCAGAGCTCGTACGTGACTGGCAATGTTGGAGAAATGATACTCGTTTCCAAAGATTTCATTGCGCTTGCGTGTGATGAAATGTTAAATATGTTCGCAAATTCAGATGCGAATTGCTGTTATTAGAATAATCGTGAAGCATGAAAAGATTGCGAAACAGTTATTTGAATTTTTACAAAAGAATGAGAAAATTGATTGAAATTATCCCTGTATATCCCTAGCATCGCATGAATTGCACCCCATGGAGAAACTCGTAATTATAGCTTGATATTTTTCCATAAACTTGAACTATTTCGATTAATATTTATCTTGATAATTTTTCAAAATCGAAATCAAAGTTTGGGATGAGAAAATTGTAAAATATTTGGAAAAATATCTACAATTGTATATTGTAAATTCTAACATGATGCACAAGTTATAATGATGATTTTTTATAATTTTCCAGAATACTGTATCGTATAGAAAGTTTGCAGTTACCATCTCTGTTGTGATAAATATAAAATAAATACAAAGGGTATGCTGAAAGAACAAAATTGTACACAATTTTCTCATAATTGCAGTTCAATTGTTTAAATTTTGATTTGAAAAGAAAGTGAACAAAGTGCTGTGTACATAATAATACCATTTTTGGCTAATATGTCATATGATAGATTTCATGGTAATTTTCTAACAAACGTACGATTTTAAGTAACTTGTTGTAATATATTCATATATCCCACTGAACTCTTAATGATCTAAAAAGTAAGTAACAAAAAATTTGTAAAAAAATAATAATAATAAGTCCAACGTTTTGATACTTACACTAGTAAAAGTGACTAAGGACACGTCTACAATTCTTCCTGCCGTGACTTTTATTGGATAATTCGACATAATGATTAATAATATCAAGCTGCGCGCCTTTTTCACAGGTAATCGATACCAATTCAATGTGCTGCACGCTTGTCTAACATTCTCGCTCTATTAAAGGTAAAATTTCTGATAAATATCCTAGTAATTAAATAATATTTGATTTATTTTTATCCATAAATGATAATAAAAAGTATACTTCGTCAACTAGAAGTTGACCGGCATAGCATACTGCGAACGTGCCAATGAAGCAAGTTACTTGGAAGATAATGAAAATTACTGTAGCCATAATATTGTTGTCTTCCCACTCCTAAAAGATATATTATTGATATCATCGTCATTTTCGATACAATGCATTGAATCTTTCGTTCGTACCGTGATAAGACAGTATCCAATTATGCATATGATCAATACTTCGAGAATAATTTCGAAAAAATAAACAGAGGGGACGAATTGGTTAAGCTCATTCAAAAATCTGAAATGAATCATATTTCGATCACGTTGCAGGTTTCTTATTAAACAATTCTTCGTATTTCTCTTTCGAAACTCACTCTATGATCCTGGTCTGATAGTTGACAATATGGGCGATCTTCTCTTGCACAACTTTTTCGTCTTTGTCATTCGTAAGATCCATCACCTTGTTCGTCAAGATCTTCAACAAACCGCACATATGCAAGCATAGCATCAAACAGATACTCTTGGTGCCGCATACAGCTGTATAAATGACGAATCCGCCGAGAACTTGCAGGATGAAGATTATCTCGTAGTTCGGGCTAACTTGCTCGTCCAAGGAAAAAAAGTAACCCGGACAGGGTAACAATCTTATAGTTACATTGTTCGATAAAACGATTTTGCCTTTCGAAAATGGAAGAATCGCTCTGTAAAAAAAACCTCCACCGTACATAGTGACCACTACTACCATCGTCAGCTTGTGCTCGATGGACGCCCTTGTGCTGAAAATTTGTCGATTCTCCTCCGTGGCTGTCATCCAATCCTTCTTTATCTCGTCCAATAATTTGGCAATTTCCTTCGTTTTTCGCAATAGAATCGTATACTTAGCCATTTGTACGATGCCGTTGATGTGCGACATCAGCAGTTTAATCCTCGACCTGCCGTTTTTCACTTTCAGAAATATGTACAGAAGGCCTGGGACCATGAATATCAATGTGAGCAAATACGAGAGAAAAATTATAACGTAATTTGATATTTTGGCGAACGCGGATGATGAGACGCTCAATGGCCAGTAGCCGAGCATTCTCGAGAACGGATATGCAAACCAGAAGGTATGCCTTATGCCCTCTTTCGCGTTTCTGATTCGAGCCATTTTTTAATCGAATGAAGGCTTGTTCGTGACTGATGTTACTGCACACGATGATATCACCCCTTTAGGGAACTTCATTGCGCTTGCGTACATAAAATGTTAAATACGCAAATTTAGAAATGAATCGCTGTTATTGAAACAGTTCTTAATCCATGAAGAAATTATAGAATAGATTTGAGTTTACGAAAGGATAAGAAAATTAGTTAAAATTATACGTTTACGTGAATTGAATTTTATGATGAATTTTTTCTTTTTTTTTTTTTTTGTGGATGAAAAGTTTCGTTGCGATAACATTGATATTTTGTCGTGGTATTTACTTTTTCAATGAATGATTTTTTGATGATGATTTTAAAATATTTGAAAAAATATTTTATGTACGTAATATGTGTGCAAAAATCGATATTTACTTTATTACTTCTACCATAATTCAAAATTACGATAATATTTCTATAATTTTTTGTAATTTTCTAGAAAAGTTTTTCAAAGTTTATAGTTTGCAGGATGATTGATTACCACTTTGATGAAACAGATATAAAAGGGTTTAATATTCGTGGGGGACAAGTTTTCTACATAATTATGAATCAATTATTAAAATTCCATATAAGATAGAAGGAGAACAATATGAAAACGGATTTAAAACTCTTTGTAAATTTGAAAATGCATTTATGTTCAATATAATTTCATTCAATTGCAGTGTATCATATGTTTCATTATGTAACGAATATAATTTGTTGATACTATCAACGGTTGAAGTATGGCTACAATTGATTGTCAGTATTAGTGATATCGATTTAGTAGAATTTTCGAAACATAGAGAAGAACGAATGTGCTCCTCTCTGCTCTCCGAAAAATTAATCTATAAAACTAATTTAATAAAGATTATAAATAAAATATTAAATAAAATGAAGTATAAATAATTGTAAATAAATTAGAGAGTTAGTTTTCATATTCTTGCAAATATTCTTTCAATACAAATACTAAAGATATTTGAAAGTAGATTATTTCAATAAAAAGTAATATCAAGTATGCAAAGAAATAGAATTTATATTATAATTATTAAAATTTTATGTAGAAGAAAAAGAGATATTGTAATTACGGTTTTTAAAAATATCTAACACAAAATAAGTTCAATAATTTAATTAATTAGCAATAATAATTTAAATACGTAAAAAAATAATCGAAAAAATATTTTTATTTTTAAATGTTGTAATAGAGGACATGTTTCTATCTCTCTATTTATATTATTTTTTTTATTTCATAAGATTTATAAATAACAAACTATATGGTAATTTTCTTCATACTTACTATAATTGGTGAAGATGGATAAGCATACATTCATAACTTTGATTATCATTAATTTTAGAAAATAATTGGATATATTGGTCATCAATATCAAATACTAGGCTTTCTTCGTCTAAAAACAATACCAATTTAATGTAATACATGTTTGCATTATTGAATACTGAAAAGAATATTCAAGACAAAATAATGCACTTTATATTTTATCGATGATAATTGAATTAATATAATAAATGATAATAAAAAAAATTCTATATATAATATATAATATATTCTATATATAATATAAAATAAAATATTAAAGCTATATTATTATTGTTTTTTTATTCTTAAAATATAATTAATATTATACATAGAAATGATTATTCTATAATTTTTTTTTTTTTTTTAGGATCATTCAACCATACCGTAATAAGGCAATATTCACGATCACAACGTTATACATACATATTCAAGAATCTCACAAAAATAAAACGTAAAATAAAAAACTGAAATCAAATTTCAATCGTTGTGCACTCCATTAATATAAATATAATCATTTTCTATATAAAATATTCATATATAATATATTAAATTTTTAATCAATTATTTATACTCACTCTACGATCTTCATTTGATATTCAACAATATCTGCGAACTTCTTACATATATCTCACTTCAAATGGACTGGTAAGATCATTTATGTTATATTGTTTATTAGAATCCATAATAATTGCACAAAGCATTATACTAAATTCTATGGTACTGCATAGAATAGTATAATTGAGAAATCCAGCGAGTTTATATAATAAAAATAAACTCGTAATTTGATATAAGTCGTTAAAAAATATGTAGCAATCGGAACCTTAGATAACAATCTTATAGCCGCGTTATTCGATAAAGGATAATTTTGTCTTTCAAAAAAAAAAATCACTTGATAACTGACTTGATAAAATATGTTATCATCATTTTGTAATCGATACTTCGTCATAAATTTTGATTTAATAGAAAATGGCGTCTTGGCTATGCATCTAATATTTTCAAAAGCTCATCTAAGTTTTCAAAAAATAAGATTATCTCACTAATTTTTCTTTCAGCGACAAATCAAAACTCTATTTGCTAATTGTGGAAACGATACTAGTTTCAAAAAATGTTATTTTATTATACTTGTGTGTGAAATGTTATTTTATATACGCAAATTTAAATATGAAATATGAAAATTTTTATAAATGGGGAAAATTAATTGAAATTACATGTATATTCCTAATATTGCATGAATTGTATCCCATGGAGAAATATCGTAATAGCAATTCATATTTTTCTATAAATTTCAAATATTTGATATTTCGAATATTATTAATTTAATAATTTTTTAAAGTCGAAATCAAAATTTTTGATAAAAAAATTTTAAATGTTTGGAAAAATATTCTATATACATATACAATGCAATAATTGTGAGAGGATTTAATATTCAAATAACATATATAATTCAAGCATGACGTGTAAGTTATAATAGTGATTTTTTGTAATTCCTTATCGTATCGTTTACGAAATTTGAAATGAATAAATTATTACCATTTCGTTGAGATAAATGTACGTTGGAGGAACAAAATTATACACAATTTTCTCATAATTGCAATTCAATTATTTAAATTTTGATTTGATAAGAAAGTGAACAAAGTGCTGTGTACATAATTCAATATCATTTTTGGCTAATCATATAGTAGATTTCATGAATCTTCTAAAAAACATAAAATCTTACGTAACTGTACGTAACATATTCATATATCCCACTGCACTTTTAATGATCTAAAAAAAATACGTAATAACATGTGCAAAAAATATATGTGCAAGTCTGATATTTTGATACTTACACTAGTGAAGGTGACTAAAGATAAATCCATAATTCTTCCTGCAGTTACTTTTATTGGATAATGTGACATAAGGATCAGTAATATCAAGCTGCGCGCCTTTTTCACAGGTAATCGATACCAGTTCAATGTGTTATATGCCTGTCTAATATTCTCGCTCTATTACAGATAAAATTTCTATTAAATATCTGAACTAATATTTAATACATTTTATCTATAAATAATAATAAACGATTTACTTCATCAAGTAGAAGTTGACCGACGTAGCATACTGAGAAGGTGCCAATGACGCAAGTTACTTGGAAGACAACATAAATCACCATAGCCATAGCATTGCTGTCTTCCCATTCCTAAAATACAACTAATAATATATCACTAAAATCATCATTATTCTCAATATAACGAATCGAATCATTCGTACCATGATTATGCAATAACCAATTATACATATAATCAATACTTGGATAACAACTTCGATAAGATAAATAGCGGGTACAAATTGATCAAGTTGATTCAAAAATCTGAAATGAAGATTTTCGTAGATTAAATTACACTTTCTAATTCGTATAATTAACTATGCATCTCTGTATTCTTTTTCGATACTCGCTCTTTGATCCTCGTTTGATACTCAACGATGTGCACGATCTTCTCCTGCACAACTTGTTCATCACTGTCATTCGTAAGATCCATCACCTTGTTCGTCAAGATCTTCAGTAAACCACACATATGCAAACACAGCATCAAACAAGCGCTCTTCGTGCCGCATAAAACTGTGTAAATGATAAATCCTCCGAGAACTTGTAGCGTGAAAATTATCTCGTAGTTCGGCGTAGCTTGCTCGTTCAAGGAACCAAAGTAACTCGGACAAGGTAATAATCTTACTGTCATGTTATTCGGTAAAAGGATTTTGCCCTTCGAAAGTGGAAGAATCGTCCTGTAAAAGAAACCTCCACCGTACATGGTGACCACTATTACCGTTGTCAGTTTGTGCTCGATGGACGCCCTCTCGCTGAAAATTTGTCGATTCTCTTCCGTGGCTATCAACCAATCCTTTTTTATCTCGTCCAATAATTTGCTAAATTCCTTCGCTCGTTGCAATATAATTGTATATTTAGCCATTTGCGCGATGCTGTTAAGATGTGGCATCAGCAATTTAATCTTCGTCCTGGGATTTTTCACTTGCAGAACGTACAGAAGGCCTGGGATCAAGACTATCAATTGCAATAAATACAGGATAAAAATTGTGAAGGAATTAAAAAATTTGGTAAGCGCGGAAGGAGAGACCAGTGGCCAATAACCGAGCGTTCTCGAGAACGGATATGCAAACCAGAAGGTATGCTTTAACCCTTCTTTCGCGTTTCTAATTTGGACCATTTTTCTGTCCGATGAAAGCTTGTTCGTGACTGACCATATTGCATACGATAATATCACCCTTTGAAGAATATCATTGCGCTTGCGTACATGAAATGTTAAATACGTGTACAAAGAAATGAATCGCTATTATTGAAACGGAGGGATTGGTGAATAGCGATTTGAGCTTTTACGAAAGGATTGAGAAAATTGGTTGAAATTATACGTATGGATTATGCTCGAATTGTACGGTGAATTTCCTCTGCGGAAAAGTTTCGTTATAATAATACTGATGTTTTTTTTTTAGGATTCATCTTTTCAATAAATAAATAAACGATTTTTTTATGATAATTCTAAAATTTTAAATTTAATATTTTAAAATATTTGAAAAATATTTTATATAATGATTATAAAAAAATTAAATTTTTATTTTATTTCTTTAATTGTAATTAAAAGTTATGATAATATTTTTGTAATTTTCAAGAAAAGTTTTTGCGAAGTTTATAGTTAATGGGATTGATGATTACCACTTTAGTGAGCAGATGAAATGGTAGTATTCATAGAGGGCAATTTTCTACATAATTATGGTCAATTATTGAAATTTCACATAAGATGGAAAATAATGTAAAAATGGTTTTAAAGCTCTAAACGATAGTGAAGACCATAATGTGTTTGAGAGCACAATATTATTTTCAATTAAATATTGTGTATTATGCGTCGTTCTGTAAATAATTTGTTGATGCATTGATGGCTCTAGCGAAGCATCATAGCTATCGTGAAATACAGGAAACGATAATTCTACTCAACGACGATATTGATGATATCATATTGATAGAGCTATTCCAGAAGCACACAGAAAAACAAACGTGTCTCCGAATAAAAATAATATATCATATAAATAAAATATTGAATATGTAAATAATTGTAAATAAATTAAAAGTGAAGAATAAGTTTTTAAATTTTTGCATAGTTTGTTCAATATATCTAGATATCAAACATTTGAAAATAGATTACCATAATGGTAAGTAATGTGCATATATCATGTATACAAAAGTATACGTTGCGTCATGTATAAGTTGCGAGTACAATTATACTATAATGATTAAAATTTTATAAGAGCAGACAAAATATTGTAATTTCAAATTTTAATATAATACAAGATAAAAATAATAATTTAGTAAAAAAAAAAATGATCAAGAAAATATTTTTATGTCTCTAATATATTTCATGAATATTGTGGATAATATTAAATAATTTAAGTAAGACATTAAGTAATTTCTTGCAACTTTTTTGATATATTCATTGATATACATTAAGAGATGAGAGCCATATCAAAAAGATTAAATGATGCTTCATATCTTCATAAATATCTTCTTCGAAAATATATTTTACAGAACATAAGAAAATACGTTCATCTTTTAATTAATTTTACAGTATAATTGGACATATAATAATTATCAAATACCTTTTTTGTTGGAATATCAGTTTAACATGATGCATGTTTATATATAAATTATTTATGTGTAATGCACTTTATATTTTATCGAAGAGAAATTAATAAATACAATAAATATATAAAAAAGAATATAAAAATTTCAATATAAAAATAAACTATTGAAATTGTCTCATTATTATTCTTTTAAAATATGAACAATGTTATACTCAAAGAATAACTATCTTGTAATTTTCAGGAATATTCAACTGTGATGTGATAAAGCAATGTCTAAACATCTAAGAATCATATTTCAATCATCATACACTCTATTGATCTAATAATTTATAAACACAATCTTTTTCGGGATAAAATATATATATACAATATATATTGAATTTCTACTCTGTAATATCACTCTTCATTTGATATTCAACAATATCCGCAAGCTTCATAAGCACAAGTCTTGTCATCAATTTTATCAGACTGGTAAGATCATTCATCTTATTTATTAGAATCCTCATTAAACTTCACACGTGTAGTCAAAATATCGTAATAATTCGTCTAATATCAATTATATCAGAATGAAAATATAATTGAAAAATACATCAAGAATTTATATCATAAAAATAATCTTGTGATTTAGTGTATATTATTTCTTTAAAAATGTATAGCAATCTTACAGTGTTTTTCGATTTAAAGATCTATCTTTCTAAAATGAAAGAATCTAAGATCAAGTTAAATGAAATAAAAAATAAAAAATTAAACATCATCTTTTTGATAAAACAGAAAGTGTTTATTTTTGACCATATATTTATATTTAAAAAAAAAACGAATAGTTTCACAATGTTTCAAGGAATAAGATTATTTTATTGATTTTTAACGATAAGTTATAGTTCGTACTGATTGCTAATATTACAGTACTTATTTTAATTTTATTATATTTGAGAATATGAAATGTTACACGATATTTTGTTGCTGTTATAAGAATAATCATAAAGCATGAAAAGATTGCGAAATATATTTAAATTTTTATGAAAAATTTTACGAAAATTGGTTATATACATCTTTAGAATAAAGATATATAACCAATATTGCATAGAAAATTATTTCGTTGATGAGGCACTTTATTTTTCCGCAAACTTTAAATACTCGAATATTATTACTTTGATAATTTTTCAAAAATCAAACTTTTAATAGAAAATTATAAAATATTTGGAAAATTATCTTATATGCAAATATATATTTATGATAATTGTGAGAGAATTTATTATTCATAAATTCTAGCATGATGCATAAATTATAATGACGATGATTTTTAAATCTCCAGAGATCGTATCGTTCATAAAGTTTACAATTATTATTATTCTTTGATAAATATAAAATAAATAAAAAGGATACTGGAGGAAAAAATTATACGATTTTCTTCTCTAATTACGATCCAATTATTTAAATTTTAATTTAATAAAAAAATAAATGTGTGCTGAGTATATAATTCATTTTTGGGTAATTACATGAATTGTGTAATAGATTTCATGAGTCCTTCAAAAAACGTAAGATCTTAAGTAATTTGTTGTAACATATTCATGTAACTCACTGCAGCTTTAATGATCTATAAAAATAAATGCAAATAAATGCAAATAAATGTGCAAAAAATGTGCATGAGTCTAATGTTTTCATACGTACATTAATAAAGGTGACTAAAGATAAATCTATAATTTTTCCTGCCGTGACTTTTATTGGATAATTTGACATAATGATCAATAATAACAAGCTGCGCGACTTTCTTACAGGCAATTGATACCACTTCAATGTAATATATGCCTGTCTAATATTCTCGCTCTATTACAGGTAAAACTTTTGTTAAATATCTCATCAAACTAATGTTTGATATTATATTTTTATCCATGAGCAACAGATAATTTACTTCATCAAGTAGAAGTTGACCGACATAGCATACCGAAAAGGTGCCAATTAAGCAAGTTATTTGGACGATAACATAAGTAATTATACCCATACCATTACTGTCTTCCCATTCCTAAAATACAACTAATATGTTACTGAAATTTATATTATTTTCAATATAACGTACCATGATTATACAGTAACCAATTATACACATAATTAGTACTTGGATAAAAACTTCGATAAGATAAATAGCGGGTACAAATTGATCAAGTTGATTCAAAAATCTGAAATGAAGACTTTCGTAGATCGAATTAAACTTTCTAATTTAATTAACTATACATCTTTCTTTTTTTTTTCGATACTCACTCTTTGATCCTCATCTGATACTCCACGATGTATACGATCTTCTCCTGCACAACTCGTTCATCATTGTTATTCGTCAGTTCCATCACTTTGTTCGTCAAGATCCTTAACAAACCGCACATATGCATGCATAGCATCAAACAAATACTCTTGGTGCTGCATACAGCTGTATAAATGACAAATCCGCCGAGAACTTGCAGGATGAAAATTATCTCGTAGTTCGGGCTAACTTGCTCGTCCAAGGAACCAAAATAACCCGGACAAGGTAACAATCTTATAGTCATATTGTTCGAAATGATTTTGCCTTTCGAAAATGGAAGAATCATTCTGTAAAAAAAACCTCCGCTGTATACAGTGAGCGCTATTATTGATGTCAGCTTATGCTCAATGGACGCCGTCGTGCTGAAAATTTGTCGATTCTCCTCCGTGGCTATCGACCAATCTTTCCTTATCTCGTCCAATAATTTGCCAATTTGCTTCATTTGTCGTAATAAAATCGTGTACTTAATCATTTGCACGATACTGTTGAGATGTGGCATCAGTAATTTAATCTTCTTCTTTGGGTTTTTCTCTTTCAAAAATACGTATAGAAGGCTTGGGATCACGACTATCATTTGCAATAAATATGAGATAAAAATTATGAAGAAATTTAAAATTTTAGAAAACGCGGAAGAAGAAACGCTCAGTGGCCAGTGACCGAGCATTCTCGAGAACGGATGTGCAAACCAAAAGGTATGCTTTAACCCTTCTTTTGCGTTTCTAATTTGGACCATTTTTCAGGATGAAGGCTTATTCGTGACTGACCATGTTGTATACGGTAATATCGCCCTTTGAAGAACATCATTGCGCTTGCGTACATGAAATGTTAAATACGTTTGCAAATTGAGAAATAAATCGCTGTTATTGAAACAATTTTATTTTTACGAAAGTATGATAAAATTGATTGAAATTATATGTATGGATTATACTTGAATTGTACGGTAAACTTCCTCTGCTATTTCGTTGCAATAATAGTGATTTTTGTAATATTCATATTTTCATTGAATAAATGAACGATCTTTTTATAATAATTTTAAAACATTTAATCGAGTATTGTAAAATATTTGAAAAAATATTTTATGTACTTAATAATTATAAAAATTTTGCATTTATTTTATCATTTCTATTATAATTCGAAGTTATGATAATATTTTTGTAATTTTCTAGAAAACCTTTGCGAAGTTTATAGTTGATGGGATTTATGATTACCGCTGTAGTAAGTAGATATGAAAGGGCCCACTATTCATGAGGGATAAGTTTTCTACATAATTATGGTCAATTATTGAAATTTCACGTAAAATAGAAAATAATATAAAAATGATTTCAAATCTATCAGTATGATTTTATAGCTTATGTAAGTGCTTGAAAACTTGTGCATATTATTTTCAACTACTATGTATCTTGTTCATCAATTTAATAAATATAATTTATTAATACTGTTAGAAACATTGATAGCTAGTGAAGCATCGTGAAATGCGATAAAAAAATGACAGTTCTATTCAATATTAGTATTGATAATATCATTTTAATAAAGTTGTTTCCGAGACACGCAGAAGAACAAGTATATCTCTTTCCGAATAAAGACAATATCGTATAAATAAAAATAAATAAAATATCGAAATATAAATAAATGTAAATAAATTAGAAATAGGGAAAAAATTAAAATTATTTTATATAAAAGGCAACTAAATATTATAATTTAAAAAAAAATATTTAATATAAAATAAAAACAATTTAATAGATAAAATGAAATTAATAATTTAATAAGTAAAAAATATGATAAAAATATAATATTTTTATATCTTTAATCATATTTCATGAAATTGACTAATATAACGCGTAAAATATACAAAAAAAGAGAGAATTCTAATAAAAAAAAAATTACTAAAACTGTGATTATTATTTTTTCTTAAAATATAATTAATGTTATATAATATAACTATCTTGTAATTATCGTTTTCAGGAATATTCAACTGAAGTGTGTGAATGAAGAATATTGAAATATAAAAGTATGTCCAAAAAATGCATATATGTATTCTTGTGAAAATAAAAATAAAATGTGAGTTAAAAGTTGAAATCATATTTCAATCATCATGCATTCCATTAATATAATAATCTCTAATCTGTAAATATAATCTTTTTCCAGATAAAATATCCATATATAACATATATCAAATTTCTACTCACCTTTTAATCTTCTGATGTTCAACAATATTCATGAGCTTTGTGGATTCAATTATCTCTGTTTCATTTGATTGGTAAGATTCATTCATCCTATTTATGTAGAATCATCAACAAACTATACTGCAAAGCATTCTATTAAGTCGTGTAATATTGCACAGAGTGATAAAATTGAAAAATCTATCAAAAATTTGTATCGTAAAAAATTTCGTAATTCGTATAAATTGTTAAAAAATATGTAGCATATATAACAAACATAAAAAACATGGTTCAATTTGCAATATAGTTACGTTATAAAGAAAAATTGTCTTTTGAAAATGAAAGAATGATTCGATAATTGTCATTACATTACACATACATATTATCATACATAACAATGTTTTTATCGCCATTCTGTAATTGATGTTTCTCGTGAAGAAGTGAAAATCTGATACAATGACATATAAATTTGTTTTATAAATTATATCTTATAAAGATATTTCATTGTAATAGCACTTTGATATTTTTTCATCTATTCGATTTTGCGGTAATATTTGTTTTGAATTTTTTAAAATCAAACTTATTGTTTTCAATAAAAGTTATAAAATATTTATAAAAATACTTTATATGCAATTACGATATTTAAGAGAATTTAATATTCATAAATTCTAATGCATAAGTTATAATGATAATGGTTTATAATCTTGTAAAATATCGTATCGATGGATATTAGTTTACAATGGATAAATGCAATTATTTTCATTATGATAAACATATATAAGAGTACAACACAGAAACAAATTATACAAAATTTCTCTCTTCGTAATTGCGGTTCAATTATTCAAATTTTGATTCGATAAGAAAGTGAACAAGTGCTTTATATATAGTTCAGGATCATCTTTGATTACTGCGGTAGATTAAAAGAGTTTTCCAATGAACGTAAAATCTTAAGTAACTTGTTGTAGTATATTCATGTATCCTATTGCACTCTTAATGATCTAAAAAATAATGCAATATATATATACATATATATATATAAGTGCAAAAAATAAAAGTAAAAGTCTAATATTTCGATACTTACGCTAGTAAACGTGACTAACGATACGTCTATAATTCTTCCTGCCGTGACTTTTAGCGGATAATTCGACATAATAATCAATAATATTAAGCTGCGAGCTTTCTTTGTAGGTAATCGATACCACTTCAATGTTTTGCACGCCTGTCTAACATTCTCGCTCTATTAAAAACAAAATTTCTGATAAATATCCAAACGAATATTAAATATATTTTTGCCCAATTCAATAACACATTAGATGATTTACTTCGTCGACTAGAAGTTGACCGGCGTAGCATATCGAGAACGTGCCAAAGACGCAAGTTACTTGCAGGACGATATAAGCAATTATAGCCATAGCATCGCTATCTTCCCATTCCTAAAAGACAATATGTTACTGAAATTACTATCACTTTCGATATAATGAATCGAATCTTTCGTTCATACCACGATTATGCAATAACCAAGTACACACGTAATTGATACTCCGACAATCATTTCGATAAAATAAACGTAGGGTACGAATTGATCAACGTAATTGTAAAATCTGAAATCAAAATTTGGATTATGTTGCATGTAATTCTTTCTTATTCATACGATTCACCACGCATCTTTATACTCCCTTTTTTCAAAAAAATGGAGATACTCACTCTTTGATCCTCGTCTGATATTGAACAATGTACACGATCTTCTCTTGTACGACTTTTTCGTCCTTGTCACTCGTAAGTTCCATCACCTTGTTCGTCAAGATCCTCAACAAACCGCACATGTGCATACACAGCATCAAACAAGAACTCTTCACGCCGCACAGAGCTGTGTAAATGATAAATCCGCCGAGAATTTGCAGCGTGAAGATTATCTCGTAGTTCGGGGTAATTTGAACGTTCAAGGAGCCAAAGTAACCCGGACAGGGTAACAATCTTATAGTTACATTGTTCGGTAAAACGATTCTACCTTTCGAAAGTGGAAGAATCATTCTGTAAAAGAAACCTCCTCCGTATATAGTGATAGCTATTACCGTTGTCAGCTTGTGCTCTATGGACGCCCTCGCGCTAAAAATTTGTCGATTCTCTTGCGTGGCTGTCGACCAATCCTTCTTTATCTCGTCCAATAATTTGCTAAATTCTTTCATTCGTCGCAATAGTATCGTATATTTAGTCATTTGTGCGATAGTGCTCATAAGTGGCATCATCATTTTAATCTTCCTCCTCCCGTTTTTCTCTTTCAGAAATAGATACAGAAGGCCTGGGACCAAGACTATCATTGAGAGCAAGTACGAGATAAAAATTATAAAGGAATTACAAATTTTGGAGAACGTGGAAGATGGGATGTTCAGTGGCCAGCAACCGACCATTTTCGAGAGGGGATATGCAAACCAAAGGGTATGGTTTATGCCTTCTTTCGCGTTTCTGATTCGAACCATTTTTCAGTCGGATGAAAGCTTATTCGTGACTGACCATGTTGCATACGGCAATTGCTTCTTTGAGGAAACTTCATTGCGCTTGCGTACATGAAATATTAAATACGTATGCGTAAATTTAGAAATGAATCGCTGTTATTGAAACTAAGGGATTGTTGAATATCGGTTTCAATTTTTACGAAATGACAAGAAAATTGGTTGAAATTACACGTTTTCGCTTGAATTGTACGCTCAACTTCCTCTACGAATAAAAAGTTGTAATAACATTGGTATTTTTTTCGTAGTACTCATCTTTTCAATGGATAAACGAACATTTTTTTATTGTGATAATTTTAAAATATTGAATTGAATATTTGAAAAAATATTTTATGTACGTAATAATTGTGAAAAAATTCAATATTCATATTTATCATTATTCGATAATATTTTTGTAATTTTTTGTAATTTTCCAGAAAAGTTTTGCGAAGTTTATAATCGATAGAATGAATGATGACCATTGTGAAGAGTAAATATGAAAATATTCATGGGGGAGAAGTTTTCTATAATTATGGGCCAATTATTGAAATTCTACATAAAAGGAGAATTTTCATAATTTCTACATTAGAAGAAAAATAATGTATAAATGATTTTAAAATTCTCTATACGATTTCATATCATGATGAATATGTACTGTACTTGAGAACATGTGTAATATTATCTTCAATCAAGTACTATATCATGTATTTCATTTTGTAACAAATATTATTTGATACTATTGACGGCAGTACAGAGCATCATAAGCAACGTGAAATGTGATAAAGAATATCATATGATATCGATGATATTGTTTTAATAGAGTTATTTCTAGAATACGGAGAAAAAACATTTCTGCTCCTTCAGTAAAAACAATATCATATAAATAAAATCAAATGTAAATAGTTATAAAAAAAAATGGAAAATGAGTTTCTGGATTCTTGCATACTTTATTCAATATATACAGACATCAAACATATTTGGAAACCATATAGTAATTTAATAAATTAATAATTAATAGTAAGTAATCTGCAAATATTATGTATGTAAAGTATCATAAGTTGCGAGTATATTACATTATGATGATTAAAATTTTATGAACAAACAAAATATTATCTTTTTTTTATATAAAATATATATAATGAATAGTTTAATAAATAAATGAAAAAGTGTAATCGAGAAAATATTTTTATATTATTTGTAATTATTGTGATCGAAAATGTATTTCTATGCTTTTTATTATACTATATTTCATGAATTTCATAGTTAACGTCAGATGTTAAGTACTTTCTCGCAATATATTTAAATAACTTATTTAAATAAATATATATATAATAAATAATAATAAATATATTTTACAGGATACGAAAATTTGAAAACATAAAAAAATAACATTATGTCGATGAAAAATACATTTACCCTTTTGGCAGCTGTAAGATTTATAAGATAATTGAACATAATGATAAATAGTATTAAATATTGGGCCTTTTTTGCCAAAAAATAATACCAGTTTAACATGATGTTTGTGCTAAATTATTACTGTGAAAAGAATGTTCAATATTAAATTCATTTCAATAAAAATAAATAACGCAGAGAGTAGTTGAGAAATCCAACAAAAATTTGTAAAAATAATTCGATGTTATTTCTTAAAAATCACGTAGCAACCAGAATATAGTAGTATACCTTATAATTGTGTTATCTAGTAGAAGGATTCTACCTTGAAGAAAGGAAAAATCATTCGATCAGCGATACCAGAACTATACATAGTAGTCATTATATCTATCATTCTACTGTGATCGATATTTGTCTCTGTAGTGAAAATTCACAGATTTCTTCAAACAAGTAATTTTTCTTTACCTATATATTATATTAAATTCTTTTTAGTATAAAAAATTGAAATTATTTGTATCTTGCACTGCATGAATCCTATCTTAAGAAGTTCCATAAACGCACTTTAATATTTTTTCATAAATTTCATCTTTGTTAGTTAAAATAATATTTATTATAATAATTTTTTAAAATCAAAGTTAAAACTTTTGATAAAAATTGTAAAATATTTGGAAAAATATGTTATATGCGATTATAATTATGAAAGAATTTAATATTTATAAATTCTAGATTAGTTTTTTAACAATGATAATGTTTTTTTAATTTTTTATATATATGGTACATTTATATTCGTTTCATTATAGCAAATGCAAGACAAATACAAAAATTTATCACACGTTGGGATAATAAAGTATATAACATTTAATAGAAAAGTACAACTTATTATACATAGTTCAATATTTCATTTTTATATAATTACAATCGTATAGTAAATTTTATATTTTTCTCATAAATATAAGATCTTAAGTAACTTGTTGCAATATATTCATATATCCCACAGCACTCTTAATGATCTAAAAAATAAGTAACAGTATGTGCAAAAAAAAGTAAGAACACAAATCTACATTTTGGTACTTACACTAGTAAAAGTGACTAAGGATACGTCCACAAGTCTTCCTGCAGTGACTTTTATTGGATAATTGGACATAATGATCAACAGTATCAAGCTGCGCGCTTTTTTTGTAGGTAATCGATACCATTTCAATGTGTTGCACGCTTGTCTAACACTCTCGCTCTATTAAACATAAAATTTCTGATAAATATATTAACTAATTAATATTTTGTATATTTTTTTTTTCAGGAATAATAATAGATAGTTTACTTCGTCGACCAGAAGTTGACCGACATAGCATATCGAGAACGTGCCAAAGACGCAAGTTGTTTGCAAGGCAACGTAAGCTATTATAGCCATGGCATCGCTGTCTTCCCATTCCTAAAAGACAATGCGTTACTGAAATTATCACCACTTTCGATATAATGCATGGAATCTTTTATTCGTACCACGATTATGCAGTAACCAAGTATGCACGTAATCAGTACTCCAACAAAAATTTCGATAAGATAAACATAGGGTACGAATTGATCAACATGATTCAAAAATCTGAAACGTAATTACGATCACAATGATTCTATTCTACAATTACCCGTAAATTTTTGTATTCTCTTTCGAAACTCACTCTTTGATTCTCGTCTGATACTCAACAATATGCACGATCTTCTTCTGTACAACTCGTTCATCATTGTCATTCGTAAGATCCATCAGCTTGTTCGTCAAGATTCTTAGCAAACCGCACATATGCATGCACACCATCAAACAAGCACTTTTGATGCCGCATACAGCTGTGTGAGTGACAAATCCGCCGAGAACTTGCAGCGTAAAGATTATCTCGTAGTTCGGGGTAATTTGCTCGTTCAAGGAACCAAAGTAACCCGGACAAGGTAACAGTCTTATAGTCACGTTGTTCGGTAAAACGATTCTACCTTTCGAAAGTGGAAGAATCGCCCTGTACAAGAAACCTCCACCGTATATAGTGATCGCTACTATCATCGTCAGTTTGTGTTCGATGGACGCCCTCGAGCTGAAAATTCGTCGATTCTCTTGCGTGGCTGTTGACCAATCCTTCTTTATCTCGTCCAATAATTTGCTAAGTTCCTTCGTTCGTCGTAATATAATCGTATATTTAGTCATTTGTGCTATACTGTTGATATGTGGCATCAGCATTTTGATTTTTTTCCTTCCATTTCTCTCTTTCAGAAATACATACAGAAGGCCTGGAATCAAGACTAGCAATGGCAGTAAATATGAGAAAAAAATTGTAAAGGAATTTAAAATTTTGGAAAACGCGGAAGAGGGGACATTCAATGGCCAATAGCCAAGCATTCTCGAGAGCGGATATGCGAACCAAAAAGTGTGCTTTATCCCTTCTTTCGCGTTTCTGATTTGGACCATTTTTCAATCGGATGAAAACTTTGTTTGTAACTGATTTTGTTGCATACGGCAATATTGCTTCTTTGAGGAAACTTCATTGCGCTTGCGTACATGAAATGTTAAACATGTATGCAAATTTAAAAATGAATCGATGTTATTGAAACTGAGGGGATTGTTGAATAGCGGTTTGAATTTTTACGAAATGATGAGAAAATTGGTTGAAATTGTACGTTTATGTATACTTTGAATTGAACGTTGAACTTCCTGAACGGCTGAAAAGTTTCATTATAGCAATTGATGGTTTTTTATAGTGTTCATCTTTTCAACAGATATGTGAATAATTTTTTTTAGAGTAATTTAAAAATATAATTAAATGTTTTAAAATATTTAAAATAATATTTTATATACGTAATAAATTTGTAAAAAAATTTAATATTTATATGCTTCTATTATATTATATATTATTCGAAATTACAGTAAAATAATACTTTTGTAATTTTTTGTAATTTTCCAGAAAAGTTTTGCAAACTTTATAAGATGGATGGTTATGATCGTAGCGTGCAGATGTGGAAAAAACCAGTATTTTGAGGATGAGTTTTTTTCTTATGGATTTTTTAATTATGGATCAATTATTGAAATTCTTAAAATTGAAAAAAAATACAATGAAAAAGATTTTAAAATTCAATCTTATAGAAGAGTGAATGTGTACTATATTTGAGGATAAACACTTAAAATTGCTATCAGTCAAGTATTCAAGAGTGTCATGCACATCATTTTATAACAAATAATTTGTTAATATATATACAGATATCTATTTAAATTGTCACAAGTAGGTAAGTAATTTGCTAAATGTCATGTATGCAAAGTAGAATTATGATTACTAAAATTTTACGTAAAAGAATACAAAATATTATAATTACTACTTTTAAAATATCTAATATATAATAGAATATTTAATTAGTTAATTAATAATAATTTAAATATGTGAAAATATGTGATCGAGAAAATATTTTTATGTCAATTCTAAGTATTGCTACCGAGAATATTTCTATGTCTCTAATCGTATTCTATTTTACGAATTTTTATAATAATTTTAATGGAGAGATTAGGTAACTTCTCGTAACATATTTAAATAACCCATTGCCGCCTTCATGACCTAAAAAATATATTTCGTAGAATATATGAAATTTGAAGATGAAAAGTAACTTTTTTCATACTTACATCAGTGAAGGTGGTTAAAGATACGTCTACCACTTTAGCCGCTGTCAGTTTTACAGGATAATTAGACATAATTATTATCAGTATTAAACACCGGGCTTTTTTTGTTGGAAAATGATACCAGTTTAACGTGATACATGTTCGCGCTAAATTATTGCTCTGAAAATATAAATTCATGTTAAAATAAATAATAATACGCGACAATAATGCAGTTTGTATTACTTCATCGAGGAGTAGTTGACCAATATAACAGACTATGTATGTAACAAAAATACAGGTCCCTAATAGCATAAAATGCACCACTATAGCAACGATATTATGGTTTTCCCATTCCTGAAAATAGACACTGGTTTTATTATAAAAATATTATATCTTCGATATTTTCAATTTCATTTCCTACTCGTACCAGAATAATGCAATATCCTACGAAACATATAAGGCAAGTGTTACAGCTGATTTCGTAAAAACAAAAATATTGCGTGATCAATTCTGTATTATCTAAAAATCTGAAAAAGTGATGAAGCATAACATAATCTATATTTGACATATTTCTCATTTTCAGGTAGACATTCCAATTTCTCGTTTACCTTTTGATCTTCGTTTGATATTCCACGATATCCACAATCTTCTCCTGCATAATATTCTCGCTGGTAATCGATCCATCCGCGAGATCGATCATTTTTCTCCTTAAAATCTTCAACAAGCTACACATGTGGAGAGAAAGCATCAAGGAAATTCCGACGGTGCTACTGAGAACTGTATAAATGAAAAATCCAGCCAGAAGTTGCAGCATGAAGATCATCTCGTAGTATGGGCTAACTAATTCGTTAAAAAAAGTAAAGTAAGTTGGACAGGGGAGTAGTCTTATGGTAACATTATTCGGTAGAATAATTTTCCCTTTTAAAAGTGGAAGAAGCATTCGATAACCGAGACCACTGCTATACATGGTGACAACTATTATCAGCATTATTCGTTGACCGATCCTTGAATTCGCGACAAAGACAAATCGATCTTCAGGTGTGGCGGTCAACCAATCTTTTTTTATTTCGTGTATAGCTATTCTCAATTCGTTCGCTCTATTTAGCGTGATCACATACTTGAACACTTGATTCAAAGTATTGGTGAGCAGCATTAACAGATTTATTTTTCTTCTTCCATTCTTCTCTTTTAGGAACATGACTAAGATACACGGAATCACGATACACATTTGCAAGGAAATGGAGAAAGAAATTATAAACCATTTTCGTATCTTCGAGCTTAAAGAAGATTCAATAGGCCAAGCACCGATTATCTTCAAAAACGATTGCGCGTAGAACGCTTGCTTCAAATCTTTTCCCACGTATTTCGTTTCCATTATTTCTTTCCAATGGTTGAAAGTTCGTGAACATTACTGTATGTTTGCGATAAAACTGCATCCTTTACATTGCGCGTGCGTTTATAAAATATATAATGTCGAATTTAGCGAGGAATAACAGTTATTTCAATAATGTTGTAGAATCATATATTTAGATTCATGTAGGAATCGGCAGATGCGCAGAAAACGATTCAAATTATGATACTTATACCTTGCATGCGCAATACAGATTAGATTTCCAGGTTTTTTGATCATAGATAGTAGATCTCTTTCACGAGCAATTTTACATAAAGAAATATGACTTGTTGTAGTTAAAAAAATAAGTGTTTATTAAGAGAGACTTAAGTATTTACCATCGTGGTATTTAATAGTAATTCAATTGTGATTATAATAATTGTGATATTTGTTCGATGATATTCTAGAAAACATTTTATTTTCATATTCTCAAAGTTTCTCATATTTTCATATTCTCAAGACTTATTGAATAATTATAAAGCAGTATTTAGAATTGATTTTTTATGAAATAAAAATATGCAACTATAAATCAGTTATAATCAATCATAGTGGCATAGTATGATCAAGATTCAAATTATAAAAAAAAAGACACTAATAGCAAATTCAAAGAATGAAAATTCATGTATAAAAACAATATATTATTATAAAATGTTTTTTTCTTAAAATTAACAAATAGATAATGAATAAACTATATTATTCTATATATCGTTTATCGTAAATATAGTGTTATATCTTTTTAATGAAACATCATATAATATTTATACTTGATTACTTTCAAATGTAATTGAAATTGAACGATGACATCAACATGGATGGAATGGAAATAATGGTAAAAACAATTTCAAAATACTTTGTACAATTTTACAATGTGAAAAAGAATGGAAATGTATTTGAGAACATGTGTTCAGGATTATTTGCAATGTATCACATAAGTATATCTTGTAACAAATATAATTTGTTTATCCTTTTTTTACATATATATACTAAATATATTTGAAAAGAGATTGCCACAATAAGTTATATGCATGTACAAAAAAAAATATAATTAGACTATGATTATGAAAAATTATATAAGGAGATAATAATATTAAAATACTGTAATTACTATTTTTAAAATATTTAGTACAAAATAAGATCAATTAATTTGCAATAATAATTTGTGATATATGTGAAAAAAGTGTGATTGAGGAAACATTTTTATGTTTTTTCTAAGTGTTGTGATCAAGAATATTTCTATATATATCGAAACATATTATTTCATTTCATAAGTTTAAGTGATAACATTAAATAACTTCTCGTAACATATTTAAATAACCCATTGCCGCCTTCATGACCTGAAAATATATTTCAAAAAAATATATTTCGCAAGATGTATAAAATTTGAAGATAAAAATTTATATAATAATTTTCTTCATACTTACATCGGTGAAGGTGGTTAAAGATACATCCACCACTTTAGCCGCCGTTAGTTTTACAGGGTAATTGGACATAATAATCATCAGTATCAAACATCGGGCCTTTCTTATCGGAAAATGGTACCAGCTTAACGTGATACACGTTTGTGCTAAATTATTGCTCTGAAAAGAATGTTCAAGACAAATTTATGTTAAAATAAATAACGATAATAATGTAATTTATACTTCGTCGAGAAGAAGTTGACCGATATAACAAACTATATATATAATAAAAATGCATGTCCCTAACAGCATAAAGTGGACTACTATAGCGGCGATATTATGGTTTTCCCATTCCTGAAATGAAGCAACTATCGTAAAAATATTCTATTTCCTTTTTATATTTTCAACTTTATTCTCTACCAGAATAGCACTATATCCTATGAAACACATAAGACACATGTTACAGCCAATATCGTAAAAACAAAAATACTCGGTGATCAGTTCTGCGTTACCCAAAAATCTGAAAAAAAAAAAAGAAAAAAAAACACGATGCAGGTACACTACATACTTTTTATTTTTCAGCCAATGCTACATTTCAATTTCAATTCACTTACCTTTTGATTTTTGTTTGATATTCCACAATATCCACAATCTTTTCTTGCATAATATTCTCACTAGTAATCGATCCATTTGTGAGATCGGCCATTTTCCTCGTTAAAATCTTCAATAAACTACACATATGAAGAGAAAGCATCAAGGAAATCCCAACAGTGCCATTGAGGACTGTATAACTGAAAAATCCAGCCAATAATTGCAGCATGAAGATCATCTCGTAGTATGGGCTAACTAATTCGTTAAAAAAAGTAAAGTAAGTTGGACAGGGCAGCAGTCTTATGGTAACATTATTCGGCAGGACAATTTTCCCTTTCAAAAGTGGAAGAAGCATTCGATAACCGAGACCGCTGCTATATACGGTGACAGCTACTATCAACATCACTCTTTGACCGATTTTTGAATTTGCCGCGAAAATCCACCGATCCTCCGATGTGGCAGTCAACCAATCGTTTTTTATCTCGTCCATGGCTATTGCTAATTCGTTCGCTCTGTTCAATGTGATCACATATTTGAATAATTGATTCAGAGTGTTGGTAAGCAATTTGAATAGATTTATCTTTCTCTTTCCATTCTTCTCTTTTAGGAGCACGACCAAAATGCACGGACCCACGATACATATTTGCAAGAAAAGAGAGAAGAAAGTTATGAACCAATTTCGTATCTTCAAACTCAAAGGGGATTCGATGGGAATTGGCCAAACACCGACTATCTTTAAGAACGACTGCGCGTAGAAGGCTTGCTTCAGATCTTTTTTCGTGTGTTTTGTTTCCATTATTTCCTTTCAATGGTTAAGAGTTCGAAAATATTACTGTGATAAAACGGTAGCTGCTACATTGCGCGCGCGTTTATAAAATATATAATATAGAATTTAGCATGGAATAGCAGTTATTTCAACGATGTGGCAGAATTATATGTTTGGATTTATGTAGGAATCAGCAGATGCGCAGAAAACGCTTCAAATTATAAACTTATACCTTGCATGCGCAATTCAGGTTAGTTTCTCATGTTTTCTGGTCATAGATAGTATAGATTTCTTTTACGTGCAAATTTTTTTGAAAAAGAATAAATTGGTTGTGACATTATTTGCATCATAATATTAATAAGAAAACTTAAATGATAATAATCAAAATCGTAATGTTTGTTCCATCATATTTCAAAAAACTATTTTTATATTGTCAAAGTTTCAAAAGATTATAGTGAATAATTATAGGGAATTAAATAGTGTTATGATAAAACATATAGCTATGTTTGTTTCAATAAAACAGTAAATAGCGATAATAATGAAAGACTGACATAAATCAAACACTTTTATTATCATTCTCAAAACATTTTTTTACTTCTCTGTGTTCAAAATAATAGTACAAGAATGATATCACATATGCTATTTTATTACTTAATCACTTTATTTATTTATAATTTTTTTTAAAACATTTGGAATCTTTCTTATTATACTATTATTTGCAAAAAATTTAGATATGCTAGTAAAGTTTTGTAAATCTTAATAACTTTTTTCTTTTTTCAAGAATTTTCATTACAATATATTGATCACTAATAATTATGAAAATACATTAATGAAATTCACATGATTGAAACAAAATATTATTCAATGATTTGAAATCTTTCCATTTCTAAAAACATTATAGATTTATTTTTTTTTTTCTTTCTTATTTCATTTTTCTTTTTGATTAAATAATATTTTTTGCTATTTTTGCTATTTGATCAAATGTTATACTTATGTAATATTTTTACTTGATTGCTTTCAGATGAGATTGAACGATATCAATAACATGATCATGCAAATCCCGATTTTCCCACTTGCAAAGCATCTCGATCTTTCTATTGATATAACCTCGAACAGACCGCAGCAGTGCATCGTTATAGAAGCAATCAACCTGTAAGTCTCACAATTCCTGACAAAATAATATTAGTGATGAATATTTGCAAAACGAAAATCATCTCGTAATTGGCGAATAATGAAGAAAACATAATCAAATAAGTGATGATCTGAGTGTTTGTTCTCTTTGACAATCCTTTTCTATCAGAAGTAAAATAATGTGACATGGCAAAGTGCCGATGTAACCAAGACTCAAATATATAAGAATCGGACGATATTAATTGCAATATTCATTACTAATATTCCTTACCAATTAATTTTTTTTGCATTCCATATCTTTATTTCTATCAAGCAAAATCGGATTTCCTTTCGATTTATGATTTAATGATCAAAAGTCTGAAAATTTGTGCAAATATCATCTTATGTATGTGGTTCGATTTCGCAATAAAAATAAGTATAAATTATTCATAATAACAAGAGAAAAAATAATTATTTGAAAAAAATAATTATATTACTGCACGTTTGTGATAAAATAAGCAATAGTTACATTGCGCATGCGTTTAAAAAATATATAATAATTTTATTACTTATAAAATATTAATATTATTAATATTATTTAAAAAATATATATAATATAATATAATATAAAATATATAATATTTATTAGAATTTAGCATGGAATAGCAGTTATTTCAATAATGTTACGAATACAATATTAAAAATTATACATTTAGGTTTATGTAGGAATCAACAGATGCGCAGAAAACTATGAATTCTCTCTTGCATGCGCAATCTAGGTTAGTTTTTCGTGTTCTCTAGTCACGGGTAGATTTCTTTTACGTGCAATTTTTTTGAAAAAAATAACATTAGTTGAGATATTATTTGTATTATATTATTAATAAGAAGATTTAAGTGATAATAATTCAGTTGTGATATCGTAATATTTATTTGATAATATTTCAGAAAATTTTATTTTCATGTTTCAAAGGATTACAGTGAATATATAAAAAATTATAAAGAACTTTATATAAGAAAAAAATGCTATAATTACTGCTTTTAAAATATCTAATACAAAGCAAGATTAATAGATTTATATAATTTGCAATAATAATTTAAATATATCTGAAAAAAATATGATCGAACAAAAATATCGTTTTTTATGCGTTGTGATCGAAAATATTTTTATATTTGAAAACATATAATATTTTAAAAGTGGTAACATGAAAGTTAACAGTAACATTAAATAACTTCTCGTAACATATTTAAATAACCCATTGCCGCCTTCATCACCTAGAAAATATATTTCGCAAAATATACGAAATTTGAAAATAAAAATTTATATAATAATTTTCTGCGTACTTACATCGGTGAAGGTAGTTAAAGATACGTCTACCACTTTAGCCGCTGTCAATTTTATAGGATAATTGGACATAATAATTATCAATATCAAATACCGGGCCTTCTTTTTTGGAAAACGATACCAGTTTAAAGTAGTGCATGTTTGTGCTAAATTATTGCTCTGAAAAGAATATTCAAGACAAATTCGAGTTAAAATAAATAACCATAATGCAATTTATACTTCGTCAAGGAGAAGTTGACCGATATAACAGATTATATATATCATAAGAGTGGAAGTTGCTAATCCCGAAAAATAAATCACTATATTAGTAATATTACGATTTTCCCATTCCTGAAATAAAAAAGATACTAGTTTGTCGTAAAAATATTCCAATTTTTCTTTATCTTTTTCATCTTTGTTCGCTATATACAAACCACAATAATACTGTATCCTATGAAACATATAAGACACGTGCTACAACCGATATCATAAAAACAAAAATATTGCGTGATCATTTCTGTGTTATTCAAAAATCTGAAAGAGAGTAATGAAAACACGATATATATCACATTTGACATTTATCATTTCTCAATCAGCCGATGTTAGATTCCAAATTTTTGTCTACCTTTTGATCCTTGTTTGATATTCAATGATATCCACGATCCTTTGCTGCATAATTTTTTCGCTGATAACCGATCCATCCGTAAGATCGGCCATTTTCCTCGTTAAAATCTTCAGTAAACTACACATATGAAGAGAGAGCATCAAGGAAATCCCGGCCGTGCCATTGAAAACTGTATAAATGAAAAATCTAGCCAGAAGTTGCAGCATAAAGATCATCTCGTAGTATGGACTAACTAATTCGTTAAAAAAAGTAAAGTAAGTTGGACAGGGGAGTAGTCTTATGGTAACATTATTCGGTAGAATAATTTTCCCTTTCAAAAGTGGAAGAATCATTCGATAACCGACACCAGTGGTATACATGATGACAGCCATTATTATCATCATTCGTTGACCAATCCTCGAATTCGTGACAAAGACAAATCGATCTTCGGGCGTGGCGGTCAACCAATCTTTTTTTATTTCGTGTATAGCTATCCTTAATTCGTTCGCTCTGTTCAGCGTAATCACGTATTTGAACATCTGAATTAAAGTGTTGATGAGCAGCATGAACAGATTTATCCTTCTGCTTCCATTCTTCTCTTTCAGGAACACGTCCAAAATGCACGGAGCTACGATACATATTTGCAAGAAAAAGGAGAAAAAAATTATAAACCATTTTTGTATTTTCAAACTCAAAGAAGATTCGATAGCGATTGGCCAAGCACCAATTATCTTCAGGAACAATTGTGCGTAGAACGCTTGCTTCAGATCTTTTTCCGCATGTTTCGTTTCCATTATTTCTTTCCAATGGTTGAAAGTTCGTGAACATTACTGTATGTCTGCGATATAACTGCATTCTTTACATTGCGCGTGCGTTTATAAAATATATAATATATTAGCATGGAATTTAGCATGGAATGGAAATGGCAGTTATTTCAACAATGTTAGAATTATATGTCTAGGTTCATGTAAGAATCAGCAGATGCGCAAAACGATGGCAAATTATGAACTTATACCTTGCATGCACAATCCAGATTAGTTTCCTGTGTTTACTGGTCATAGATGATATACATCTGTTTTACTATTTGAAAATATTTTTTGAAAAAATATAACATTGATTGTAATATTTGTACGATTATATATAAGAGACTTAATTATTTATGAAGTGTTGAGCAATCGTGAGATTTAATAATATTTGAGTTGTGATATTTCTTTGATTATATTGCAGAGAACATTATTTTTATATCATTAAAGTTTCCAAAGATAAAGTTTCCAGTGAATAATTATAAATTATAAAATAATTTTAAAAAAGAGATTTACGATAAGACACATAGGTATGTTCCTAATTATGATTCAATAAAATAGGAAAATGCAATAAAAAAATGTTACAAGCTGAAAACATTTATTAGCATTCTTAAAACATTTTCTTATTTCTCATCATTCAAAGTAATTAAAATTTATTACAATTATATTATGTATCCTATGTTAATACTTACTTAATCAGTTTTATTTATTTATCATCTTTTTTGAAAAAAAAAACATTGGAAAATTTTTCTTTTCCTATCATTGATTTTTATACTGTCATTGTTCGCAGAAAATTTAGATATGCTGCTGAAGTTTTAAAAACCTACAATAATTTTTTCGTTTTCAAGAATTTTTACAACAATACGTTGAAAATAACATAATGAGAAAAATTGGAATTTACATCACAAAATACTCGAAGCGAAAGATCTAACATCTTAGCGCCAGACAGGCTTGATGGTCGACTAGCTCTAAGTATGATTATCCTTATATTTTTCGCTACTTCTGTCGGAAAATCGTACCATGGTAGAAAATATGATGTTTGTCCTATTCTTTCACTCTTTTTGATTCATAAAATGACTTATTAAAAAAGTACAATTTAATATACGAAATAAAAAAATTGTATAAAAAAATATACCTCTTGTTTGAGACGATCACCAATGAATGATAATATGAAAACATTTACGAACATTGACGTCACTAAAACAAAGTATGTTACCATGCTGAATGTTTTATGATCTTCCCATTCCTAAAAAATATTTATTCGTTTATTTCTTTCTTCCTCTTCTTCTTTTTTTTTTTTTTTTTTTGATTATATATAATTTTCTGTTATACCACAATCACTCCAAATTCTAAGAAACATATTATGATAGTACAGCCAAGCATTTCCGATAAAAATACAATGCTCAATGATTTTCCAACCAGTGCAGAATATCTAAAATTTATTCGTATATGCAATAAAATTGAGAGAATAAAAATTTAAATTTATAATTATAAAAATCTTATTTTTAAATAAACAATTTAGAATCAATCCCAAAGATTTGATGTCCAAGCGACATAATTCTCCCTCACATATATGACATCACCAGAGCCCATAAAAACAGGATCCTGATGACAGAGGTTTTTATTCAGAAAAAAGGAGAGTTACGTATAGACGTAAAAATAATAAGAATACATATATAAAATTTATATAAAAAATTCAATTACACAAAATAGATAAATAAACCATTGTTAAATAGATAAAAGCAAACATCAAACACGTGTAATATAATATAATCTTACTCGATTGCTTTCAGGTGAGATTGAATAATATCAACGATGCGACCACGCAAATCTCGGTTTTTTAAAATCGTCTCGATCCTTCTGTTGGTGACCTCGAACAGACCGCAGCAATGCATCGTTATAGAAGCGATTAAGCTGTAGATCCCATAATTCAAGGACATTATTAGAAAGCTGGTGAACATTTGCACGACAAAGGTTATCTCGTAAGTTGGCGAGTCTTCGATGACGAAGAAAACATAATCGCTCAAATATGGCAAAGGTATCTGAGTACTGTTATCCGCTTTGACGATTCTCTCTGATATCAAGGGTAAAATAATGTGATAGGGCAAGGCACCTCCGTAACCGAGGAACAGATACACGATTGTGAAGATTCGACCGATTTTCGCAGTATTCATCATTACCAACCGATCTTCTTCGCATTCTACGTCTCTGTACTGTATCTCCATCTCCATCAAGCAAAATCTGATCTCATTTCTGTTAATCAGAATCGTCCAGATCTTGATGATCGCCAAAAGGCTGAAAACCTGGGCGGCTATCACCTTCATATATTTGGTCAGATTTTCGCAATCAAAGTAAGTATAGATCACGTGTGGTAATAAGAGGAAACACATGAGAAAAAAAACGATTGTTATCTGAACGTAAAATTTAACATTATTTGAAAACGTGTTCCTTCTTGGCCAGATTCCGACCATTGTCAATAATATTTTAGCCACCCGTACCGTATACTCAGCGTCCGATCTGTAATGAATGTTACGATAATTCCTTATGTTTCTCGTTTTTACGCTCATATCATCTGATAATAAAGAGTTTTTCCAATCCACGGTAGAAAACTCTTTGAACGATTGAGAACGACTGTAAGAAGCAATGGCGTATGATGGCCATTGGCGCTTGCGTGGAAAGCTGGATCGACGGACAAGTTGTTACCGTCTCATGAAAATTTAATAGAAAAATTTTCGAAAGAAGATTCAAAGATTCGAGCAATTTATTCAATACGATACGAACTGTATTGTTATGAGACGAAATACTTATTGCTACGGAAGTTGTAGTGCACATATTGCGATTTATGTCCATTTTGAGGTAAGATCGTACATTTTTCCGCATGAATAAATCGTGGTTCAAAGTTTTCTCGTATTTTCATCATTTTCTATAATATCCATGCTATTTTTTTTCTTTTTTTGTGTGTAATTTGACCAATTTCTTTCTTACTTTTCTTTTGTGTTTCCTCTTATTGGTTTTCTTTGATAAGTACACGTCACATTTTGAAAAATAAATAAATCACAAAAAGCAAATTGTAATATTGTCATTGACATGTTTATATTTATTGTAATGATAGAATATTACCACAGATGGGACACGTAGTGCACATTTTATTACGTAAAATAGATTATCTACGTAAGGAATTAAAAGCATCATTACAAAGTATCATTTGCGAAAACCATCGACGTTACTATTCGATATGAACTATAAAAGGTACGATTTTTTTTTACATAAAATTATTATATGTTACGATAATACAATATAAAAATAATCTTTGCACTTTATTTCTGCTTGTCCAAATTTCTACATTCTGAATTATTACTTTTTTATTTATGCATATATAAAATATATTAAATATTAATAATTATATATATTATACAATATTAAATAATAGGAAAATTATTACCTATTATGTAATATTTGTATTAACCTATAGTAAAAATATTTTGTGTAAATTATTGTGTGATTAAAAAGTGAGAAATTATCACACGTTACATGTTGTATTTGATATCAGTCTTTTGTGATAAACTGAATACGTTACATAAATGTCACAATGTAACGAACTATGTTAGATATTATATTAAAAACTTAATTGGAATTTTAACGAAACAATTTTTTGAAAAAATATACATTGAAATATTTATAGGATCAATATTTATTAAGAGATTTAAATATTTAAAAGAGCTCAGTTGAAATTTGATAATAATTCAATTGTTCAATATTTATTGTATAACTTTACAGAATTACTAATTATTTTACTAGTTATTTTTCTTTTTTTTTTCGAAAATGAATAAAAGAACTGCAGTATCCAAAAAAGATACGATAAATATGACAAGTTATGTAGATAATTACGTTTCAATAAAATGAAAATAGTGATAAAAATGAAAGAGAGATAAGCAAGACATTTATTACCATTCTCAAAACATTTCCTTATTTTTCTCTACTCAAAGTAATTTTAAACAATTATATTATGTGCATTACATTTATACTTACTCTTAATCATTTCATTCATTTATCAACTTTTTCAAAACCTTTGGAATCCCTTTTGCGTGAATTTTTATACCGTCATTGCACGCAGAAAATTAAAGTAGGCTGCCGAAGTTTTGCAAACCTACAATAATTTTTTCATTTTCAAGAATTTTTACAACAATAAATGAAAAATATAATAATATATATGAGGATTTACATCGCAAAATGCTTGAAGCGAAAGATCCAATATTTTGGCCCCAGACAGACTTGATGGTCGACTGCCTCTAAGTATGATTGTCTTTATATTTTTCGCCACTTTCGTTGGAAAATCGTACCATGGTATGAAATATGATGTTTCTCTTATTCTCTCACTCTTTTCGATATATGAAACGATATTTCGAGAAAAATAAAAATTAACAAATTTATTCGAGACAAGAATAATTGTATGAGAAAATATACCTCTTGTTTAAGACGATCACCAATAAACGATATTATGAATACATTTACGAAAATCGATGTCATTAAAACAAAATACGTGACTGTGCTCAATGTTTTGTGATCTTCTAATTCCTAAAAATATTTTTGATTTTATTGATTCACTTCTTTTCTTTTTTTTTACTTTTTAATTAAATATTATTTTTGTTATACCATAATTACACCAAATTCTAAGAAACATATTATGATGGTGCAGCCAAGCATTTCCGATAAAAATACGATGCTCAGTGATTCTCCAACCCGTGCAGAGTATCTAAAATTGATTTTTCATCACGAAATAAAAACATACAACTATAAAAATCAATAGCCAATCGACAAATAATCTATCAGACGCATAACGTGAAAAAGCAGAGTCCTGGTGATATAAAATTTAAAAAAAAAAACAATAGGAGGATCATGTATAAACATAAAAACGATAAGTATTTATAAAAAATTTTATAAAAAAATTATTACATAAAATTAAACAAATGGCTGAACAAACTATATCTATTAAACTAATAAACATAATGTTATATTTATTTAGTCAAATATTATATACAACATAATATACTTACTCGATTGCTTTCAGGTGAGATTGAACGATGTCAATGACACGATCATGCAAATCCCGATTATCCCACTTGCAAAGCGTCTCGATCTTTCTATTGGTAACCTCGAACAGACCGCAGCAGTGCATCGTTATAGAGGCGATCAAGCTGTAAGTCCCACAATTCGTAGACAAAATAATACTGCTGATGAATATTTGCAATACGAAAGTCATCTCGTAAATCGGCGAGTCCTCGATTACGAAGAAAACGTAATCGCTCAAATAAGGCAATGGTATCTGAGTGGTATTGTCCTCCTTGACGATCCTTTCCGATATCAGGGGCAAAATGATGTGATAGGGCAAAGCGCCTGTATAACTAAGGCTCAAATAAACGATTGTGAAGAATCGGCCGATTTTCGCAGTGTTCATCATTACCAACCGATCCTCTTCGCATTCCACGTCTCTGTATTGTATCTCCATCTCCATCAAGCAAAATCGGATCTCCTCTCTGTTGATTATAATCGTCCAAAATTTAATGATCGCCAAAAGGCTGAAAATCTGTGCGGCAATCACTTTCATGTATTTGGTCAAATTTTCGCAATCGAAGTAAGTGTAAATCACGTGTGGTAGTAAGAGGAAACACATAAGAAAAAAGACAATTCCTATCTGAACGTAAAATTTTACGTTATCTATGAACGTGTTCCTCCTAGGCCAGATTCCGATCAGTGTCAATAATGTCTTGGCGACGTGTACTGTGTATTCTGCGTCCGATTTGTAATGAATGTTACGATAATTCGTGGTGTTTTCCATTTCCTCGCCCATATCGTTCGATAACACGATTTTCTGATTCTCCTGTACACGGTCGAAAATCTGCTCGATAAAAAACTCTTTGAGCGATTGCGAACGACTGTGAAAAGCGAATGGCGTTGGACGGCCATTGGCGCTTGCGTGGAAAGTGGTCAGCAAGCAAGCTGTTATTATCTCGTGAAAACTTAATGGGAAATTTTTTTTCGGAAAAAAAGAAAATTCAAAGATTCGAACAATTTATTACGCGTGAACTATATTATCAGGCATCAAATGAAATACTTATTGGCCGGAAGTGCAGTACAAGCTACGATTTACTGTCCATTTTGAAGCAAGATCGTACACTACCTTGCATAAATAAATCGCGTTTCGAAGTTTGCCCATATTTTGATCATTTTCTTATAGTGTCCGTGCGATTTTGTTGCAACATTTTCTCAACAATTTGATCAATTTATGTTTTTTTATGTTTCTTCTTGCAGGCAGGAAAGTTGTCTGCAGGATAGGGGCAGTAATGCTTTATTTCGACATAAGCTAACGTAACTTATGAGTCATTTTGCCACGAGCAATATTGTAACTTTTATATAACCTTGATAAATAGAAACATAAAATTTCTTGTTAGTTAATCCTCTTGAACTGCAATTTTCAATCGAGCACTGATTCGACGAAGAATGCAATTATCATTGACACTCATCGATAAGACAATTTCTTTTTAACTGTGTTGCGAAAGCACGATAGTCATCAATGATTAGTATTGTCGTAATTCGAGTATTGATTACAGTACCGTTACGGTAGCTGTTAGTTAAAGCTTTACCGGTGCACCATGGAGAGCGACAATCAAAGTAAAAATTTCCAAAATGAGTGACATTTATAGACATTTTATAGTTATTTGGGACATAACGAAAAAATTTAAACGTTTTATGTTTTCAGAATCGGCATGGACGATGGAAAAGGGCACAATGACTATGTTTATAGCCGAGGTGATAGGTACTGGGATTCTCCTGTTCGTTGGTTGTATGGGTTCTATTGGGACGATGGGGCCGATATTACCGCCGCCATTACAAACGTCCATGGCGTTTGGTATGACTGTCAATCTTCTGATTATGGTAAATATATATCAGATTTAAAAAAAAAAAATGACAGATTATGATATTCTCATTATATGTTATCGTAATAATATATCGCAATAGAAAATTTTTATTAACACAGATGTTGGGACACATAAGTGGTGCACATTTAAACCCCGCTGTCACGATAGGAGCGGTTATTCTAGGAATTAAAACTATCCCTACAGGAATCCTTTACGCAATCGCGCAATTCATTGGAGCAACTATTGGATATGGATTATTAATGGTACAAATTTTTAATTCATTATGTTATGCACTTTGTTACTTATCCTTGTAATTGGATATGCGACACTTTTTCGCCTATGAACATATAAAATGCACTAAATAGAAAAATTAAATATTACATTAATTAGTTATTCTTTAATATTTACAATTAAAATATTTTATGTGGTTAGAAAATGAAAAATTATCACTTACGTGTGTTTGACGTCAGAATTTTATGATAAATCGATCACAAATATGTCATTAATATAAATGTGTTAGATATTATATTAAACGTTTAATTGAAATTTTAATGGAACAGACGATAACTCCAGCCGAATTGTTCAACGATGGACGTTCAAACGCGACAATTGGACATTGCGTAACCGTTGTGCATCCTGGAATCAGTATCACGCAGGCTATTATAATCGAGATTCTTTGCACATCCTTTATACTTTGCGCAGCATGCGCCACTTGGGATCCAAGATGCGCCCACACCACAGATTCTACAGCGATCAGATTCGGTTTCTCCGTTGTTGGAGTTTCACTTGCAGCGGTACACAATTTGAATTAAAAATATATAATTGCCTGAAAAATCAGCATAATTAGAAGAAAAGTAGGAAATATGTTTTTTTTTTAGAGTCCTTACACCGGTTGTAGTATGAATCCTGCGCGTACTTTTGGCCCAGCTTTTTGGAACGGGAATTGGACGAATCAATGGGTGAGCTTAATTCTATAAACATAATTTATTTTAGAGATTTATATAAGTCTTTCTAAGTCTTCATATTATATTTCATATAATCTCTATATCTTCAAGCTTAACCTTCATCGAATGTGATAAGAAACAAGTTTCCGTACTTTACGTTTCTCTTATTAACCTTATCGGTTTTGAGATGTTACCTAATAGATTTAAAGAAAAGAGTAGTGTAAATATTTATCTACTGTGATTAGATTACGTAACGATAATGATTTTTTTCTTTTTCTATAAAAATTTTATCCAGATTTACTGGTTTGGGCCGTGTGCTGGAGCCTTTCTTGGAACGTATATTTATGTATATCTTTTTGCGGAGAAGAAAGAGAATGAACAGAATGAACAGAATGAACATGACAATTGTCTCGAATTTATAGAATTAAAAGCAATTAATGATAACACAAATTATAGTGAAAAAAGAAATAAAAAAGAGGAAAATCTCGAAGAAAGTTTAGGATAAATGGAGAAACTGTTTAATGATCGTTAAGGTATGATAATACATTATCGATAGTCAATAATAGTCTTCCATCTCTGTTTCCATGATATTCAAAATAGTTAATGACGCCACCACGGATGTCGCTGCACGCTACAAGATGGCACGCACCTTTGTATCTCATTTATTTCATGTTATATTTTTTTTTTCTTTGTTCTAGAACAAATTTCATATTAATTATACATTCTATCTGATTATATAATATATACTTCTTTATCTAATTATATAAATATGACTTTCATATTATCTATTTCATATAATATATATATAAATATGCATATGAAATAATATACAATGATTTTAATTATTTTATATTTATTAATAATATAAAAATATATAAGGAAATGATATATATTTAAATTATTTTATAAAAATTCTCTATTACTAATTTAAAAATTTATTTGTTTGTAAACAAAAAATATATTTAATTAAAATTAAATTACATTTTTAATTATAATTAAAATCAATTGAAGTTAGATAATTTTCTAGATAATAATAATGTTTATAATAATGAAATATTTTTAGTAAAACAAAAGCAAATTCTATTTAAAACTATTCTATTTTTTCAATAATTTCAGTATTTTCATTGATAATCTATTAAACTAATCTATTAAACGAACTAATCCAAGCAATGTACTTATGATACATATAATTAAAATATAATGATTGTAATAGATATTAGAATATCGCATCACAACTTAAAAATTATTGTAATAATAATAATGTAATAATAATTCGAATTAATAATGACATACTTCATAAAGGTTTTTAGAATTTTATTAATCTAATCATATTGAATTAATTATGATATAATCCAAATTGAATTAATTATGATATATATATATTAAAAAACAAATTCAATTTATTAAAACAGCAATTTTATAAAAATCGAAAAAAAATTATTTTCTCTATTTTTAATTAATTTTTTTTCTTTATTAAACTATTTTTAATCATTTTTTTTAGTAATAGAAATAAAACTTATTCAAATTTGTAAATACATAATCACGTACAATCTTTATGTTTGATAGAAAACTAGATCATTCACTAGATCATAACGTTTGATAAACATAATTTAAAAACGCAGATCTCTAAAAACAAGATTTAGAAATACTACAAACTGTATCAAGCCATATAAAGACGTTGATCCTTAGCTATAGTTATATTGATTTCTAAATATATTCGATGACCTAGTGATTGCATAAACAACATTAAATTCACAATATTCAATCCGCGATGATCCAAATTAAATCAAATTTTATCAAATTATAATGAGTATTTTAAAAATTACAAAATATCTAACTTAACCTAATCTAATTAAATTTTATTTTTTTAATTGAATTTAAATTTTAATTTAAATTTTATTTTTTTAATTGGATTATATATATATATCCCTCTTTATTGTCTGATTAGATTCAGTTCCCATCCAGTCCCATCCAAATTAATTAAAACAAGATAATTACTGTATATTAAATCTGTATGCAGTTATAGAAAGTATTGTTCCGGAATTTTTCATGTGCCTGAGAAAGCAGATTAAAAACGTTAGGAAACACCCGGTCTGCATTTGACTGAATGTATCGACCGACATCCTGTTCTATTCTTGCCTCTTTCAGATTATGTGCACATGTAATACGAACATCTGCGTATTATTTTACATATGTATTCATGTACATATATACCCAGTTTTATAAACCAGTTTCATAGCTTGTCCCTTTCATCTGATCTCTTGTTCCCATAAAGTTAGCTCGAAAAATACACAAAAGATTCTGCAGAATTTATGGGAATGTGACATATCTTGGTTATAATATTTTTTAACCGAAATATAATGCCTAAACAATATATACATGAAAAATCGATAGGTATGTGAAATCTATATTATGTAATAATATATATCCCTTGCATAATAAGAAGAAATGCTATTAGTTTCCTTACATTGATAATGTTAGTATTATATAATATAATAAATGCAATATATAAATGTAATAAAATTATTATGTAATTTTATTTATGCCTAAAATTAGAATTTCCATTTTCAATGTTGGAATATCAATTTATTATTATAAATTTATGTAAATATAAAACTGATCTAATCAAATCAAAATTAATCATTTGTTGTTTTGTATACTTTTGCTTTTTTACAAATATTGTCAATCAAAATGATAAAAATGTTTCATTTGTCCAGAGAATATAAACATCGTACAGTATTCACAAACATGATGATATTGCGTCATATGAATCCATTTTTATAATTACATTTTTGAATTATTCTTTTATCTATATTAAAATAGATTCAATTTTCTACTTTCTAGCAAAAAAAATATTGTAAAAAGTTCACTTGTAGTTTAATATATTGAGCATCGATTCTATTATATCTTGCTCCATCAATGATATTAAGTATCGACACCAACAGATGTCGCAAAACTGTAGGCCCACTTAGGATCGTATACTATATTCTGTTTTAGGGTTCCAATAGAAATACACAATAGAAAAATATATTAATTATATAAATTTCATTTATAAATAAAAAATTACAGATATTGATTGCTATTTTAATTAATTGAAAAACAAGAGAGAAAAATATAAATACTTTTTTAAATATCATTTCAAGATATTTTTTCCTTTATTTTTTATGTTTATATTAATTACGATTTTGCATAAGATTTTAGATCTTTATATTTGTATAATTTCTTTTAACTCGAATTATTATTTTGAATCCCAATTGATATTTAAATTTTATATATGTACATATCATATTATATGCACATAATCATAATCAATGCTTTATCGAGTGTCTCGATTACATTATTTTAATAAATATATTAAAGCAATGAATTTTTTAATTCTTTTTTATATTATTGTCAGAATGAAATTTGTTTCTGTAATTCACAGAATTCATCGAAGAAAAGGATCGAAATAATATCTTTAGCTAAGCATGTTCATCTTATATATATATGTTTTAAATAACAATGTTTTAGAAATAATTTGTAAGTTGTTCATATTCAATTTTGAATTGTTTCTGGATAAATATGTATAGCAAAAAGAAAATGTATGAATTGGGACGTGGTGGGGTTGGGTAAGAGAACGTGCCAGAAATCTCGTCGATCAATACTTTGCTTTTCCTTATTTTTTTCAAAAAACGGAATAAATCGCAATGATAGTACCATTGAACAATAGTTTGTAACATGAAGAATATAATTGTATCGGTTACTGTTATATAAGCAATAGAAAAAGTATTAAAATCATAAATCAAAAGAAAATGCGCATTAAATACCGGGTGCCGGTGCGATTTCTCGAACTTTCAGCACTGCGACGCCACATGCCTATATAAGAGGATCGTTCGGCGTGGCTCAACGCATTTGTAAATCAGTTTCCAGAGCAGTCAGAAGTGGCGTTCAGTGTGCAGTAGTGTGAAAATTTCTTCCTCCACTATGTTTATAATTAATTCATCATCATTTCTTGTAAGTGTTTGTTTTATAATATATTTCAAATTTTGACTTAATCATGTTGTTTTGAAAATGATCTTACTAGCTTAGTCTTCAATATTTTTATTTTTTTTTTTATTTATATTATTTATATAAGATTTACATTCGTTATTTTATATTTCTAAGAATGACATACATATGTTTAATTTACTTTAGTCTCACAGAATCCTTTATCTGGTAGCCATTGCTTTTAAACTTAACCTCAAAAAAAAGCTGTATGATATTTCGGTTCCATATCAAAAATATTTTAACATGATTGTTTTTTTTTTGTGTTATATTATGTTTTTTAGGTCAATTTTTCAATTAAAAAAAAAATTATTATTAAATTATTTGGAGAAGTTTCATATTGAACTTCAATATGTTTCGATTCCTATTACAATATAATCTATTATAATCTATTTCTTCATTGATATTTTATAAGAATAATAATTCAAGTTTACTTAAATTAAAACTTATCATCTTATTTTTTTTCTTTATTATTATTAGTATTTCTGTGAATATTTATGCAAATGTTGATAATCGCTTACTTCCGATCAATTATTTTACTGAAAGTACATTTCCGGTAAAGAAAACAGTATATTTACTGATTTTTGTTTTCAGAAAGCATTCTATATTTTTCTATTTCTGAAATGCTTAATTATATTATCATTTATAAATTATTTTTACTTAAAATTCGTATATTATTACATTTGAATTAATCATAGTTATAAATCATTACATGATTAGAATTAAATAAATATGAAAACTAATCATTATATTCATTTTTAATATATAATCCATATGTTAATTTTTTATATTAAATTGGTATGAACATTTTCTTTTTTTTTATCTTTTGTTTTTATTGATGATTTTATTCTTGCATTTCAGGGCAATAATACCATTATTGCAATATCATCTACGAAATTGAAAATTCTTCATTTCATCAAAGAAGACACATGAATTTTCAAGAATGGAATTATTGAAGAAAGAAAAAAAGAATGGTTCGACGTATTCATAAAGAAATTTTCGTTCAGTTCGGATGCAGCGAATATTCAATTCCACCGACTGATCATATTTCTTCTATTATAGCGATCTACGACAACATGACATGAAAACAGACGAATGGATTGTGAAGTTGGACTATTTACGGTGGGTATTATAGTTTATAAGTTGGTTATTTGGATTTTTTAAATGGATTTTTTCTTTGAGAGTAGATTTTTGGTTTGAGTTTTTGAAAATTTTCTCCACAATATTACTTTTGTTTTACAATAAAAATAGAAATGAAATATATTAACATTAAAATTATCAACTATACTAACTAACATTTAGTAATTGAATTTAATAAAAAGATTTTATAAATAAAGTAAAACAAGAGTAATAAAGTGAATAGTTCTTTGATATTTATGTAATTAAAACAAATTGTGGAATATCTTATATTATTTTCAATATTATAATATTTAACATATTGAAGTGAGAATTTTTACAATTTTTATGAATTATTATAAATATTTTATTTATGATTTTTCGAATTTTAATATTATTTCATGAAACTACTCTATGAAAACATTTTTAAATATAGAAAACTATAGAAAATTTAAATTATAAAATTTGGGGGGTAACGTTATTTTTCTTCCATAATCGTTTCTATTTAACTGTTTTACTCGCTGGTCCTTCTGTTTTCATGATTTTAATGATTCCTTCGGACGCCAGGTTTCTACTTTCTACTAAAAACAAGATATGTAATAAATTTGATCGTAAAAGAGGATTACGGAACAAATGAAACGAGGCTTTTTATATTTGTTTTTATAGTGCACCCTACGGGGTCGGTGCTTGAACGCAACTATAATATGGTCTGATTAGAGTTTGAAATTTCTTCATACATTTTGAACTATTTGAGAAGAGCATCTCGAGATATATTAGGTAAGCGGTTATTGAACCGATGTATTTCTATTGTTCTACAATCTTAACGTTAATATAAGATCAGAAAATTAACATTTAGGGCTCACAGTGTCGCTACTTAATTATTTAATTCAAAATATAATATAAATATAAATATTATATGTTAAAAGTAATATTTTAAATTGGATGTTTATATTTCATATTTCAAAAAATTCTTTTTAAATCAAAATGATCGTAGCGTCACTTTAGCCTTTATCCTAGTTTAGTTACAAATCAGTTACCTAAAATATCGTTTTTTATTTCTTCTATATTAAATAGAATTTAATGTATTTTCACGATGTCTGCTCACTACTGAGAGAATCGTAAAGTACCGATTGTTTAAAATATGTTGATGAGGAACACTCGTTAGTTTTAAATTTTATCTTTATTTTTTAAATTTCCTCTATTTCCTTATTTTATTGTAACTTCTTTAATAAATATTCGATCGAATATTTAACTTATCTTGAATTTATTGAATATATTAATTTATCTTGAATTATCGAAATTGAAATCGATAAATGCAAATTGATATTTCTACGAATGTACCTCATCCACGTGAAAGTCTTTAATTCAACGTGACGTTCTTTTTATAGTTTAGAGCAGACTCGTAGTTAGAGGTCGAGAATAAATTATGGGCACCATCTTGTCTAAACCAATACTCTACTACAAAGGCATACGGAATTTGGGAATTAAGAAAAAAGTACACAGAATCAAATAGAACAGGAAATGAAAAAAAGACGATTTTACGGTTAAAAATATCCAATATAAATAATTAAATATACAATTTCGAGTACGATTGAAGATCTTCCGGTTTTATGATTGGAAACATACGGTAGCCTGTTTTTTCGTCATTTAGAAAAAAAGTTAAATAAAAAAACAAAATTTTATAACGATGAACCATTTTGTTCCGTGGTGTCACGAATCTAAAAATAGATGGATTTTTATGAAACTGGGTAGATATAATAAAATAAAATGAAGATAGTTGAATTACGTGTATTTTCTAAAAAAAAAAAAAAAAAAGCTTCAACTGTACAACGTATTTATTTATCTCTATTTTTTAAATATTATGAATATTTTACAAATCACTTGCACAAAACTATTGCGTTTTGGGACGGACAAATGAAAAAGGCGATTTTTTTCCATGGGTCATGTGGTCGTAGAATATATTTTAAGTTCAGGAACTGCTTCTTGTATCTTTTCGATATCCTGTAGAGTTGTTATGCCTTTCTCCTATTATTAACAAAAAAGACATTCTTATAATATATTATAATATTTTTTATAATATCTTTATGATTATGAGAAATTTTTAATTTTCTTCTAACTATTCATAAAAAATATAAAGTTTGTTTATTATTATTCTTGCAACATAATCAAATTTATTAGATTTTGATGATTAGTGAATGAAGTAAGAAAAAAATATAAAACAATTCAAGAACCAAGAATAAAATTCAAGAAATGAGTGCACAATTGAGTTAAATACGAAGAAAAATCTTTTGTAACAAATATGTGGTTGCATAGTTTTTAACTTACATAAGTTAACTGTTCAAAAAAAAAAATTTATTATTCTTAGAATATATCTGAATTCAATAGTTCACAAAGATTAGCAAAAGAAGTAAGAAGAATCCAAGAATCAAGATAAAAATTCAAGAAGTGAGTGTAAAAATTAAATTTTATTAAATGAAGTGTGAAATATTCGTGATTAGAATGTTTTTCATGTAATTCTTAGTAAAAAATAATCAATTTCATTCTAGAAATATTATTAAATTTAATAAATTGAAGAAAATACGAAGAATATAAAATGTTTCAAGAAATTAAAGTAAAATTCAATCACATCCAAAGAAGAAATTTTTATAATAAATATTTCATGGTTACAACTTTATGTAACTTTTTAAATTGTTAATATAAAAATAATCCGCTTTTTTTTTTTAAATATAATTGAATTTAGAAGTTTTTGAAGATTAGTGAAAGAAGAAAGAAGACTACAAGACAATTTATAATGCGTGAGTAAAATTCGTTTGTACAGAAAGAAAATTCTTTTATAGTGAATATTTGTGGTGATTATGGTAATATTTTTTAATTATTTTAATTATTGATAAAAAAAATAGTGTTTTATTCTCAGAATATAACTAAATTTAATAAATTTTAGAAGTAAAAAATGGAGAGAATAATTAAAAAAATAGAAATAAAATTCAAGATTTAATTCATTACTTACGTTATATTCTTTCCATTTATCATAATTTTGTCTCATAAATCCCACTATCTCCGGCATATTGATGAATACTGTAAATAAAATTATGTGTTCATGATAACAATACATATGTTTATAAACATTCAAGATATAAGAATTACTGACCATCCCATGCCTCGACCATGTCGTTGATAATGAAATCGATAAAACCGATTTGCGCTCTTGGTATCGAGCATGTTATTCTATCGAACATTGGCATCATTACTGGAAGATGCAATTGTTTTTCTTCGTCAGTCTGAAATAAATTATCAAATGCATCAAAATAATTTAAACTCTATCTCATCCTGAAGTATATGTGAATAATTTTCTAAATATGTAAACTCACAGTAATCTAGTAACCAGATGAAAGAAAGAATAATTGTTAATTAAAAAGAAATCTAAAAAGAAAAAGAAGAAACGTATGTGTTACGTACTTGACTAAAATACTCTTCTGCAATTCGTCTGGCCCATTCGACGCAATATTTCAACGGTCGAGTAGGATTCGACACGTCCGCACACTTGATTATCATTCTCTTCACCAATATTATATTCTCTGGCAGTATCGCAGTTGATACATCTAAATCCTGAGTACCCTGTACTCAGATTTTTAGAGAGAACGTTTATAAGGAGATAATTCGAGTAGAGATAATTTTGTAATAGATTTATTTAAAAAAAAAAAAAACTTCGTGAATTTGAAAATTATTTAATAATAAATATAGGAAAAAATATAAAAATAATCATTACTTCGATATATATCTCTGGAATTCTTGTGGTGAAGGCATTCATAAATTTCGCAAGATGTTCAAAATGTTTCGTCATCTCGGTGGCTAGAATCATGTCTATTACACTTTGGCGAAGCTGTTTATAAGTATCTCTTTCCAGATTCTATAAAATTTTATATAAATTATTTTATTTTATTTTATTCTTTTCATAATTTATAAAGATTAATTCATGATTTATGATAAAAACTTTTCAAACTCACTTTAAATATATTCACATTATCGTCTGATAGCGATAATTTAAATGTTAATGCTGCATGATGTGATTCAAGAACGGTCAAATCGTTGTAGAGGATCGCTAGTTTGTTATCAGAATTGCATAGAAATTGACTGAAATCGATTAAAATAATTATTTGATATTAAAAATTCTAAAGAATATAAATATGATATAGAATATCTAAATTCTGGATAATTGTGAATAATTATTCTAGTATTGATCAGTCAGTCGAATTAATTGGATTTACCTCGATCTACCAGGATGATCAATATCGTGAGCAGCAGCTGCAATCAAAGCTGCGACTTCGTCTAAAGGTTCCAAAACCTGTTTCAGCCTTTCCGTTTGCATGAATATAGCAGTAGCTTGCAATACGTCTGCAGCATGTGTTGAATTATGATAACGATTCGTACTGTCATAATTAGCTTCTATTACAATTAACCAATTTTGTACAATTTTTTCCTCACAACCAAGTCTAGCTGGGACGCGAAACAGATTCATGATAGTCATTCCCAAAAATAATAGCGCTCTAAAACGAGAGAGATCGATCAATTATGCGTTTAACATTTATCGTTAATTCATCAAGAAAAAGAAAGAAAATAACAAGTTATATATAAATTTTTCTTTAGAATCGAATACCTTTTTTCCGTTAATATTTCTAATTTGAATATATCGAAATCCCATTCCAAACACTTCTGTAGAATTTCTGCAATTTCTTGAGGACCCCTGTAACCTTTGATCTGCATACGCGTGGAGGCAGCTAATGTTTTCGAAGGAGTTTCTCGAATTGATTCTATCGATGGTTTCTTAATATCCCATGATTTTTTTGGCTATATCGAATAACGTTAAAAATAAAATCGAAATCATAGATGAATTGGTAATTAGAACATTGTAAAGAGAGAATTTTTCTTTTCAACATTACTGTAATTAAGGCCTCGATGAATTCGGCCGCTGGATCACCTTGTTCTTTAAAAACTGGTGAATAAAGTTCGGTAGTTTTGAGAATATCAATCGCCTGCATTGTAATTAATTGATTCATATTAAAAACGAAATATATATGTGGAAATAGAATTGGTGAAAAGAAATGGACGACATAATTGATGCGATACCTTCTCGATTTGTTCTTTCGTCTCGGACGATGTATCTTCTTTAATCGAGGCCGTAAGGAGGCCGATCACTTTTGTAATGGGTGCTTCTAATTGCAAAGTTTGTAAATCACGTTTACTGAGCCGTCTGCGAACTGCAAATTAATTTTATAATTATTAGAATATGATGAAATTGAAATTTTAATTTATCATTTCGATGGTAAATAAAATAGAAAATAATAAGAAAAATTTATATCTGTGATGCAGATGTCCTATTTTCTTTATCGTATTATCGAATATAAACACTATTAAGGTGACGAGTTAATAAAAAAATTGCAAGTGTTTGTAGTTTTCAGATAACCTAATTTCTAGCCTCGAGTAGTTTATCGAAAGAAAAAATAAAATACGATTAGTACGAATGAATTGAAATATTACCTTCTTGAATTCCTTTGAAATCGATTTCAGATATTCTTTTTTGAGTTATAACCACAGTTTTTGGATGAGTGGGCTGAAGCAGGGGCTGAATATTTTCTGACAAATATGTTGTATCGAATATGAAAATATAATGAGTCGGTTTTCTGAAAGAAAATGTTCGAAAACACGGGAAGACAACGAGTAAAAAAAAGACAAAAGTATATTTTTTTTCCTTTTTTTTTTAAACATATAATACATATAAAAAACAGATAAATTTGATTTGACTCACTTGAAATAGGCGAAAGGTATCACCCTGCAATTAATTGTTATCATTTGATTGTTTCTTCGAATACAGTTTAAATTCCCATCATATTCTCGGCCTTTGATTATATGTTGCTCCATTTGAATAAAATTATCATACAAAATTAAATCTGTAATGTTTTTGCCCCAAAGTTCATTAATCCTGTAGCCTAATAATTTTTCACTAATTTTATTAGCAAACTGTAAAAGTAAAAAGAAATAAGAGATACGTTAATTATTTATCCGCAATACTTGCAATAGTAATGAGCAACATTTACCTGTATAATATATTTATCGTTCGTCACATGTATCATGTCACGACATCTGTCAAGAGCGATATACAGCATGTTGGCAGCAACCAGTTGTGTCCTCGGTAATATTCCGCTAGTATAAATTCCTACTAATTCGTTTATTAAGATTCTTTCGTGAGCGCATTCCATTAAAGTCTGAAAATAAGCCCAAGATAAATATATATGAAAATCAAATTTCATCGGAATCTTCCAACGATATTTTAAAAAACTTACTTTGGTGTATCCTATTTCCATTAAATCCAATGTTACGATTTTTTCACTTTCGCTATGCATGAGATACCTTTTACATAAACATATAATTTATAAAATAAACTCGAAGATCGATTGAAAAGAAAGAAGAGTAGTATAAAAGATATTAGATTCAAACTTACGATTTTTTTACAAGAGCTATAATTATGGAATTATAATATAAAGGACTAGCCCTGATTGCTCTGAAACGAATATATTCGATTCTTAACATTTTTACTTTCAACATTAATATGATTAACATTTTTTTTTTTTCTTTTTTAATAATTTTCCATACCTACAAATAATGTCAGCTTCCGCAGCGCGTTGCCCTCGATGATCGATGATCACTAACTCGTGGCCTCGAGCCTGGAAGAATTCGAGTGCTTTTTCCGCGTCTTTTGCAACTGACACGCTCCATCCCAAACGCCTCGAAGTAGTAGCAAGGATATCCATTTGTTGATCATCTTTGGGGAAGACCAGTAATATCTGAATATAATACAATTGCAAATCGATAAGATATTTTTATTCTATATAATAATTCGTGTTGAATCGCATTGATAGATCGTGTACGTAACTTACTTTTATGAGACTAGGAATACTGTTCGTTAACGGATGGGGTTCAGTATCATGGGATCCTATCTGAAATCAAATGGCACGTAAATTTTCAAATATTGAGAAAATCTAATCTTCTCGAACGTGAATATTATTTTCTTTGATCTAAATTTTTTTCTTTCCCATTATTTTTTTTTTCCTTCCTTCCCTTCCCCCCTTTTTTAACAATATTGCTAATTCAATTTTGCACGTACTACTGTCTCGCTCTCACGTTCAAAACGTGACAATGGCTTGTGAAATTCAGCGAATTCTCGCTGAACTTTAGCCCGCCGACGTGCACGGGCCGATTCTTTTAAATTTTTTTGTATATTCCCATCTTGATATTTGCTTTGCATTCGTATTTGACTAAATGTCGCTTGATTTTATACGGCGTGGAATTATTGTATAACCTATACATGTTAGGATCACGGCAAAGAGAGAAACGAATCTGAAGTTGAGGCGTAACAGCGAAATAAGATGAATTTATTTCTCTTTTAATAACGAGTACGTTATTTCAATCTCGATAACATTTTCGATTAAGACGATAATTTTCTAAATTCAGCTTAGAAGAATATCATGACTTTTGTTTCTTTCTTTCTTTCTTTCTTTTTTTTCTTTCTTATTATTATTATTATATATTTTTTTTTTTTTCGAAACAAGATTATCCAATTATTCGTTGGATATACATCACTATCGTGCCTTTTATTCTGAGCGCATGAAACGTTCCAAGTACAGAGGTACAGTTTGATCAAGAGATTCTTGAAATGAATCTCGAGAATCATCTTCAAGATCTCTTGTGAACGTGTATCTTGAACAAAGGGATATGCTTGCGCAATGATGAAACACGAAGAAACTTTGTGGAGAGGGAAACTTTTTCGTAATCATCATTAAAAAAAAAAAAAAAAAAAGAAGGAAGAAAAAATATCATAAATTTGAAATTAAATGGAAAGATCAATTGCAAATATTTCTCTTTGTAAATATTGTATACACATCTATTGTAATCACAATAAAAATTGTTGTTGTACGATTGTATCATTTACTGTCACGAAAAAAAAAGAAGACGATAAAACCGATAAAAACAATCTATAACTAATCTATAATCAGTTTAATGCAATTTATTTATTCATTCTACGATACAAAACACGATATAAAAACAAAGACTAATACGAGGCGAGCAGCACTTCATCTACAATGATCTTCTTTCGAATTCTGAATAAATCGACTGCAGCGAAACGAAATTCTCAGTAAGTGCAACATCCATATAATAATATTTCTTTTAATTTCACGTTTCATTTATCTTCACGAGAGATGGGAGAGATTAATTAAATCGATAAAACGTTTTTTTATCATTTAAAATTTTTTTCCAGGACGAGTAAAAAAAAAAAGAAAAAAGTTATTATTTTTTTAACGAAAAAACAAAGATATGTTGTAATATAAATATCGAAATTTACGAATGGATAAACAAATTTACAAATGAATAATAAATTTCACAATATCGATATTGCGATCGATTCTATATATATTCTATATATAAATGGATTTTTATCGATTTGAAATGATAGCGGATCGTACTAAGACGAAAGAAACTTTCAATTACGTTTCACACAATTTTTCTGGTACCTGTGTCACCGACACAAGCGACGGAGGTATCTCGTTTACGTGTATCCTGTTAGTCTTCCATTTCCTTCGAAACGGTTTACACAATATGTTGGAGATCCAACTGTACCACGATATAGATTCCTCCTTCTCTTCGATCGATATATAGATCGGTTTCTGCGTCGATCTCCTCTTAATCGCTTCCTCCTCTTGGTTATCCATTATTATTATTATTATTATTATTATTATTATTATTACGAAGATAACAGAAAATTAAAATTAATTGACACAAACGATGATGGACGAGGCACTAATAGATCGATTCGATCAATACGTGTACTCGGTGAACGATGATCAAACATAATTAATAGTACGCATGAATCGATTCGTTAGATATTTTTCAAAGAAAAAGTGATTAAAAATTGTGTTCCATCGTTCCTCCTCGATTCGTTCTTCATTGTTCATTAATTTGGATTGAACTTGAAACGATGAAAGAAATGATGCAATTTAACGAGATTGATAAGTTTACGGAAAAACGTTCATCGCGATACTGAATCTATATTATCATAGTTGGAAGATTATTCCTCTTTACTATCTATTAGAAGCAAAACTTGTCGACGATAAGAAATTTCTTTCAACAAGAGATCATCTCCGTCAGATTATCAATAGAATTAGATAATAACTTACTCGTTACAAGGCGATTAATTATAAATAAGCGATATCGTTTTTTTTTTTTTCTGTTTATCGAATTATTGAAAAATACTTCAATGATATCATTGTAATTTTTCACGATAACATTATTGATCTATAAAAATTTTATGTCATTTTAGAGAAAGAAATGCAAGGGAAAAAAAAATGCCATTTTTAAATTTATCGAAATATTATCGATCGATTCGAAAAATTTTGAAGAAAGAAGTAGACAGATACAACGAACACTCTCCCCTCGTTGAATTGAATTTCCATGATGAATAGTGTATGCTCCCAAAGTACAAGAAAAAAAGTCTCTATTGAAAGATTACCCTTCGTTGGTTCGTGATAAAAAAAAAAAAAACAGATTTCGATTCGATAGAATGTAAATAACAAACTTCTCAGACAAGAGAAATATTAAACGAGAAACTTTCCCTCGGTGAATCGAACCTTTCATTAATTCGCACGATAAACTGAACTATATATCACGGGATAAAACTTTGCAGAAATCTATTTTTAAAAAGCGGTCACTTCAACTGTTCAATCATTACGTTTAAATCCTGACGAATCGGATATCGATTTACGGCAAAAGAAAATAAAAGGTATGATATAAAACGCTAAAAAGCTAATTTCCATTTTTACAGAATAATTTTAATAAAAATATTCGCGCAAAATTTCACGAAAAATATAATATTAATTTTACCAGGAAACAAGCGAGAAGTACGAACTTCTCCAAATTTTTCCACAAATTGTGCAAGATACGAGTTCTTCCTCCTACTCTTAGATTCGCTCGTTCCAGGCTTTTCCGGCTGCGCTATTCATGTCTATAGACCGTCTATAGACAACAGCTTATACCCTGTCTATCGGTCGATCTGTTTGATCAAACAAGAGAAGTTCGAACCTGGCATAAGAGAAGGATGAGAAGAAGGCGAGAGAGAAAGGGAAAGAGAGAGAGAGAGAGAGAGTGAAACAGAATGGCGTTTAATAATTTGTCACGAGTGGAGAATCGGTAGCCTGTTCAAATATTTAGGACAGGTTTAGATAGCAGTGTCGTGATGATACTTTAGTCAAGCCCCTTTTGAAAATTCCATGAAAACATTTGATGCAAGTTTGATGAGATCATTCGACACACTGCGAACAAGCCACGTGTTCGAGCTTCAAAGAGGGGGAAAAAAATAGTATGCAATTACTTCACCACAATTACTTGGAAAGGGTTAATTATCGGTGATCGAACGAATCAGCTCGTGAGAAAGAAAAAGACTGACGTCCTCGAATCGATTCCTTCAATTTCGCTTCTTTCCCTCCCCCTCTTTTTGTTTCATCGAACAGACCTTTGAACTAGTTTTCCCTTCCTATTTCCTGCTCTTCGAGATCGATAAAGCTAAAACTTTTTGGAGAATATTGGAGAAATATGGGAATATGGAGCACTAAGATAAGATTGATGTTGATTAATAATGGAAGAAAAATTTTGGAAGAATTGAAATAGTATAAAAATAGGAATTAAAAAGTATTGAATTTGATTATAAAATGTTATCGTTCAATAATTGAATTGATTAATAGTTTTTTTTTTTTTTTAATTAGATTAGATAAATCGGAGAACAAAAAAAGATCGTAACGTTACAAAAAAATAGAGGTCAGAATATATTTATCCGAAGTAATTAAATGATTTAGAGTGATATATTAATAAAAGCGAGCAGAAAAAGAGAAGGAGGACACTGATGGAAGGTTTAGAGTCCAAGAATAGCAATCGATCAGAGACATCGTTAAGATACATTTAAAGTAGCTTAAAATAGTATCAAAACGAATAAATAAAAAGAAGTCGTTAAAGAAATGAACATAAATTGATTGATTATAAAAGAAAAAAATAAATTAACGAAATAAATTAAATATATAAAAATAAAATACATATAATTTAAACAATAGAATAGCAAGCAACATCTGAATTTAATATTAATTAATCGTTTAATCAAGATTTGTATTGAATTTGGATTAAATTTAATTTCATTGGTTATATGCATTTTGAAAATTCATAACATGTAACAAGAAGTAGCGATGAATTACATCTATTCAATTGCCTCTTATATTGTTCTTATGAAAAATTCAAAAGTGGTACATTGTTTGTCAATTTTTATCTTTGATTGAAATCACGAGAAATCAATATATCGCGATACGGCGAGGTACTTTTAAATGTCATTTGTCGTTTTACAACGTTGTACCGATTACCGATAGTCCATCCAATAATTATAGTTTGCTTTCGCATCAAGAACTTTGTTATTCTTAACATTAACGAGGTTGCAAACATAGTTAGGAAAATATATTTAACGACCTCTTTTTTTTTTTTTTTTTTTAAATGAAAAGATTATCCATATTCTCTCGATATAGATATAAAACAGAAATTTACTTACCAAAGTTGAATAATCTGCATTATTTTCATCGTCAACATCCTCGAACGACGATTTTCTCCTCAAAATATCGTACTCTGTCTTTTCTGGAAAAAATAAATACACACAATTAGACGATGATACGTTATTTAAAAAGAAAAAAAAAATTTCAAAGATAAAAAAATTAATATCGAACAGTATTTATGCAATACTATTTATATAATGTGTCGTTCTATTGCAATAAAACGAGACTTTCTTGAATCGATTGCAGCAATTAATCGATATCTTTGCAATAGCGGAAATCGTTTAACAATCGGATTAATTGAATGAATCGCCACTAAATCGGTTCTGAGTCAATAAATGAACTGACAATTGAGGCTGACAATTGGAAAAATAATAAATTGAAAAACAAATTAATTATTCATCTTTTGATCTTTGATATCGAATTGATTGAATTCATTGGACCAATTTCTTAAATAAGTCATCTGTAAAAAAAAAAACATTTTTAATCTCTCAATTAACTCTTCGTGTAATGCTTTTAAACGTGTTATTGATAATTGAATTAAAAGTTTTCGACGATAATTTTTTTTTTTTTTTTTTGATAATGTTTAATTGAAATGGATAATTAAGAAAGAACTCGAACGAAAAAAACTTTATAAAAAGAAATCGAAAGAGGATGTGTGAACGAGGTCGATCCTTATCTTTCACCTTTTACGGCAGGATCATTCAATGTTTATCCGTTCGATTCGAATGGATCAGAATTTAAAGATAATTGATCGAAAGTAGGACGCCTTAATTGGATAACCTGAGAGTTAATAGTAGTACGAAACAAGCGTTAAATAGTTTAAATCAAAGCCAAGAAATATTTTATAGAGAATTGTAAATTTTTCGAGCAACGATACAAATTTTATTAATCCTTAAATCGATCTCCAATTTTCTCTTCTCTTGTTGATTTTTAAAGAAAAATGAAACGCGCATTATTAAAAAATATTTGCGAAAAATAAAAAAGATGGAGAAAACAATTTTTTTTTCTCAAATCAGAAGAATAAATATTGTGACTTCTTGGTTTGTCTTCAAAATTTTATGACAATATTTCAACTATATCTTATTAAATTTTATTAATTATAAAAGGATCATAAAATCGTTACAGAATTTTTTTTTCAAGAGAAATTGAAATATTAACACGATTACATACCATTGTCAAATATTGTGTCCAAAATATTTTGTCCCTCATTTGGAAAATAATAATTGTTCGAAGGAGATGCCATGTGAATTTATAAGCAGATGAGATCATAAAATGTTGTATCGCGATACGATTTATTAAAATGTATACAAAAGTTTAAATCAATAATTGGAAATTACAAATCAAAGATCGATACATATTTTAAAAAAACCAATCTAATACACGAATAACAATATTAGTGCAAAATTATTCTATCGAAAATATGAATTTTTTTTCAAAAGAATATAAGCTTTGATTACATTGCAATCTCAATCTTACATCATATTGATAGAGATTCGTATCAGCTGTTTGTCGGTTGAATCATATTCAACTAGATAAGTCTAAAAAGAATTTAATCCAAAAATAAAAAAAAAAAAAGAAAAAAGAAAAACAAGTCTGAAAAATTTAAAAATCAATACACTCCACTAAATTTTCCTTTTGATCTCCAATATCTTCCATTTCTACTTGATCTATCTACTTATCTATTACTCACGATGCACTCGGAAAAAAAAAAAAAATGAAATAGAAAAATATTCTTAAAGATCGACAATAAGAATTTTATTCCGTTTCAAATGTTTTACACGATTATAAAAGTCCAGAAAATAAAAATTGATAGATCAATAGACAGTTAATTTGAATTGCGATGTGTTGTAAGCGACTCAGAGACAACGACTGGTCGACAAAACCAAATTGTCCAGGTTAAAATTCTACGCGTGAGTGAGTGGCCTCAGGAACGAGATAGGATCGTTGGAGAAACTCGTGATACAATGATCATGTTCGTTAAACGGGAGCACGTTCAAGGGAACACGAATAAAATGAAAAAAAATTTTAAAAGAAAAATAAAATTTTCTTGCAATTAGAGACGCCTCGCAAAGCAAAAGTGCTTCGAGTTATGGCTGATATATTCGTAATGAAAATTTTTTTGTCACTCCATAGACAGCTTTGAAAGTATCAGTTTGATGCGAGGCAAAGAATTATACATTGGTGCTAATAATATTTTCCTTTGGCTGTTTAAAATATTTGCTTGATATATATATATACATATATATGTATATACATGTGCCTGTTGTTTCATTTTCTCAAATTTGAATGTCGATTGGCTGAAGAATTTAGATTACTAAATGGATCGAAATGAAATTATCATTGAGATTAGTTTTCTTCTGATAATTGTACGTTAAAGCGTGTAGTTTTTTTTTTTAGCGCTTGTAGAATAATTAAATGGAAGCATACTAAGTTTGAGTAAATGTGATTTCGAAGATGTGTTCGCTGGTTTTGGTATGTATAGAAATGAAGATGATGTTTATTCTTTTGATGAATTTGTACAATCTCTAGAAGAAAGTCTACTATGATTTGAGAAAAATTACCGAAGGATTTTATAATTATTAAAAATTAGCTTGAAGAAGAAGAAAAGAAAAAAAACATTAGAAATTTTTCTTTGAACAGGATATATTTTGAATTTTGCACAAATTGAATAGAATTTCAGAATACTCGATGAAACTATATTGCAAACCAAAATGACATGCAAAGAGATATTTCGATTTCACGAATAATTGAAAAGAATATATTCAAACATAGTCGAGACTGAATCTAGCATACGAGTTTAAAGTTGCAATAGCTATTATCCGAACAAAATATCATCTCATTGCTTTCTAAAATGAACAAAGGCATTGCGATTAATTCTATCTGAATTCTGCTTTGGTTACGAACGTATTAAACTGCACTTTGGATAAAAAGGTATCTATCTATATAAAAAGATAAAAATGCTGTATGAAGTTTTAATAACTTATTTGTACGGATTAACTTTCAGATCAAAAAAGTAAAAGTAAATATCTCCCGTAAGATTATGTTATCAGTTTCGAGCAATTTACGTATCGTGTACAATATTTTTCCATATTCGAATCTATTCGCATTTAATATGTATATATAACTGGCCATGGTGTTAAATGTAATGTGTCTTTAAATATGATGCCTTACACTTGATATTACCATTTGACTGATTTCTCTTTTTTGAAAAACGCTAGAACGAAGATCTCGCAAATTTCTAATAGTGAGCTTTGATATCTTTGATTTTTTTTTTTTCTCTTGTTAATTGAGTTTCAATAATACGAGTACAATGATGAATAACATACGTAGTTAATTTTGCTTGCACGCTCGCAAAAAGAAACTCTGTATGGAATTGCCATTCGGCATTATCTGTGTCTGATTTGCATTCGTAACCACGTATCCAAATATGTGTGACTCTTTATCAAAGAATCAATATAGCGTTTCGACATTATACCTCTGTGCCATCGAGCTTCTTGCTTACAAAAAAAAAAAACAATTAAACAACTTATTCTGCTTGTGAGTTACATTAAAAAAGAAATTTTAACGGGAGACATGAATATATTGAAGATTAAAGATTAATTGAAGATTAAAGATTAATTGAAATTTGAATATTGATAAGAAGAGTAAACTTCTGAAGAGTAAAATTCCAATCAATAGAAATGAATTCAAATATTATTAGGAATTTTGTCAATGAGTTTTACCATCTATAGTTATACCATTTATATTTAAAAAGCATTAAAATATCATTATCAGTGGACTGTGTAGATTTGTAACTTAATTGAAACTTATTAACAAATCTTGTTAAAAAGAATAAAAAGCAGAATTTTAGTATACATAAATCTGAATGAAAAAATTTTATTAGATGATAGTACGAATTAACCAATTTAAATAATATAAAATATAATAATGCAAAAAAGTTATTACATTTCGTTTTCAATATTACATCATACAAAAAGTAAGATAGCACAATATTCAAAGAATGTCAAAATTCAATTTATACAATATAATACAAATTTTATAAAAAATTTTCAAATTTATTAAAATAGTGTTCCCTTGTCAAGTGCTGAATTCGAAATTAAAAATGTTCGCTCGAATGAAATCCATTCATTTTACTTCTCCTTAGAAAAAATTACAATCCAGTCGATCGACATATCAAATCTACCTTAATTAAAAAAGCTTCTATAAAAAATAGTGAAAATAAATCAGAATATAAATATCTCTCTCTAAAAACGCTCCTTTCACAAATTGTCGATTATAACTTTGATCTTTAGAATCGCCAAGAATATTCTACGAATTTAATAACCAAATCAATTTTATTTCTTGTTTCTATCTATTTTGTGCTCCTCTACCATTCAGTTATTATTAATTCATCTCAGTAAAATTAAGTTATAAAAGATTTTCTAAAAAATTAATAAAATCAAAAAACAAGAATTTCTATCCTAACAAACAGTTCTTTTTTGAACATGCATATGTATACATCAATTCAAATTAGATAGCAAAATTATATTATGAAATATCCCACAAAAAATTAAATCAAAAGATAAAAACTTTTACATACAAATATGCATTTTTAATCTATAATATAATTTTTTTCTATAATTTTTTTAAATCTATAATTTAAATCAATTCAATTTTTGTTCGTCCATTTTGTGAAAAAATCCCTTTCTTAAAAAATTAAAAAGACGAAAATTTGTTTCTATTTACACATTTCTCTATACTTCGATCAAATCAATTTCCTGTGCATCATTAATTTATCTTTCTTTTGACAATTACAATTCTGATTGAAACGTGATCTAATTGGGTTCGAGTTCGACGATCGACTTCATCATCGACGTAAGAAAGATTTCTGGTTGCAAATGATATACGAAATTAAATTTTATCGAAATTCAATAGAAACCGTAAACCGAAACAAACCTTAAAGCTCTAATTAATTCATGTCTCAAATGCTGAATAGCGTGGCTATAAGACTAGGTCAAGGCGAATCACTCATGTTCCTCTTTCGAGTCATTCTTTCGCAAAACGCAACTTTTCTCGATTGATTGTTAATATTTTCGATCGTTCGTGCCTTAAAATCGAATCGAGTTCATTTAACGTCTCGCAATCGTCGGATTGATTATCTTGATATCAATAATGAATTCGAATAAATATAAGTAGGATTATAATTTCTTTTTATCTTTCTTTCTTTCTTTTTTTTTCTTGAAGTATTTTGAAGATTTAAGATCAGATGACGCATGAATGTGAGATAAACATATGAATTAACATAGGATAAAATAGAAAATTCGATTAGAATAATTGTTAACAGAATATTAGATTACGAGATAAAAATATTGATTATATGGAATAAAATAGAGTATTCAATTAATAATAAGAAATTAGTTATAGATATACAGAGATTTTTGCCTGTTCTTTAATACATTAGTTCTCGATTTCACAACTGTCGGGGCCCTCTCGTACGATACTGTTAATAAAACTAATGTTATTAGTGAAATTTTAGAATCACAAGTTGCCTAATTTTTTCCCCTTCTTTCTTTTAACTTCGTATTGAATGCATAATAATAGTGGTAGAATGAGAATATGGAAATTAAATCTTTTTCTTTTTCTTTTTTTTATAGAACATCTTGTCTTCTAACTTTCTCTTTAAATTTCCTCCTTAAAATTTTTTTTAATCCTGTCTATTTTTTTACAGAAAAACGAAACGTTTAAAATAATTAATAATTAACAATAACAAAATTATAAAAATGAATGTTATAAATAAATATTGATAATTACAATTCTGATTGTTCTTCTTCGATTATAATTATAATGACATTGTAGAAGAGAATTTATTTAACTCTTTATTTAACTCTAACTTTTACTAATATTATTAGTTGATAAATTATTGTGCAAGAGGGCCCAGGGGTGAAAAGTAGGATAAAATATCAATTTTAGTATCAATTTTTTCCCTTTTTTATTCCTTATCACTATATAAGTTAATTCCATTTTCCAGTCGAACTTGGCCTATGTAATCTCATCGAGATTATTGTGAGATCATTGTTAAGTGGTTCGATCTGGTATCACGTAGGTTAATCGTACTAACAATTTACTGGAATTGATTATTATCGAGAAAAGTATAAAAATGGAGTATTAGTGTGATCGATTTGCGTTTTTGTAAGACTGAGAGAGAAAGAAATATTTCGAATTTCGAGTTTTTGAGAGAGGAGTGACAGATGCAAGAAGTAGATTATATTCAAAAAATAGAAAAATAAAATTGCAACTTTGATCCCTGCGCATTTAGATTATAATTATCATATTAAATAAATTAGAAATAGTATAAATAATAAGAATTAGAAATAGTATAATGTATTCAAAAACTAAAGATAGAAAGTCATTTATAAGAAAACAACGAATTTATTGAATAGATATAAATAAGAGCAAAAAAAAAAAAAAACAAAGAAATTTTGCTTAAAAATTTAAAGTATCGATAAGTTAAAATAGAAAATATTTATTATATTATTATATATATATATTATATATATATATTATTCATAAGAAAATATTAAACATGCTCAAAAAAATAAGTGGCCTATTTAAGTACTTAAGAAAGATAAACACAAAACTTTACAATATGAAACTGTACAAATTAAAATTCCATAAAGTTAAAGAAGAGAGATTACCAAATAGAAATCCTTGCTCCATCATATCCGATTCTTTTCTCTTTTTCTCCCCTGTATCCTCTACGTATTCCAAAACACTACTCTTGCAACCCATTCTCGAAGCAGCTTCTCACTTCGATACGCAATCCTTTCCCCTTGAACATATCGTCCAAACTTCATCAACTGGATTCTAAAAAAAATAAAAGATGAATGAGAGAGATGAAAAATAATTCCTGTTATATATATATATATATCTATTATCGTCGTTGAACTTTCTCAATTTTTTTTTAAAACAAACAAAAAAATAAATAATTATTCAAATTAAATTATCCAAAGGAATAATATTTATGAAAAATGCCACGAGATTATTTTGCAAATGCGACGCGATGCATCGAGATAACGATTTGTGACGATGGGAAATGTGATTGTGAGCACGCATAATTGATTCGACAACGAGAATTTCGGCTTGTTATAAGATATGTAAAGAGGTTGAAAGGCTGTCTGCAATGTTGTGGAACGATGCATAAACTCGATATTGCAGGAAGTAGAGAGAGAGAGAGAGAGGGAATGGAGAATGATTAAGGCAAGAGATAATGAATATTCGTGTGATGTTTTACGTTGTCATTGAAAATTAAATTTGTAAATTTTTTAAACGAGGCTTACCATTGAGATATGTACAAGATGAATGTTTTGCATACATGTATCTTGAAGAGTGCATGATCATTGGAAAGATTCTTGCATGGATCGAGCACTTGAAAAATTGTTTAACACTGTCCGACACTGATTACACTGAACATATTGGATACACAAGTTTTTTCTTGATTTTAAAATTCTTTCCAAAATTAATGTCATTAAGTTTTTTATCAGTTGTTGAAAATTGTGATCATCAGTTTCTCTAAGGTGTGTTCAGTTTCTCTAAGATGTTTCTCAGTTCCTCTATGATGGCTTTCCTCTCTCTATGATAAGAAGAAAAATTAGTAGATATAGAGCTTAATAGATTTTTAGAAGATTGCTATAGATTTTTTTAATATAATTATTCAAAATATATAATTTAAAAAGGAGAAAAAAAAAATTAAAAATTAAGCAGTTAGTAAATTCTTTATTAAAATTGCGTGTGATATGTTAGATGAGTATGCTAGATCGTTTCAAAAAAAATTAATAATATAGACAATATAGATTAAAAAGTATGAAAAGTATTAAGTAGTAACGAGCTAATAATAATAATAATAAATTAACACGATAATATAAATATTTTAAGAAAATTATTTATAGATTAGAAATATAATCATATATTTTGAAAATTCTCTATCTTTTTTTCAAAGATCTAAAAATCATTTCAACGATAGAAAGAATAATAACGTAGAATCAATAGAATAAGAATAAGATAAAAGAAATTAATTTAAGTCTAAATAATAAACAAATAAAAAAATAATCCAGTATTTCCTTGTACATCTTTGTAATCAATGGCTATAAGATTCTGTAATCTGTATTTTGAAACATGCACAGCCACTACAATTCCTCAGAACAAAATCATAAACCAGTTATCGTCACAGATACGCAATTTATGATATTTTTCAAGATAATATTTCTCTCCTCGTTCATTCAAATTTTAAACGGAATATATTATCAACTTCTTGTTTATTCTTTCCAACCAAACATACGTAATAACAAAGTAATCGAAGTAATAATAAAATTGAGCCAAGAAAAATTATTTTGCCAATTATTGACCAATCAAAATATAAGAAACATATCTTATACGCACAAATATTGTAGCCCGCACGCACCGATCGTTATTCCAACACCTAAATTGATCAAGGCCCCAATTATTCACGAGCACGAGAAACAGAAGAAAATTTATTTTTTACCAAATAAACGAAATCACAAAGGCTCGTTCGATCTTGACACTGAATCATGCGACACTGAAGGCCAAGCTTTGAAATCACACTTTGAAAACACGCTTTCTGCTCCCGACATTCTTCGCTTTATCTTATCACATCAGCCTCACCAACCAGATCAATTCAATTCCAAAGATTCCTACATCCGAAAAAATCACTCGAACAATTCACAATTTCACAAACTCCGCCCGATTCCCGTTTCTTTCGCTTCCTCGATCAACCTTGAGTAACGTAACATGATAAAAACGTGTGTCGCGTGTGCAAATTTACGATTTGCTTGTTTGAAAGAGAGGGAAAGAGGGAGAGATAACGATGAATGCAGAGTCGAGAGAAGAACTCGGTAAATGTTAAGAAGAGGAGTGTGAAGAAACGTGTCTGAATGATCGATCGGTTTGGACGTGGACCAAAGAAATCGTCGGATGATGTCGATCGCTGGCTCGATTCTGATCGAGATCCCGTTTCAACATCGGCTCTTGACGCTTCTCAGAGAGATTGACGAGTCCGAGGTCGCCCGTTTCTTTCTCTGCTATTTGACTTTTATCATTGTCTGCTAATTTTCACTTGGGAATAATTAACGTCGCAATCGTTTGGATTTCGAGATGCGAAATTGGAATTCAGGATCGATAAATCGGTTAATGATTAAAATATCTGGTATAAATCTATTGTTGATCGAAATTGATAGAAATGTTGTTGAGTTTTTGGTAGAATTATAAACGTGATTTTATATAAGGGAATTTTATTACGATGAATGATTTAAAAAACAAATATGAATATGTAGAAGTTGTAGAGGAAAACATTTATTTAAAAGTTAAAGAAAACTTGCCACCGAATTCCCAGATCGAAAGTAAAACAATTCATAAAAATTCACTCGATTTATCTCTGATTGAAATTTGAGAAAGATTTTGTTCTATTGAGATGTATTGAAATTAAAATTATAAATTAAGATAACAAATCTTTGAAAATTCGATATAAAGCCTATTCAATCGAAATTTGAATCATTATTGAAATTTTAAAAACTAGATTCTAAATCACAAATTTTTTGAAAATCCCATAATAATTTAAAATTCACAGTTTTTAAAAAATTAAAATTATAAACAAAACTAATAATTTTTCCAAAATTATATCTGAACCTTACTGAATCATCGATTCAAAGTTTGAAATATTGTTCAATTCGGATGTCTAAATTAAAAAAACAACAAATCTATGAATACTATAAATACAAAGATTATCGTACCATATAATACCAATCAAAGTGAATTTTCAAACCTGATAAACAATAGTTTATAAACAAAAACAACTATTCTTTAAAATTCTTTAAAAACAACTATAAAAATTCTATAAAATAGTCACTGAATCATTAAAAAAAAAATTCACATCTCGAAAATCAAAATTAGAGAAACAATTTTTTCAAAAATCCTCGTACAATTTACACTCGATTACTCCATTCCGTGTACACGATAAAGTAGTTCAACATGACAATTGACTGACTATGGGATCACAATTTCATCGACGATCCTCGAGTCGATCGATCGAGGATCCATTGTTAGGCAACGCGATGTCCCGAGATGTGCGCCACGTTTTAATAAAGCTAGACCCAGTTGCAGAAGGCATTATGGCCTCGAATTCACTGACTAAAGTTTTCGATACGAGAAGGGGGATCGGGATGCTTGAACCCCTCTTTTTCTCGATCGTCTAGCCAAATATTTTGTTTGCTGTTTGCAATTGCGTCGATGGGAGGATTCTGGCGTTACGTGACGCGTGATTTATTCGTTTATTAGAGAGTTTTGATAAGCAAGAGAAGAAAATTTTTTTGGCAAATCCTCCAGATAAATAATCTATTAGTGATAATTTAAGAAATATTGTATCTACGATTGTATTGTATATTGTATATTGGATTATATTATATATTGAGTTTAGATGATAGATTATCATAGTATATGTTGAAAACGAACAGTATCACACCTATGGAAGATGTAAATGCAAGAGAAATGAAAGCCTACTAAAACTTCTGACTGATTCGTAAGAATACTTTTTATTGATGTTGATCAAACAAATTTTAAATTATCTTTATTTAAAAGAAAATCAAAGTACGTTGTTTATCTTTTGTATCCCCCCCAAAAAAATAAATCACATAATCATAGCCAGGAACCTTAGCCAGCATTGAGCAGATGAGATAGATGATTTGGCTAGAGCAGACCTTCTACTTTTATAAATTATTAGTAATAATATATTATTTTTATTTTATAAATTATTAGTAATAATTAGTAATAAAGAAGAAGGAAAATTATTAGTATTTGATCCCTTCAAATCGAATAAAATCCTATCCAACTGGCCAGTATTATGAGTATACATATAACAAATTTCTTGGTAGTTTGAAAATTAATACAAGTATATGTTTTAAAAAATATGTGTAGACTAAAAATTAGTAGAATTAATTAAATGAAATAGGTCTTTAAAATGAGCCTTTTAGTGAAATTATTTGAAAGTCAAATATCTATTTAACTAATGATGGCGATATTGAATAAGTAAATAGTGAAAATACAGGTTTATTAATAAGATTCATTGCGATGATGTTTCAGTAACTAATGCAGGTTCTTTAACTGAGCAATGTTTTTTTAAATTTTTTTACAAACTGTTTATAAAAAATGTTTTAAAATATAAATGGCAATATCTGAAAAGAGATGATTAAGAAAGAAAACTTTGTATGATAAAAATTAAAAGAAAAGAAAAAAAAGAATAACAAAATTAAAATTACTTCATAGTATTCAATAATTCATAATTTGATCGTGTTTGTCTAATTGAGAAAATAGAATGGAATGTTTATGATAGCAAAACAATAATATAGATAGAATAATGATAGAAATAGTAGCATAAGACAATGTGAATACGTTTGCAATTCGATATTGAACAACACGTTATGAAACATTCAATGGAATCTCCTTGAAGGTATTATTCGATTTGAAAGGCTAATACTGCACACTGTTCGAATGGCGAATAGCAATTGCACATTCACGGTCTGGTTAGTTTAGCTTGCAGAAGTTATAAAAAAATCCTAAATGCAAAACATTTTCAATTAAATATTTAAACACATAGGAAAGAGAAAACAAAATGTTGATACGATCTTTTTAAACTTATTTGAAACTTAAAAACTTTTAGTCTGCTTTCGAATTTTTAGAAAAATTTATTATATATTTTCATTTTTTTTCTTTCAAAAAAATTACAAAAAGAAATAATATTCGCACAAAATAAAAACTATATAATCAAATATTATTAATTAAGCCCATAGATCGATGCATAACAATTTTCATAGAATTCCAAAAAAAAAACCAAATTCGCTCAATTTAATTTAAAATATAAAATTTAACGTCCAACAAAATTCATATCAAAGCAAAATATACAAATAATCAATTTTTATCATTAATAATAACGTAAAAATGAAAATTTTAAAAAACAAAAGTCGAATTATTCGAGAACTTCTTATATTAAATTTGAAAGAAAATTAATCCAAAGGAAGAAGATTTTATGCTTGATAAAAGTCAAATAAAATTACCGAGTATATAAAATTTGCGCGTAGCAAATATCAAGATTATTCGACCAATTGTTATTGCGAGTTTACTCAGCGGTCGCACAAAGCGATTATTTATACAGGGGCGCTTTAATTTTCTCGACGGAAATTATCTTTGCCTGTGAGCTCATCGTAAATGCATTTCTAATTGTCTCCCTCGTTGCAACTTCATCGTGGAATCTATATCTTGCATATGACGTTTAAATTTTATATACCACACCTCTCCAGATGCGTATGTAAAGCTGATGAAGTAACTGTTATTCACGGGTGAGTGACGACCATTAATTTTTGATAGAAATTGTTCCATTTTTCTTACCTTCTTTCTTTTAACTAGGTTCAAAATAAACTTCCTATATCTTAAAGTTTTTGCAAATTTTGAAGAAAATTTGGTAAACAGAGAATGGCCCATGGAATTAGAATTGAAATTTAATTTAAGTATTTGGAATCTAAATATATAAAAATGTTATTAAAATATTTAAAAAAATGATAAAGGATAATGAAAAAAACTAATGATAAATCTCTCTACCCATGATAATATGTTAAGAAAATATATGTTATCATATCATGCGTCATATGACACCATGGTACTAAAATTTAATAAAAATAGATATAAATAACTCTTAAAAATTTTAAGAAATATTATAAATTAAGATTAATAATAATATTATAATTTATATAAATATTTAAATTAAGACTTTTTTGCGTTTAATCGATGTTAGATAATTTAACTTAAATATAAATTAATAATTGTAAAATAGATTGTAAAAGAAAATTCTTCTTCTCGTAATCGATTTATTAACTCAAATCTTTTATTTGTAAGTAATACATTACGTAATTAATTGATAATTATTATAATTTAAAAAAAATCATCTGTAAAAACGATAAAACAAAAAAAAAATAAAAAAAAAATAAATGATATTGTTAAAATACTATAAAATACTATACTATACTTAAAATAACATTTGAAGAATTGTAATAAAAATTGTAATTAAAAATAAGTCATATATATTAAAAAATAGTTTTATAATCTTAATAATAATTGTTATCAACAATTGAGTATACAACAATGAATAAATAATATTCGAAGATAAGAAAAATTATCGAAGAAGATAAAAAATTCATCAAAAAAAAAAAAAAAAAAAAATAAGAAAATAAAATGTTCAGTATGTGATATTTTAAAAATAAAATAAAAACAGTAAATCAAGTAAGAAAATTTTCTTATTACCTTTTTATTTGTTATACTTATTTTTAAAATGTTTAATATACTTATAATTTAATTTCTCCGTAGTTATCACAAGTTATTGTTTATTTATCTATAATAATTATCCGTTATTATTATTCGATAAAAAAGAAATAAATAAAATGCAAATATATAATTTTTAAATAAATTTAAAGATGGCATCTATATATAATATAAGTATTCGAAGAATTAGGATCAATTTGCAGAAAGAATGATATTAAAATTTCAAGAATATTATTTATTCCAACATGAAAGGAAATATAGTCAAATTTTAATCTATATCATAATTAAAAAAAAAAAAAAAGATAAACAAAAAATGATAACTGAGATTAATAACATTAATAATGATATTAAGGAATGTGTCATAAAAATTAAAAATGATTAATATATAAATATTTAAATATATATGTATAAATGACAATGAATTGATTATACAATCATTGAATCATCAATCAATATGATTATAATAAAATGAAATATCAATAAAATGATTGCTCTTCTATTTTTAAACGTAAGTCCAATTTATCTATCATTAAATATTATTATATGTTATTAAATCTTACTATAAAATTTTATAAAAATATTAATATTATTATTTATATATATGAAAATATCATTAAATATTAAATATTATTATAGGATATTATTAAAGGTAGAGTATTGATAAAATTCATTATAATTAGTATTTGTAGAAACGTATATTATTAATTTTAACTTCACAGGATATCTATATAATAATTAAATTCTAAGAAACACGTAATAATATCAGATGCAGTTAACGCGGTCATTATAATAGGAATATTTAACGTAACAATAAATTAAAAGTAACAATAAATTAAATGAACATATCTTGATGATTAAACAATAAAATGGTAGTATAGAACTGATCTAATAAAACTATACATTTTCTGAAATAAAATATTAAAATAATATTAAAAAGAAAATATCAGTTCTTAATTTCAGAAAAAAAAGAGAAGAAAAAAAATCGTAAGATAGTAAGTTTATTCCTATCTGTGTTTCAATTATACATATATAGATTAATTATAAAATTTTAATATATAATTAATAGTATTAAATAAGATGTTATATACTTTAAGCATGTCATATTATTGATTAATTTAAAATTATAAAGTATTTTTTTATTCCATTTTTCAAAATGTTTTTAATTCTCCAGGAACAAGTATGTAAGTAAACTTTTCTCAATTTAATGGTATGAAGTTGCCAACAAAGAAAACTAATAGTCAAATGTTCAATATATTTTAAAATAGTTTTTTCCTTTTTATGAACTTTTAATGACAGATTTTTAATATTAATTTTTTATAAGAATTAATAACGTGTCCAAATATATTATTTATTAAATTTGTATAATGATAAATCGAGGAAATAATAACAATTATGTGTCAAGCTTTTAATATTATGCAAGATAATACTGAGATGCAAAATCATGGACATTTTCGTTGGTTATACAAGGTTCGTTAATAAACTTAAGTTATTATTTGTAATTCTAATTACTATATTCCAAAATGATATTAATTATAATATCAATAATATAATACATGTAGTTAAATAATTAAGTGAAAAGAATAAAATCATATAGAAATAGAAAAAAAAAATAATGAAAAATTAAATTAGCCTAATAAGAAATCATTTATCATTTTAAATAATCTTTTTCCACAGAAAGCTAATAATTTGGTTGTCCAAAAATAATAAATTTATGTTTTTATAAAACAAAATTATTATTTTTGATAAAATACAGATAGTATTTCTTAGGTTTTATGTCAAGAAAAGAATATTAAACCATTATCTGCCATACAAGCGTATTTATCAAAGGGTTGTTTGCGATTCTGTGTCGATCGCGTGGGTTTGAAAGATTGGTCACCAATACTTAAAAGTATAGCTCAAAATCGAAATCTGATGAAAATTGATATCTACAGTCGCAGCCAATGCAAACGAGTACGTGAGAAAGTGAATACGGAAGAGAAACTTGAAAAATTATGGTAATTAATGTAACTAAAAATATCTGAAAATTCAATTGAATTTTTATCTGACAGATTTTTATAATGATATTTATAAAACTGACATTATATAAAGACAGAAAAATTGTTGAAAAATTAAAAATTGTCTTAAAAACCCAAATATTTTTTGAAACTTAAATTGAAATACTTGTTAAAAGAAGTGATTTTGATTTTGTTGCATTCCCAAGCTTAAACTTCCAAGTTTTGCCTTAATCCTTAACTTTTTTGTGCAGTTGTTCTTAATTTTTTCAATTTTAAATTCTTGTTGTTTCTTTTCTCAATTTCTTGAAATTTATTATTTAATTCTTGTATAATTAAAATACTAAACACAAGAAATTATCTCAATATAATATGATTAGAAATTTCGGAATCGGAAATATAGAATCCGCATGAATTTTTTTCCTTGAACTTAAAAAAAAAAATATATTAAAGATGAATTAATGCTCATTAGCACCATTTTTAATATTTTCCTTGCGGATACTACTCCCAGAAAGTTTAAGCTTGCAGGTCGCATCTCTTGGAAGAAAATGGAAAGGGAGAGAGAAAGAGGGAGAGAGGGAGATTGAAATGATGAGGAGCGATTTGGAGGAATATATCGAGCGGAAAGGATTGCATGAATTAGAGGAAGAGACAGGAGGATGGAACGATAACGAAAGGAAAGGCCCGAATGTCCCAAATAATAGACTGTCACACTTGACAGAGAAAATTAAAAAAGAAAAGCAGAAAGAATGTAAAAACCCTAGACCGGCATTTGATGTCACGTCCAGGCGATGCAAGGCAAAGAATCAAGTAAGGCCAATCATCTACACGAATTTTCTGTTGCGCTGTCTCATCGATTCCATCGCCGTTTGCTTGAGAGATTCACCAGCCATAACCTCTATCACTATTGATGGAATTCCTCTGACGCTGAAGTACCTGAATATCCTGTGTTCCGGTTTGAAGACCAATGAAAAGCTGATAAGTTTATCTCTGAAAAAATGTTACATAGGAGACATTGGTTAGTATTATTTTCTAATGTTTATTCTTATTTTATTATTTTTCTTTAATTTAGTATTATTCCAATAATAATATTATTATTAATATTTTCAAAGAAAATTACATTCTCTTTTTTTCGAATCTCTTTTGCACTATTTGTTTATCCCTTATGTAATATTTTTAATATTATTGTTTTTCTTTTCTTTTTTCTCTTTCCTGCTCCAGGCTGTGACCTGTTATTGAACTGCTTGAAAAACAATCCAAAGCTCTCTGTCTTAAATTTGTCATCTTGTAAACTATCAAGTAGAAGTGCTATGAGTCTATCATTGTTCTTAAAAAGGAGAAAGGCTGATCTGTTACAAAATATTTGGGAGCAATCTTCCGAAGAAGATACTGAAAAAGTAAGGATTAATTCCATTGATCATTATGTAAATTTTATTATTATTATTAAAAATAAAAAAGTTGTATTAAATTGTTAAATGTTTTTTCAGTTACAAGGATTGCAGACATTGATTCTAAATCAGAATCCAAAAATTGAAGATACTGGTCTAAAACAGATAATTTATGCATTAAAAAATGATGTCTGGTTGAAAACATTAAGTTTGAAACGCTGTGGGATCAGTAAATTGGGAGCAGAAATGATCATTCAATTATTGCAATCAAATAATAAAATTATGAGGCTAGATTTAACTAAAAATCATATACCTATTAATACTCTTCAAATAATGTTGGGCATATTGAAGAAAAGACAAGAAATAGCTGAAAAAACTGTATTGAATAAACAATTCTGTTTAAATTGGAGAAAAAATATAAATAATGAAATTGTTAAATTTACAAAAAGACATAGAAAACATTCGCAAAATCGAACAGTAAGTTTTTTATTTTTTCATTTCTTTGTAATTTAAATGAAGTAAAAAAAATTTATATGTATCTATTATTTTGAAAATGCACTAATTTTTTTAGGAACGGCCTAGGAAATCTTCATTACAAAAACATTATTGGAAAAAGACTCAAAGATTTGAGAGATTTATTCGAGAAAAAGAGATAAAAGGAATTACAAAAGAAGATTATTATAGAAGAAAGAAAATTAATGATTTGGAATTACAATTATTAAATTTAATTGAGTCTAATTCTAAATTAAAAGAGGAACTTTCGAGCAATAAAGCGTTATTGAATTCAGAAGTACAGCAAAGATCGAAAATAGAGAATGAGTTGCAAAGAATATCGTTTCGATTAAATGATCTAAAAAGTAAAGTTTTTATGCTAAATTGTATTTCCTCTAAAGCATGTAATGAAAGTCAATTATTGACGGGTTTTAAATATATTTTCGAAAAATTGGAATCATTTTCGATGTTAAAACAAAATGTATCTGTAAACGAGGAAGTTGATTTAGAAACTGTAGAACCATTGTGGTCGTCACCGTTAGCAGAACAAATGGAAAACTGTGTTTTGAATTGCTCGCAGCGAAAACCTTATTTTATTTCCCATTGAAAATATAATACTGTGAATTTTATTTAATAATTTTTCTAGATGTATAATGTAAATAAGATACGAATTTTATACTGATGTATAAAATTTTATACTGATGTATATTTTAATAAAAAATATTTCAATTTTAAAACAGACTTATAAATATATTTATAAGAATAATAGAAAGAATTTGTTTTTTATTTTTTATTTTAAAAATAGAGAAATATAATATTAGAAATATAAATAAAAATTTTCGATGATATTTATAGAGAAGTAATATAATTTTTTTTTAAATAATTTATAATTTTTCATATGATCATATTAAATAGATGAAATATAACATAGTTAATCATGTATGTATATTTATTTTATCAAATATATATTTTATCAATATATATTTTATCAAAAAAAAAAAAAAAAATTAAAGAATTAAATATTTTTTCTATTTAATCCTTCTTATAATTCCAGAAGTTTTAAATATTTAAATTTTTCGCGCGCTTGGATGGAAAAAAAATCATGTCATCTTAGCCAATCAGAAAACTACTAATATGAATCTATGGCATATGGCGTCAGTCTGGTATCGAAACTCAATCGTAATAGCACGCGTCAGTTCGTATCAAATATAAACGATATTTGTGCTACAATTTATAAATTTTGCTTAATTAATACGTTATTTGTTCGCAAGATATTATTATTAAACAATACTTTTGAAGTTTTTTTACTTTTTTGTTGATCAATTATTTGAGTGTTAAATTTGCCGGTATATATCTGGAACAGGTATGTAATATTATTTTTTCCTTTCTTTTCCTTTCTATTAAAATATTTAGAATTTATACTAGAATCGTTATATAATTATCGTGTAAAAAATTATAAATTATTTTTGATTTTTGATGTCTAATTTTATTTTTAAAATTAAATTATTTAACTTATATATATTTCTTTTCTAAACGTATATATTTGTACATTCAGTTTATATATTATTTATTTTATTTTATTCAAAGTTAAAAATATTTTTTATATGTACTTTTTCAAGGAATTGATGTTTACACTCCTTCCATGCTCGATGTGTTTCGACGTGTCTCGATCTGTTGTAAACTCTCGAATATATCCCTTCCCCAATTTGTATTTGTGCAACGACATCACAATGCAAAAAAATTGTAACCGCTAGAATTATCAAAAAGCTTCGCATCGACAAAGTAAGTGCACAAAATATTTAATTTAACAAAATATATATAGGATTGCTTTTTTTGCAAATAAAACACGAACTTTAAAGATTCGCGAATAAAACATGCGTACTCGTGAATAAATTGTGTGTATTTTAAACAATCGTAAAACAAAACATGTTGCTGTTGCACGCAAAATACATGAATAATTTTAAATTATATATGAAATCGAACGAGCGTACTTTCGACACGACCGCACGGTATAACAGTATCGATCGAAGTGAGGTCGAGCGCGCCGCGCCGTATATATACAGTTGGTAATTTAGATAACTGTCGATAGAATACAGAAAAGAAAAATTTTAATTTTAAATATTTAAATATAATTTTTAATAATTCTATAAATAATTTATTAATATTATTAATTTTAGAAATAATTTCATACATTTTATTAATAATTATTTAATTATTTAATAATTTTATATTGATTTTATAATATATTTTATTATTTATAATAAAAACTACAATAAAATTTATTGTTATAAAAGAAATTTTAAAATCAAATAATTCAATAATGATCGATTTAATTCAATTTAAAAATTCTTATCTTAATTATTTAATTTAATTTTCGAATTTGCAAAAAATAAATATATATTCTCTTATATTAGAATTCTTATTTTAATATTCTTATTTTAATAATATTTTCATATAATTTTTAATTCTATTAACATTATATTGTATTTTTTTTATTTTTATTATAATATCATTCATAATATCAAATAAATAATTCATCATTATTATTTTCCAATATTCCATTTCAGCTTAATAAATATAATTTTTTCTTTTTTTTTATAACTGTATTTAATATTTATTAAATCATATATACGAGCATATTATGAAATATATTTTCTTTTCAATTCAATCTTCAATTCCATTCGAAGATTTTTCCAAGTTTCTAGAAAGAGTTTTTTTCTCGATTTTAAGATATTTTATGAAAAGTACCGAGAGATTGAATAGGCGAACAAGATACTTTTCCGTGGCCGCGTTTTCCGCCTCGTTCGTTATCGGGATTCGAGTTGAAGTGCGATCAAATTCAAATTTGAAAATTGCGCGTGAACGATGCGATCTTTGACTTTCCACGATCATGTTCAATTTTTCGAGAAATCTTGTCTTCAAAAATATTTTAAATCTCGAAGTTTATTCGAGAAATTAGAAAAAATTGCAGAAATTTTAAAACTTTTATCTTTTATAACATCGATCTTTTTTTATTTGATATATAAATGAAAGAGTTGACTATAATATTTGTAATTTTAAATGCAAGAGAAGAATATATATTTTTAAATAACATCAATAATGTAAAATAATAAATTTGATTTTATAGTTTTCAATTTATACATATTCATATTAACTTTTTGTTATATCGTATACATTGGAAAACGAAAGAAATGAAAGCTCACGATTTAGACAACAGCATAGAATTCAACAGGTTGCTCTTTTATTCACTATTATTCAAATTTTAGTTCGATATGGTAGAAGTGTTATAAATCACACGGATTAATTGAAAAATAAAATGAACTATTTTTCGTTTTTGCAAAGTAAAATTGGAGATTTTTAGAGAAAAATTAAGTAGACGATAAAGTAGGAGTGTTCGGATATATGGATCTATTCGTGTTGGTAAAACAGAAATGTAAGAATTACAAAAATGGAAAAGATAGCAAAAGTTAAGTTAGATAACAAATTAGAATATAATAAATAAATAAAATATTCATTATATAAATTATTCATTTTATAAATTGCAAAAGACAGGAATAAAATTATTTTACTCGAAAATTGGGTTTCAACGGATAAAAAACATCTTTATCTTCACAACTATAAATTGAATTGACCGATGATATTACAGTTCTTCGCGGGATTATAAAAGTGTGTTAACTTTTGTTATTAATTATATATTTTTAAATTTTCTTTTCATATTAGAGATATTACAAGATATTACATATCATATTTTTAGATTATTTTTTCTAAATTTATCAATCTATCAACTAATTAGATCGATTCAGGCTCATTGGTAAATAAAAACAATATATGAAATGATTATATAATTATGATTAGTTGTCCTCGTTTTAAAAGTCAATATTTTTTTTTTATCTTAAAATAATTATAGATTTTTATATATATATATAATTCCTGATCAATGAAATTCGATCGAAGTCTTCTAAGCACATATAATGCAAATCGAAACATTGAAAATTAAAAGGCATCGTGGCGGTTACGACGAGCGCAATAAGAGCGGAATCTTTGTTTTATAGTGATTGTAGAGAGACGAAATTTCATTCTTGGGGACCGCGAGTTAATAATTAAGTCGAGTTTCGATTCGATTAAGGTACGATTTCAAAGATGGTACTCATTCTCGACGAATTCCTCGCGATTTCTGCCGTTACGAAATATTTTTCTTGGAGGGGGGGAGGCGGAAACCTTCGCTTCCTGTTTATTCTCAATTTACCACACCAAGGTGGAAACAGTGGGACGAGTTTACCGTCCAATTTTCTATTCTCTTTCTCTCCCCCCTCCCCCCCTCTCCACTCTTTGCTCATCTTTCGTAGCCATCCCTTCGTCACTCTCCATTATTTACTCCTTCGAAACGTCGTAGATGCTTTTTTTTTTCACTTCGTTGCGCCAGGAAAATTTCTGGGTTCGCTTCGCGATTTCTTCTATTCATAAATGGAACGAATCGACGAATTTTTTGCGCTTTAGAAATATGAGGGAAATATACGATTGATAAGTATCCAATGTGATCGATCGATTAGGAAATAATTCGAGGAATTAATCCTTTGATATTCGACGCTCGATCGATTAGAAAACGTACTCGCGTTAAAACTTTTATCGTCGCAGCAAGGATCGAAGAAGTTTCTCCCTATTATTCCGTTTTTCGAGCAACAAGGGAGTATTACATTAAAAAACCAATTACACGGATCCGTAACCGTTCCACGATACAAAATCACGTTACGATTGAACGAACTTTCTACCCTGTACAATGAGGCGAATAATTCGAAATAAATAACGTCCCATAATTAATTAAATTGTACCCTCAAATAAAGAGGGTGAAACAAACAAGCGTACTTCTTCCACCGAGCTTACCTTTCAAACGGTAGGGCGTATTTAACGGTAAACGCTGAATATACCCGTCGTTTTATCCACAATTTTCGAATCTTCCGGCCTTCTTCGAGCCAATCATCCGCGACGCGTCAATCACGAATTCCTCGAATTTCCACTTTGCGCCTTAAAATTTTTTAATATACCTCCCCCTCGCAAAACTCACTCGCCTCTCTCCCCTCTCTCCCCTCACTCTTCTCACCCTTTCTCACGCTTTCCAACTTGGCTGCGAAAGATGTTCCACGCCATCGTCGAAGTTTGGCGCCGCGTCTCGATATAACCATCGGCCGGGTTATAAGGTGGAAGAGAGCGATGGAGAGAAAATGGGGCCGCCGTGCTCGCGCCGTGCACCCCTCCTCACGGGGATCTAGAACGGTCTAAAGAAGAGGGGGAGGGGGCTTTGTGTAGACGCCGGCTCACGTGTCGAACTTATGAAAATTAATAAGAAAAATTGCCCATAAATCCGGGGTCTCGTTCGTGGCGGTGGTGGTGGTGGTGGTGGTGGGGCTCGCATCCGGGCCACGGCAATAAAATTAGAATTATGTCGCCGCTCAACCCCGAACTCCTTTCTTCTTCCTTCGACGAAGGAAGAGGACAGGCCGTGCATGCCGACAGCATGTTGTTAGCGACGCGAGGAATGCGTTCTCCGGTCCCTAACGTACGACTTTACCTTGCCAAGATTATATCCATGTCTCAGGCCGCGACGCCACCCCCCTCCCCCTCTGCTTCCTATGGTTATTAAATTCTGCGTCTTTCATCGCCTCCTTCCCCTGCATTTTCCCTCCACTCGCGATTTTCCTCTCCAGAGACCGTTGACTTATCGCCTACAGGCGACGGCCGAGGCGAAGCCTGTCGCCTGTTTCGCTCTCGCCATGGTGGGAACGGTGGAAATCGCAGTTTCGAAGGGTGGAAGGTTCGGGGGAGGGGGACGGAACGACCTCTTCGCGTCGCAGTTTTCATGAATCTTTTAAGGGCACGAGTTTCCTCCTCCTTTAAAGGCGGCCGATCGTAATAGCGGTATCGCGTTTAACGGGCAAAGAGACTCGTTAAGGGATCGTCCAGGTGGTGGAACGTTTAACGTGGAATCGGGCGCGCGGTACGAGGGAGGATTAAATCGGTTTATGGGTGACGCGGGCCGTGAGCGGAATGCGGCCCGTTCTTGTTTTAGAAGATAGTTTTAAAAGGAACTTACGAGGGGGGGGGGACTTGATTCGGGTCAATCGATCGTTTCATTACCGTAGAGGGCTACTTTCTTTGAATATATATATATATATAGGGTGATGAGGATTGCTCGTGAAATATTCGTATACTATTTCGAATACTTCGAATTCCTTTTTTCTTTTTTTATTAATTTTAACGATTCGAAAGTTGTTTCGAAATTAATCTTTTTCCGTACGAAAAGTCGATCATCGACCGATCTTTGATTTATTCTTTTCGCGTCACCGAATTTCGAATTTAACAATAATCTATCGACATCCAATTACGAAACGATTTTCTCTCTGATAAAAATTTCTGTAAAACTGCAAAACTTCCAGTCTTTTACGCGAGTCTATAATACCTCGAAACGGTTCCAATCCTTCCCTCCCGCCCCAAAGAATCGAATTGAAACCTTCCATTTACCGCGGTACAAACCGCGTCACGTCAACCTCTCTCTCTCTCTCTCTCTCCCCCCTTCCCCCTCCCTCCCACCCTTCCTCCCCAACGACACATTCCGAACGACACGTGGAAACGCTGTCGAAACATGATCCAGGTGAAGCCTGGATGTAACGACGCTCTGTTGCAGCAATGTCGGTGGCAATGTCGTTTTCGCCGATTTCCCACGTTTTCAGTCCCTGCCGCGGCCTCCCCTCCCTCTCATCCTCCCTCTCCCCCTCCTCCCTCCCAGA